GTATGCAAAACTGGAAGACTCCGTTAAGAAGAACTGGGAAGAGATGGCTGAGGCCTTCGTGGCTCAATACTCTTACAATACACAGATCGAGATCACAACTCGTGATCTCGAGATGACTAGACAGGAGCCAAATGAGAGCTTTAGATCGGGGATTGATTTTCAAATACCGTCTTCTCTCCGTCGGGGTATTTTTCGAGGAAAAACCGCTCAAATCGAGGTCGGGATCGGGGATCCCCGTCGGGTTAATTTCAAATTGCCATCCCTAAAGGCTATTTTAGCCTTTTACTTGTGGATATCGAGGGCATTATTAGTTCTGCACAAAATAAATGACAAAATGGGAAATGAATCCTACTTGTTGACCTCAACAGATTCCTTAAGGAAATAGAGGAAATTCTACTTGCACAACACTTTTAGCTCCTTACACTTCTCATTTTAATTTATTTTTTGGCAAATTTCACTTTACCCCCGTGATTTGGGCCGAGTGCAGATTATCCCTGATATTCGGAAATCACTACATAACTCCCATGTGGTTTATGGACCAAAATAAACCGTTAGTTTTTCTGTCTAAGATAACGGGCTGTGTGAGTCACACACCTATATAGAGAGTATGTATACTTTTAGGATGAAAATGCCCTTTATACATCTTCAAATTTACCAAAGAATGCCATTGTTGAACTTTCTTTTCCTTCACCCTCATCTTCATCTTCATCTTTTTCTTCTTCTCTCTCTCTCTCTCTCTCTCTCTCTTTATTTTATTCTTTATAATGTTTCCCAACCAAAGATATATATCTATATATATGTATGCATGTATGTATGAATGTATATATGTATATAAACGGTGAACTTTCTCTTCCTTTACCCTCATCTTCATCTTCATCTTCATCTTCATCTTCATCTTCTTCTTTCTCTCTCTCTCTCTCTCTCTTTCTCTCTCTTTTTAATTTTTTTTTATGATGTTTCACAATCAAAGATATATATATATATATATATATGTATGTATGTATATACATAGTGAAGAATATATATATATATATATATATATGCACAGTAAATCAAAGAATATAATTTTAAATTTCTGATTCAAAATTGGGTTTGAATAATTTTAGCGAACTATGATTGTTTTGTCTGGGAAAAATAACCCTCCATTCCATCCAAATCAGTACCTTCGCACATCAGCCACCACCACACCATCACCACCATACCATATTTTGTTACAACTATTCTTTCATTCATGGGTGGGGGTACAAATTCCCCACCCTACTGCTCATCTTCTTTTCCTTTTTCTTTTCCCCTCACATTTTTTTTTGTTTCTCTTTTGTGAGAAGGTTAGATGGCTTGGTTTTTTTTTTGTTTTTATATGAAAGACCAAGCTCATAATGGGGTGATTTATTTGTTGCCATAAGCTCCATCCCTCTTGGAGTCCTTGTATCGTATATGCTTTTTACTTTCAAAGGAACAAGATGAATTCAAACAAGAAAGGTTTCACAACTATCCTTATTGTTGTTGCAGAGGTCTGATGATGTTTATCACACCATAATTCAGATTTTGAGTTTGTTAGCTACTTCGGCACTAGCCTGAGTCTTTGCTAGTTCAGGTCCGGCATCAATTTTTGGTTTATGTGTTTTGGGTGTGGAATCGGCAATGGTTTTTACTTGTTATCGCTGTTGTTTGGGTTGTGTGCTTCTGTGTGCAACTTTTGTATCAGAGTGCAACAAAAGTGTTAGACATCGTTGGCGGATCCATGTCTTTGAGTTAGCCGGCATGGTTACCAGAATAGGGAGATAGTAGCTTCATGTCGAGGTGTGATACATGGCGTGTAGGTCAATTTCTAGATATGATGAAGAAAAAGTTTGGACAATAAAATGTGAGTTTCATATGTATATATGTATATGTATGTATAAAATGTGGGTATAGAGAAAGAAGAAGAGAGAGAGAGAGAGAGAAGAATGGTATAATTGTCAATTTATAACTTCTGTTAACAGAAGTTAATGTGCATTTTGATCCATAAATCACATGGGGGTTATGTGGTGATTTTCGAATGTCAGGGGATAAACCGCACCTGGCTCAAACCACAAGGGTAAAGTGAAGTTTGCCCTATTTTTTTATTACATTTTTATCCTTTTGTAAAATTACTATTAAAGACAAGTCTCAAACCTACGAGTAATTCTATTTCCACCTCCCAAATTTTCTTAGTATATACCATTTACTCAGTAGACACCAAACACAATCTTGACTTTCTTATTTTTGCTCAATGCACACTATTAATTTTCAAAAATTCAAAAAATATGCCCATCTTCCTCAAACTTACTTTCCACATAAAGAGAAAACCCAGATACAAAAGCCAATTCTAAACTCTCAGATCAGACCAACCATTAATGTCTCTCAATCAACTCAAACAAAAACCTTTGTTCACCTTCATGCCCTGGTAAAAAATCTTTGCATTGCCATCACTTTTCACCAAAACCCTGATTGGAAGGACTCGAGCTTTTGAGGAACTTCACAACCCATGTGTGTAAAGCCAATTGAAATCCATATTAAATTCAAGAGAGCCCCTTTGCTTACTCTGTTCCACTGATAAATAAAGGGGTGTTGATACAACATATTGATATCACTTTTCTCTACTTTCTTTTTTACAAATTAACAAGCCCTTTTTTATCAAAAAAATTACATTAACTGAACTGAAAAAAAGCACGATAGCAAATAGTATAAGCAATTGAACAATTTAAGATTTTGTTATAGCAGAGAAAGTTCAAAATTGAAGAGAGAGAGAGAGAGAGAAAGGGTTTTAACAATGCTTACAAAGGAAAGAACGCCAAGTTAGGATTCACCTGCAGCTAGAGAGGAAAGAGGTGGTTGGTGTGTAGTAGATTTAGGATTTTGTCAGTACTTTACTTAAGGATAAAATTGTGATTCTTAAAAAATTTATTAAGTGTGTGAAATAAGAAAACTTAGTATGTAGAAATAGAATTTTCCCAAACCTTCCCTCCATATTTCTCTTTACACCATTTTATCCTTTTATAAAATTACTATTAAAGACAAAGCCTCAAACCTTCCCTCCATATTTCTCTTCACACCATTTCATCTTTCTTTTCATTATCCACCACCACCACCACTACTTTTCTCATCCATCAACCAACACTACCTAACAACCATTCATTCTCTCCACCAAGCATGGCCACCCTTTTTCCCATCTCTCACTCTCTCCATCAATCTAAAAATCCAAATATATCAAGCTTACAGAATATATATATATATAACAACAAACAAGCAAAAAAAGTAAAATTTTATATTTAAAATGTATATATAATCATTACAAATAAATAATATACAAGATTTATGTGTTTAAAAGATGTTTTGGTAAAGCCTCAAACCTTCCCTCCATATTTCTCTTCACACCATTTCATCTTTCTTTTCATTATCCACCACCACCACCACCACCACTACTTTTCTCATCCATCAACCAACACCACCTAAGAACCATTCATTCTCTCCACCAAGCATGGCCACCCTTTTTCCCATCTCACTCTCTCCATCAATCTAAAAATCCAAATATATCAAGCTTACAGAATATATATATATATAACAACAAACAAGCAAAAAAAGTAAAATTTTATATTTAAAATGTATATATAATCATTACAAATAAATAATATACAAGATTTATGTGTTTAAAAGATGTTTTGGTATTATTTTTTAAGGGAGATGTAATTAGAAAAATGGTGTAATAAGGTAGAATTATTGTGTAAATAGAATTATCCTTCCGTTAGCCTCACTAGTCAACTAATAGAGGGGAGAAACTGAGATTTAAAAATAAAAATAAAAAATAAAAAAAATAAAAGTGAAAGGAAAGGGAGGTCAATGTCATTTTAAAAATCCCAAAGGAAGATTTCCAGAATTATAACAAACTTTGGAAGAGGTCAGTATAATTTACTCTTAATTTTTTTACTTTGACTAAGGCAGGGCAAATGTTATTACGCATGACAATTTTGTCACTTTAAAAAATTACATTAAATCAAGTTAGTTCGAGCAAGTACAATAACCACGAGTATATTGTCATAGCCCTACCTTATTTTAACAAGGGTGAATTATATTAACGGTCCCTATAGTTTAGAGCCTGTATCATTTTAGTCATTGACTTTTTAATTATGACATATTTGATTCTGAATTTTGAATATTGTTTCAAATAAGGACAATTGAAAATACTATTGAATTTTTCAAGGGCAAAATCGCCAATTTAATAAAATATAAATTAATTCGACAAAAATAAATGTCAAAAAATTATTTTTGAATTTTTAAAAATTATTTCTACCTATTAAAGATAAAATTATATAAAATTAATAAATCTTTTAGACATTTTTTTTTACCAAATTAATTTTTATTATGTATTTAGATGATGATCATGTAAAATTAATTTTTAAAAATTAATCATGTAATTTTTATTAATTTTTATCAATTTTACATAATTTTATTTTTGATAGGTAGAAATAATTTTTAAAAATTTAAAATATTTTTTTGACATTTATTTTTATCAAATTAGTTTATATTTTATCAAATTGACGATTTTACCCTTGAAATTAAGCAATAGTATGTTCAATTGTCCTTATTTGGAACAAGATTTAAAATTCAGGATCAAATATGTCACAATTGAAAAGTTAGGAACTAAAGTGACACAAGCTTCAAACTATAGGAATTATTAGTATAATTTGCCCTTTTAACAATGATCTGGTTGAAATCCTATAATGGACACCCCAATCAGAAATCTTACAAGGCCTAGCTGTATTGCTGGAGTAAGTGTATTGTTTGATCTCTTGAAGGATATGCGCAATCATATTTGGCGAGGGATGGGAAAGTTTGGGCGCTGGCAACGAATCATTTATGAGAATCCCCCAAGTATGGCACACTACGTCTATTGTCATTTTTCCACTATTAACCTAAATCTGGTACACAAAGCATAATGCCACCAATAAAGTTTGTGTCAACATTTTGGCTATTAATCAAAATTTAATTTGTAACCATATTTAATTTACATGTTATGTAATAGTTCAAAGATATACAATAATAATTATTAATTCTATTAACAGTTTTTTTTCCAATATTTATTCATGCATTGCATGGGTTCAAGGCTAGTTATACATCACTTCCATTGCCTCTAGTGCTTAACACATCGAGGAATAATACAAATACAATAAGCAAAAAAAGAAAAAGATAAAGAAAATGGAATTTATGAATCAGGAAGGACTCAATTGCCAGTCAATTTCTAGGTGACTACAATTGATTGAATCTTTGACTCTATTTAGAGCTACTTGCCTGTGTTGCAACAGAAGAAGATGTTTACCCGTATCGTCATTTTTCCTTTTCCGGGGCAGTTTCCGCGAAAAACTTTTCCATTTTGATTCAAACTCACATGCTGCAATAGATTATGTTACAGGGAAGAGAGCTATAAGTTGCCCCATCGACTAAGCAACAGCATATGAATGAAAATATATATTAGATAAAATAAAACCTCAAAAAAAAACAACATTAATCAGTTACTGTCTTATATTCAAATAGCAAAGTGCATACATTTCATCAGCAAGAGATGACGAAAAGAAACAAAATACATGCTTAAACAGTAGCTTACAATAAGAGAAAAATATGTCATAAGCAAACTAACAAAGGTGGAACAGACAGGAAATACATTGAGAGTAACATAGATAAATATGATTGTTAGTAGCTCAAAACTCTCAGAACAGTTAGCTGACAATATTCAGCTACGATAATTCCATAAATAAGTTGACCATGAAAACATTAGTTTGTTTTTGATAAATAACAAAATAAAAAAAATCAGTGGCTTTATTCAAATTATGTTGAGTCACTATTTCATTGTTCATATTATCATGACTGGTCAATGGTATGAAATTTTGTAATTGCTAACAGAGATAGTGTTCTCAAAATGATTACTGAAAGCGTCTGGTGACTGGCTATCATAGAATATATCAATGACCTCAATGACCATCAAAATATAAGTTTGTTGATAAAAGCCAATTGCTTTATTCATATTATCTGGACTCACTCTTTCACCGTGTCATCACACTAGTCAATTGTATGAGCTCCTTAAGTGCAAACAGGGATTTTGGTTCCTGTTTGTGCAAAATTTACAAAGCTTTCAAGCTAGGAGGATGAGGTAGTTCAACAACTATTATATGGCAGGGTCAGATAGTGTTTAGAAAAATATCCATGCAAGCACGTCAACAAAGCTCCATATTGAAAAGAAAACACCAAGTGAAGTTTCATGATTATCTCTTATAATAGCATCTTCAGCTCTCTCTTTCTATTACATTCGGTTTTTAGTAGGTGAAAAATCAGCGAAATCGTTGGATAAGTATTGGTTAAGAAACTGTTGCAGAACAAGAGAAGCAAAATATGCTGAAACAAAATTGTTTTCAAGTGTCCAAGAGTCTATGAATTTAACTAAAGACACAGTGCCACATAAGGCAATACATTGTATTTAATACCACACAGAAAAGCACAGTAACTAAATATTGCTATGTTACAGGTAATTGGATGATCTCCATATAGACTAACAAAATGTTCTAACATAGAGTACAATCAAACAGTAAAGAGAATATAATCAAACAGTACATCAGCACTAACAAAGACATCAATTTATGTTTGTGTGTGTGTGTGTGTAAAAGTAACAAAGACTTCAATATAGTTGGAAAAAAATTCTGAAAACAGGAAATAGACTGGTTCTACAAAATGGTTTGATCATCTGACATCCAGCAGCCTTGTAGAACAAGAACTCTGGCAACCATGGTAGTTGCCAGATATACTGAATTTTAGTTAAAGCAACTGAATGAATGAATGGAGCGATGACAACATGAGGTAGCAAGAATACTGTAATTGAGAGCTCTATAGACATCAAGGAGATTGGTAGTAGAAAGAGGTAGATATCAAATCCTTAAATATGTGGCATTGAAATCTCAGATAATTTTAGCTAATATATAAGTTTGTACAATTTGCAGTTTCCAATAGCATTGCAGAATTGATTATTAATCCATCATCTACATCTTTAAACTAGATAAATACCTTCACTTTGATCCTTAAATCCTTGAATGATGCATGCACAAACCCATGGCCTTCCTGCACAGGAAGCTTTTGCACCACCTTTCAGCTCACCATTATGTTGTCTGAGGCTATAAAAGAATAACCATCTTTTAGTAAAATTCTGCTATATCACACATCACGAGGATTACATCTCTTCCAATTATATAAGAAATTTTGTAAAGCCTATAACTAGGCTTGACGAGGCTTTTGGATTTTTTGTTCAAAATTAGACGTAGTAAGTCTTTAGTTTTTGTTTGTATCTATCAAATGTCTAGGAAGCACGGATACAGATATGGGATACGATATGATACGGATACGGCAATATGGAAAAATTTGAAAAACTAGGATACGGGTACAACGGAGATACGTTTGTAAAAAATATTATTTTTATAATTTTTAGTAATGCAGTATGCATAAAAATAAAACCTAAAGCAAAAGATAACTTGATAAAGAAGAAAGATTCCTATAAAACTAAGAGTCTTCAAGGTCAATAGCTTCAACTTGTTCCCTTTCATCAGTGAATATCACAAGACCTTAGCTAAAACCAAAAAACCATTCTTAAATAAAAATTTCAGCAAATATACTTTTTTAAGTCATCAATGATAGCCTAGGAAGCACGGATACGAATATGGTGATATGGGGATGTGGATATGGCGATATGTCAAAATTTGAAAAAGTATGATACGGGTACAGCGGGGATGCATTCATAATTTTTTTTTTTTGTGATTTTAATAATGTAATATGCATGAAAATAAAATTTAAAGTAAATTAATAAATAAAGAGAGGGATTCTTATTAACCTAAAAGTGCTCAAACATTCATAAAACATTCAAAACTAAAAGCAAAAGCAAAAGCACAAGCAAATGCAAATGCAAATGCAAATTAAACATCATCCTTACATGCCAACACCAAAAAAAGAATGAGAGCAGAGAGAAGAAACGTGAGAGAGTGAGAAAGCGAGAGAGAAGTGAGAGAGACAACAAGGATACATCAATTTGACAAATTCTATTACTTAAGCTCTCACTATATTCCTCTTATGAAAGAACTAAACAAAATATTATAAGTAATATGTAACTTCGAGTATCCGATACTTCAAAATTAAGTATCCGATACTTCAAAATTAATAAAAAATTAATTAAGAAGTATCCGATACGTATCCGCGAGTATCCGAGGAGTATCGGTATCCGATAAGTATCCGATACGGATACGTCACCCTTTTTGAAGTATCCGTGCTTCATAGGTAGCTGAATATTGTCAGCTAACTGTTCTGAGAGTTTTGAGCTACTAACAATCATATTTATCTATGTTACTCTCAATGTATTTCCTGTCTGTTCCACCTTTGTTAGTTTGCTTATGACATATTTTTCTCTTATTGTAAGCTACTGTTTAAGCATGTATTTTGTTTCTTTTCGTCATCTCTTGCTGATGAAATGTATGCACTTTGCTATTTGAATATAAGACAGTCACTGATTAATGTTGTTTTTTTTTGAGGTTTTATTTTATCTAAGATATATTTTTTCATTCATATGCTGTTGCTTAGTCGATGGGGCAACTTATAACTCTCTTCCCTGTAACATAATCTATTGCAGCATGTGAGTTTGAATCAAAATGGAAAAGTTTTTCGTGGAAACTGCTCCGGAAAAGGAAAAATGACAAGACGGGTAAAGAGCTTCTTCTGTTGCATCACAGGCAAGTAGCTCTAAATAGAGTCAAAGATTCAATCAATTGTAGTCACCTAGAAATTGACTGGCAATTGAGTCCTTCCTGATTCATAAATTCCATTTTCTTTATCTTTTTCTTTTTTTGCTTATTGTATTTGTATTATTCCTCGATGTGTTAAGCACTAGAGGCAATGGAAGTGATGTATAACTAGCCTTGAACCCATGCAATGCATGAATAAATATTGGAAAAAAAACTGTTAATAGAATTAATAATTATTATTGTATATCTTTGAACTATTACATAACATGTAAATTAAATATGGTTACAAATTAAATTTTGATTAATAGCCAAAATGTTGACACAAACTTTATTGGTGGCATTATGCTTTGTGTACCAGATTTAGGTTAATAGTGGAAAAATGACAATAGACGTAGTGTGCCATACTTGGGGGATTCTCAGAAATGATTCGTTGCCAGCGCCCAAACTTTCCCATCCCTAGCCAAATATGATTGCGCATATCCTTCAAGAGATCAAACAGTACAATTACTCCAGCAATACTAGCTAGGCCTTGTAAGATTTCTGATTGGGGTGTCCATTATAGGATTTCAACCAGATCATTGTTAAAAGGGCAAATTACACTAACAATCCCTATAATTTGGAGCTTGTGTCACTTTAGTTCCTAACTTTTCAATTGTGACATATTTGATCCTGAATTTTAAATCTTGTTCCAAATAAGGACAATTGAACATACTATTGCTTAATTTCAAGGGTAAAATCGTCAATTTGATAAAATATAAACTAATTTGATAAAAATAAATGTCAAAAAAATATTTTTAATTTTTAAAAATTATTTCTACCTATTAAAAACAAAATTATATAAAATTAATAAATCTTTTAGACATTTTTTTTTACCAAATTAATTTTTATTATGTATTTGGATGATGATCATGTAAAATTAATTTTTAAAAATTAATCATGTAATTTTTATTAATTTTTATCAATTTTACATAATTTTATTTTTAGTAGGTAGAAATAATTTTTAAAAATTTAAAATATTTTTTTGACATTTATTTTTATCAAATTAGTTTATATTTTATCAAATTAACGATTTTGTCCTTGAAATTAAGCAATAGTATGTTCAATTGTCCTTATTTGGAACAAGATTCGAAATTCAGAATCAAATATGTCATAATTGAAAAGTTAGGAACTAAAGTGACACAAGCTCCAAATTATAGGGATTGTTAGTGTAATTTGCCCTTTTAACAATGATCTGGTTGAAATCCTATAATGGACACCCCAATCAGAAATCTTACAAGGCCTAGCTAGTATTGCTGGAGTAATTGTACTGTTTGATCTCTTGAAGGATATGCGCAATCATATTTGGCTAGGGATGGGAAAGTTTGGGCGCTGGCAACGAATCATTTCTGAGAATCCCCCAAGTATGGCACACTACGTCTATTGTCATTTTTCCACTATTAACCTAAATCTGGTACACAAAGCATAATGCCACCAATAAAGTTTGTGTCAACATTTTGGCTATTAATCAAAATTTAATTTGTAACCATATTTAATTTACATGTTATGTAATAGTTCAAAGATATACAATAATAATTATTAATTCTATTAACAGTTTTTTTTCCAATATTTATTCATGCATTGCATGGGTTCAAGGCTAGTTATACATCACTTCCATTGCCTCTAGTGCTTAACACATCGAGGAATAATACAAATACAATAAGCAAAAAAAGAAAAAGATAAAGAAAATGGAATTTATGAATCAGGAAGGACTCAATTGCCAGTCAATTTCTAGGTGACTACAATTGATTGAATCTTTGACTCTATTTAGAGCTACTTGCCTGTGTTGCAACAGAAGAAGATGTTTACCCGTATCGTCATTTTTCCTTTTCCGGGGCAGTTTCCGCGAAAAACTTTTCCATTTTGATTCAAACTCACATGCTGCAATAGATTATGTTACAGGGAAGAGAGTTATAAGTTGCCCCATCGACTAAGCAACAGCATATGAATGAAAAAATATATCTTAGATAAAATAAAACCTCAAAAAAAAACAACATTAATCAGTGACTGTCTTATATTCAAATAGCAAAGTGCATACATTTCATCAGCAAGAGATGACGAAAAGAAACAAAATACATGCTTAAACAGTAGCTTACAATAACAGAAAAATATGTCATAAGCAAACTAACAAAGGTGGAACAGACAGGAAATACATTGAGAGTAATATAGATAAATATGATTGTCAGTAGCTTCAAAACTCTCAGAACAGTTAGCTGACAATATTCAGCTACCTATGAAGCACGGATACTTCAAAAAGGGTGACGTATCCGTATCGGATACTTATCGGATACCGATACTCCTCGGATACTCGCGGATACGTATCGGATACTTCTTAATTAATTTTTTATTAATTTTGAAGTATCGGATACTTAATTTTGAAGTATCGGATACTCGAAGTTACATATTACTTATAATATTTTGTTTAGTTCTTTGATAAAAGGAATATAGTGAGAGTTGAAGTAATAGAATTTGTCAAATTCATGTATCCTTGTTGTCTCTCTCACTTCTCTCTCGCTTTCTCACTCTCTCACGTTTCTTCTCTCTGCTCTCTTTCTTTTTTTGATGTTGGCATGTAAAGATGATGTTTAATTTGTATTTGCTTTTGCTTTTAATTTTGGATGTTTTATGAATGTTTGAAATTATAAATTATAAATTTTTTTAAAATTATAAATTTTTTTTTTACGAATGTATCCCCGCTGTACCCGTATCATACTTTTTCAAGTTTTGACATATCGCCATATCCACATCCCCATATCACCATATCCGTATCCGTGCTTCCTAGGCTATCATTGATGACTTAAAAAAGTCTATTTGCTGAAATTTTTATTTAAGAATGATTTTTTGGCTTTAGCTAAGGTCTTGTGATATTCACTGATGAAGGGGAACAAGTTGAAGCTATTGACCTTGAAGACTCTTAGTTTTATAGGAATCTTTCTTCTTTATCAAGTTGTCTTTTGCTTTAGGTTTTATTTTTATGCATACTGCATTACTAAAAATTGTTAAAATAATATTTTTTACGAACGTATCCCCGCCGTACCCGTATCCTAGTTTTTCAAATTTTGTCGTATCGCCGTATCCGTATCGTATCGTATCCGTATCCCGTATCTGTATCCGTGCTTCCTAGTCAGCTACGATAATTCCATAAATAAGTTGACCATGAAAACATTAGTTTGTTTTTGATAAATAAAAAAATAAAAAAAATCAATGGCTTTATTCAAATTATGTGGAGTCACTGTTTCATTGTTCATATTATCATGACTGGTCAATGGTATGAAATTTTGTAATTGCTAACAGAGATAGTGTTCTCCAAATGATTACTGAAAGCACCTGGTGACTGGCTATAATAGAATATATCAATGACCTCGATGACCATCAAAATATAAGTTTCTTGATAAAAGCCAATTGCTTTATTCAAATTATCTTGACTCACTCTTTCACTGTGTCATCACACTAGTCAATTGTATGAGTTCCTTAAGTGCAAACAGGGATTTTGGTTTCTGTTTGTGCAAAATTTACAAAGCTTTCAAGCTAGGAGGATGAGGTAGTTCAACAACTATTATATGGCAGGGTCGGATAGTGTATAGAAAAATATCCATGCAAGCACGTCAACAAAGCTCCACATTGAAAAGCAAACACCAAGTGAAGTCTCATGATTCTCTCTTATAATAGCATCTTCAAACCAGTTGGTTCCATCGAGGAATAATCTTTAGTAGGTGAAAAATCAGCGAAATTGTTGGATAAGTATTGGATAAGAAACTGTAGCAGAACAAGAGAAGCAAAATATGCTGAAACAAAATTGTTTTCGAGTGTCCAAGAGTCTATGAATTTAACTAAAGACTGTGCCACATAAGGCAATACATTGTATTTAATACCACACAGAAAAGCACAGTAACTAAATATTGCTATGTTACAGGCAATTGGATGATCTCCATAGAGACTAACAGAATGTTCTAACATAGAGTACAATCAAACAGTAAAGAGAATATAATCAAACAGTACATCAGCACTAACAAAGACATCAATTTATGTTTGTGTGTGTGTGTGTAAAAGTAACAAAGACTTCAATATAGTTGGAAAAAAATTCTGAAAACAGGAAATAGACTGGTTCTAGAAAATGGTTTGATCATCTGACATCCAGCAGCCTTGTAGAACAAGAACTCCGGCAACCATGGTAGTTGCCAGATATACTGAATTTTAGTTAAAGCAACTGAATGAATGAATGGAGCGATGACAACATGAATGTCAAGAGGTAGCAAGAATACTGTAATTGAGAGCTCTATAGACATCAAGGAGATTGGTAGTAGAAAGAGGTAGATATCAAATCCTTAAATATATGGCATTGAAATCTCAGACAATTTTAGCTAATATGTAAGTTTTTACAATTTGCAGTTTCCAATAGCATTGCAGAATTGATTATTAATCCATCATCTACATCTTTAAACTAGATAAATACCTTCACTTTGATCCTTAAATCCTTGAATGATGCATGCACAAACCCATGGCCTTCCTGCACAGGAAGCTTTTGCACCACCTTTCAGCTCACCATTATGTTGTCTGAGGCTATAAAAGAATAACCATCTTTTAGTAAAATTCTGCTATATCACACATCACGAGGATTACATCTCTTCCAATTATATAATAACTTAAAAAGATAAACATTTTTTTTTTCCTGGGGAACAAAAACATTGAGATTAAGATTCTCTTATGATGCTTCTTAGTGAGCATCAGTGATGTTTTATTATCTGTTCCCATCCTGCATGGACCGTCTGATCCTTAGTTTCATTTTCCTACACACTTAAACATTATAACATCTTTCTTCAATAATGTTATGCAAAGAACCGTGTCTAGTTACACCCGTTATTCTTTTTTTCTTTTTTTGAGCTATATGGGGTTATGAGAATGTTCCGTAGTGAAGATTTTCCTTGGAAGACTCAACTTGAAGCTTTGATAACTCATACATTTGCTTTGCATTAGCATCCTATGGAGAGTTTTATCTATATTACTCTTATTGGGCTTGTTTTGTTGAGATCTCGACCATAATTAATTTAGTTTTGGACAATATATGCTATAGATTTGTTATTGGGATTACCATTAGAACTCAATCATAGACTTGTTTATTAGGCCCTATGCTTCTGGATAGATATGTTATGTGCACGTCACAGCATAGCCTTGCAGGGGAATGCAAGGTCACATCATTTGAACAAGAGTGAGTTTTATTCAAGTAACTGGATTCTAGAGAGCTCAATGTTCAAACACGGCTTCATTTGAATGCAATGCCTTCTGTTTGGACATATGAAGCACTTGTTTCATAACAGTGTGAATATTGTTCAGACACATATTCTTTGATATGCAACTTTGTGACATGTCTGGACTAGAATTCTTGTGATTTTTGGTTCCTTACTCACTTGGGATTTCTAAATGTATATATGAAATGTGTTAGGGTTACCCCCACGGCATTCAGAACATATTGAGCACATAGAATTTCTAGAGCGCTTCTTTATAGTCTAGAATTCTTGTTTCATAATCTTGAGAGATTTGCTAGGACTTGCGCATACAGACTTAGTGGCACGTGCATCAATCAAGCTTGGTGAAGCTTGGACGACTGTGTTCATGTGTTTGGTGCAGCTAGTGGAGATCCGGAGAGACATACAAGTGGCAATGGACGGGTGAGGATGCAAATTGGACTATGAAACTACTTCAGGGTAGACAAAGTAGGATCTGCGTGTGTTTGGATCTTGGTAAGCTTTGTATTTGATCTGGGTTACTAGTGAGTTGTTTGCATCCATAGTTTTTTTCCCGAGTTAGGGTTTCCACATTATATCATGCTGCTCTCTCTTTCTATTACATTCGGTTCGTTTAATTGGTTTATTAATTTTGGATTTAATCTGATAAATCAGTTGGATCAAATTAGGTGTACCAAATTTTGGATATCATTTGATGTATATCACAAATAAATTGGTACGAGACCTGAAAGGTGAGACCCTTTAAACCGCTGCATTTGTCTATTGTATGTACCGGAATTTGGTCACTCACCATAGCATTATTCATCTTTTATTTTTGTGTTGTAGATAAATAACAAATTCTAACATATCTTATACACACTCAGTTGACAAAATACATATCAACTTCTCATAGTCTTGCACCCCATAGTGCTTTCAGGGCAAACTGTTCACTTCTACATCCTACATTCTTAGTTGACAAATCACAAACACCCTATAGGCAGATATGTTCTTTCCACCCTAAGCTAGGATAGGACACAATATAAATCACAGAGAAGAGCTTGATTTTAAAGGAATTAATTAGAACATTATGCATAGAAAGCAAATGAGACCCCCCACCACATTTCCTAATTTCAAGCTTTTTACAATATTCATATTATTTTTTGATATAACTGTGTAATTATAAATTAAAATGATATTCTGGTTTCATATTTTTCATGAACGTATCTACCCGCCTACCATCAATTTGAGAAAGCACAAACTAAAATAATAAGTTTGAGCATTCATTCCATTATAAATCAAGACAGAGAAATAGTGAACAAGAATGTTCATCTGGCGTATAATTCACATTTCAAAGTAGTCAATTTTAATAATTTCTGGAGAGAGGAGTATATACCGGCGAGAAAAATTGGTGGTGACGCCAACATAAGTTTTGATGGGGATGTTGGTGGAAAGAATGAGATATACGGACCATGAGTGCTCCTTGGATTGAGAACTCTTCGATGATGATGATGATGACGACGAAGAAGATTTTGATAGCTTACAGCTAAGATCATGATTAGGGTTAGGGTTAGGGTTAGGGTTATGATGAGGCTTCAAAGATCGGAATGTGGTTGATAGTGGCCTCGCCGACATTTGACTGGGCTTGGCTCTCTGGTCGGTTGGTTGTTGCTTTGGTTAGCATTTTAACGGTTAACAAAACCCCATCACATCACATCAAACCAACTTTAACTTGGTTGTTTCTACCGTTGTGACTAAAAACTCCGCCTACAGACAAGTCATTATACAAAGAGAAATGACAAAAAATATTATTATATACACTCCGATGATAGCCACAAGTTTTAAGGAAGGAAAATGTTTGAGGGTCACAATTTTTGTGGTCATAATGGTTTAAAACTGTTAAAACGACGTCGTTTTGGGTGTAAAATATGTCAAAACGACATCGTTTTGACAGTTTTGAGCCATTGTGACCACAAAAATTATGGTCCTCTAGCATTGTTGTTTAAGAAATTAATTACATGAATCAATGCTCTAAAATCACTTAAATGTGACTGTAATTTTAAGTTTTACTCATAAAATTGTTCAGAGAAATTTCAAAATTATGAAGAAAAAATTTTAAATGACTTATTTTCTCTCGCACAAATTTCAAAATTATTCAAAGAAAATTTTAAATTATATTTTTTTTAGAGAAATTTCAAAAATTAAACAATTTCAGTGAAATTTCTTTGATTTTTAGTCAGAAAATTCAGTGAAAATTTATTTATTTATTTTCTTTTCAAAATTTCATATTCATCATGATCTTATTTGATAGATCTTGATGAGACAATTTCAAAAATATAAATTTTACAAAATACGGAGTTTCAAATAAAAAATTATTAAATTTTAAAATTTTGAAACACATTTCAAAATATAATTTGTCTACAGTAAGAGAGAGAATTCATGGTACCAATCAGTGTGTTTGGTTTCAATTTTCTAAATTCAATTTTTTGGAAATTAAAGTTTTTTATTTTTCGTATTTTTTTGCTTTTAGTGAATGTTTTCAATATTTTAAACAATTTTTTTTACTTTTTTATATGCATCTTACTTAGATGTATCTAAATAGTAAAATATTTGTGAAAAATATTTTTAAAAATTAATAAATACACTAAAATATGAAAAATATACTGAATCTTCATTTATTTATTTATTTTGTATTTTTGATATTTAGTAAATTTTTTTAAAAAAAAAATCACAAATATTATACTTTTTAAGTGTATTTATGTTAGATGTGTCTAAATTTTTTAAAAATTGCTTAAAATATTAAAAAATTAGTGAAACAAAAAAACAAAATACAAAAAATGAAAAAATAAAATTTTCTAAAAAGTGAATTCTGGAAATGGAAACCAAACATTATCTTCATGGAATTTCAAATCTTAGGAACTTTTAAAAAAATTACTTAATATTAAAAAATATTCAGTAAAAACAAAAAATACGAAAAACGAAAATGTAAATTTTTTTTGAAAAGTGAATTCTGAAAATAGAAACCAAACATTATCTTTATGGAATTTCAAATCTTAAGAATTTTAACTAGTAAACAAATTGTGGTTATCCTTAAACTCTTACACAAATATATAGAAGGATCCCTTATTTTAAAAATAATATAAATTTTTATTGATATTTTATTTATTTAATTTTTAAAAATTCAAATAAAACAAATTTTTATTTAATCTAGCCTAAAAAAATCTAAAATATTAAAGATAGATTTAGTATTTCTATTACTTAGTAAACATTTAAAAATGGTAAAATAGTCTATTCAGCATTTATCATTCTTCGTAATATTCCAATCAAATATTGAATTCAATAGAATAGTCATTTTCAGATATCTAATCCCATGAGAAAACAAATATGGATATACATCATGTTTAACAAAATAGTCCAGGGATTATATATCTCAGGATTAATAGTGCGATAGATTATAATTCATTTTTATCTAGTTCGTCCAAAACATGAAATCCATGTTCACCATATCGAGTAGTCCGTTGTTTGGTTGAAAAATTATAGGTTGGATTAATAATTCGATTGGACTGTTAGTTCCCCATATGTGGGACTATCCTATCCTGAGAGAGAGGTGGGATACACAATCCCTGGACAAGCTCTCCTCAAAATTAGCTAATAAAAAGATAATTTTTTCCTCCAAATATTTAGGACATGTTTGGTTTAGTTTTTTTTTTTTTTTGGTAAGCATGTTTGGTTTAGTTTTTAGAAACTAATTTTAATTTTTTTTTAAATAAAAAATTGGTTTCGTGAAAATAAAAATAAAAAATAATTTTAAAAATTGTCACTTCTGACATTTAATAACATGACTAAATAAATATATGATACACATCATTTTTAACCAAATAATCTAAAGACTATGTATCCCATGATTAATAATTTAATAAATTACAATCCCTTCTTATTCAACCCATTCCTTCTTATTCAATCCATCCAAACAATCATATCTTTAAAAGGCAACTCACATAGGATATAAATCTCTCTATTAAATAATTTCTAGACGATAGTTTTCTCTGCAACATTTTGATGTAATAATGAAGATGAGAATTATATTCTTAAGAGTTCTTACAAATGCATATTTAAGAACTGTATTTTTATACAAAATCACTTTACAAATTAACAAATTATTTAAAAAATTAGTCCCTATCTTGAAGTGGGTCGTGTTTCAAAATTTTTAAAAGAGATTAGTTCACAAAAAATCCTAAACACCCTTGGTAGTGCGCGCGCACACAAAAAGAAAAACAAAAAAACCATCATTTTTTTTTTTAATTTGGTTTAACAAATTGAAAATTTCTATTTTTTAATGGAAAATTAAATGCATGTCCCATATGTTCCAAATTGAAATTTTTACTTTCCAAATTTTTAGATTGGGTTATATGATTAAATAAAAAAGAAACAATAGTTTGACAAGCACTTCTTTAGCAGCCATCATGTGAAATTTGTGAAATTTTTGATCGATCATGGAAGCCTCTATTTAAGAAATGAGTTGACTTTTTTATTTCTTTGGATATTTTATCTTGAGACTAAAAAATTTGATTTAGAAAAGATTTTTGACTTTTGTAATTTTTTTAACTTTTTTGTGAGAACAATAATATAATGATTATGAATTTGATGTGATATTTTATCTTATTTGACTAAAAAATTTATTTTTGTTTTTTGTGACTATTTTAGCCAAAATAGCCTACAAACCAACTTCCCAAACGGAAGCTAAGAGTTGATTTGGAATGTTCTAAAAAAGTATACTTTTTGACTTATTAACTTATATAGGTTGGGTTTAGGTTAGGTTTGATGTGATGTGTTAGAGAGGTGATGTGATTTAAATAAGATGATGTGACTTAAATAAAATAGTGACTTTTTAACTTTTTATATTATTTAATTTATACCAAACCAACCTTAAATCTCTTTCCCAAAGTCGAAACACCAAAAGGAGAAAAGATACAGAGACTCTCATACACATTCTCACCTCTATTTCATAATATCTCACCACTTCACTCACTTAAGCTATGATAGAGGTTTTGATCCATGCAAAAATACAAACGTAATAACCAAACCAAGACTCAAGTCTAATCAAATGAGATCGACTAAAAATACAAAAATAATATAGTATTTTTTTCACACTAAATAATTGCACCTGTTTAGATTTCTAAAAAAAATAAAAAAGTTTCTAAAAAAGCCAATCCCAAACAAAACCTACAATTAGAAAAGAAAATGCTAAGTCCAACTTTAATAACCGTGAAGATAGTCCTCACCTTCCATATTTGCTAGTCAATTTATGTAAGAGATGGATGTAAATACAAATTGTAAAACAGTTTTCTGACATACCCTTCATTACCTACCTATGCTGTAAGAAAAAACCCTGCATAAATTGAAAACAGATGCTAGCATGTGGCATGGCTTGAAAATGTGACGACAATATTATCATAAACAAAACTAGAATTTGATCGATCTTATTAAATATTCATTCATTAGAAGTACAAATCAGTTGCCTCACAAAAGCCTAGGGGGGACAAAAAGTCGGAAGTTGATCACCAAAAGCAGCTCACTGGATGGGGACTGTAATTGACTAAATCATATATAAAAATCAAAACCCAAACTCTATTTCTCAATACTACAAGATATAATTGAAAAACAATCAGCAGTTTCTATTAATGTCCGACAACTATCTTCTCTAACTGCTTTTTGAAAACAGCATGAAATTCGGAAGCAAAAAAGATGGAAGAACCAGAAACCTGCCCATAACATATCTGAAGTTGTGAGTTCTTGTGTACAACGACAAAAGGCATCAGTGGCCAACAACATCACCACAAGTTCAAGAATTGCAAACTGGCGTTTGGATGCTGGGTGGGTGAGGTGGAATTTACCCTTTCAATTCATCTCACATTCTGTCGAGTCTTGATCATTCGTTTGAGAGTTGCAAGCCAGAAATTGCACTCATCCCAGTCACTAGTGGTGAGTTGCACCTGAGCGAGGCAGAACCAAAAAGGATCAAAAAGAAATTCTTTACTCTCTAGCACCCAAAATAAATAAATAAATAAAAAGAAATAAGTGCACTGTAAAATTCCAATCTCAATAAGAGTTGTACCTGGATTTGGAGGGCAGTACTAAAATCACCATTGTCCAAAGCCTGGCAGAGCTGAACAAGCTTTTCAGCAGCATTTTTAGATATGTCCCCACTGTTAAGTTTGGCAAATAAGGCGCCTATTTTCCTGGAATTGTCTTCTATTTCCCGCTTCTTAGCTGGATTTGCACGTGAACCTCCCAGTGCTTCTGATGTCTCATTAAAAAGTCTCATCAAAGTTGTGATAACAGGCCTTTGCTGGGCTGAAGCACATAATTCACAAACAAGCAAGCTATATTAGATGAACCGCAATGCAGTAGTGGTTCATTTTGTTAAATGGGGCGACTTCCAAACAAGTTTTAAGGCATCACCAAAACAAAATGCTTGCACTTGAAAACAAAAATAATAATAATAACTACCAAAGCAAACTTTTAAGGCAAAAAAATTTATTGAAAACAAAAAAAAAAAACCAAGGTAGCGTTTGGTAGAGTTTTGGAATTATGATGTGAGAATATAATTGTATTTTGAGTTTGTGAGTTTTAGAATTATGATTTGAGTGTGAAAAATTTGTTTGGTTATAAGTTCTGAATTGAGTTTGAAATTTTTGATGTGATATATGATATTTGATTCAAAAACTTACAATTCATAACCAAACACACAACTCAAAATTCAAACTTACAAAAAAATTTAAAAAATTTCGAAAATATTTTTTATTTATAATATAAAAAAATAACGGGTGCACATTTTAGAGCTCCACCAAACACAGCCCAAGATTTGCAATTTAAAATATATTTCTTCGAGTAACAAATACAAATTGTGAAATACTTCTATTAAGATTTTCAAATAAAAAATGTTACTATACAATAATGGCCCCGTTTGGTAGAGCTGTGGGAAAGTGATTATAGCTTATACCTTAACAGCTTATAGCTTAGAACTGTGAACATAAGCTGATTTTTGACTTATAAATTAAGCTTCTTCTCCCCCACTCAAAGAATAAGTTGATTTTTGACTTACAAAAAACTATAAGCTGTGTTATTAAGCTAAACCAAACACATCAAAATAGCTTAAATTAAGTTAAAAGCTGAAATAAGCCCTACCAAAATAGCTTAAATTAAGTTAAAAGCTGAAATAAGCCCTACCAAAATAGCTTAAATTAAGTTAAAAGCTGAAATAAGCCCTACCAAAATAGCTTAAATTAAGTTAAAAGCTGAAATAAGCCCTACCAAAATAGCTTAAATTAAGTTAAAAGCTGAAATAAGCCCTACCAAAATAGCTTAAATTAAGTTAAAAGCTGAAATAAGCCCTACCAAAATAGCTTAAATTAAGTTAAAAGCTGAAATAAGCCCTACCAAAATAGCTTAAATTAAGTTAAAAGCTGAAATAAGCCCTACCAAAATAGCTTAAACAGCCCAAGATTTGCAATTTAAAATATATTTCTTGGAGTAACTAATACAAATTGTGAAATACTTCTATTAAGATTTTCTGATAAAAAATGTTACTATACAATAATGATACCCTAAAATCCTAGATGTTGCATATAGCACAAAGTAGCTGCCTTCAGACCTACTACCTAGGTCATGCCATGATACACTCACCAAGATATCATATCTAACTCTGTAGCACCCACGATACAGCCTCCGAGGTCTCAATCATGGGATGCAGGGGTAGACCTTATATCTCCGCTCTGTTGGGCCAAAGAAAGCTGGAAATTCAATCCCAACGCTATAGCAACCAAAACAGGTGGTGATACCACTACGTAACAATGGCAGCTGATTTTTGAAACACTAGAAGTACCTCAAATTCTAATCACTTGATATATACACGTCTACTTTACCGTACAACATTTTAGAGCACGTGTATACCCATACCACCTTCCCATTCCCACACAATTTGTGTTCCAGGTTTAAAGGATTTACGGCTATACACTTTTTTTACCAAGACTCTGCTTCTATGAAATTTCAGACTCAGTTATAGTTCTTACTTAGGAATTACGATTGTAACCCAATTTACTTCAAATTTCAATGAATACATAAACTTTAGAATTGGGTTGGTTCAAATATGGGACTGTATCTACCAATTGATAGCGAAGGTAGTTTCTTAAAATTACCATGGCATGCCCACGGGATCACATACACCCACACGAATGTCTTCAACATTGAAGGGAAAAAAAAAAATCTCTTCAAGGTTTTGTGGCTTTAAAGATTTTTTTTTCTTCTGGTTTAGCTACCAACAAAATTGAGAGAAAAACTTTTATAGAATAGCTATAAGACCAGCGATGCTTTACCAGAACAGGATATTGGACAATTAAGAAACAAAACATTTATAAGAGGAGTGTAGTTGAGATGAGACTGTTTGGATAGATGCGCGGCAAAACTAGAAAAGACAAATAAAAATGAATATATTTCACGATGGTAAAGAGTAACACCGATTAAAATAAGTTGAGAGATGGCACGTTAAGATAGTTTGTTAATGTACAACAAAGACCTATAGATGCAACAATAAGCAAGAGTGATCTGATCACCACAAATGGAAATATTAGGTGGAGGAGAAGACCTAAACTGACATAGGATACGATAGTTAAAAGGAAAAAAAGAAAAAAAAAGAAAACGAAAAAGATGAATTTATTTAATTTAATTGAGTATATAGCCCTTTACATAACAAAATAGATTCATGTAACAAATCACACTTAATTGGGACACAAGGCTTTGTTTGATTTGGTTTAATTTGATACCATATACTTTGGAATGCACATTGCTAGTAGAACCAAACAATGTAAAAGCGAATCCAATTTGTATCGCTTTCAATGTAAAATGGCTAAATTTTAGAGAGATCGATTACTTTTTAAAAGAAAATATCCCTCAACATTGATCAACCATCATATTTGCATCCAAAGTTTAATTTCTGGATTAATAACCTAAACATAGAATTAATACTGCTAACAAAGTCATGATTAGCACTTAGGTGGGAGATAAGACTTGGTTTCATAAGAATTTTGTTATTCCTGAGAATTTTACAAAACAATCAACCAGACTTCTTGAGCTTTGTCAATCAAAAGAATACAAGTTCCAGCTTGAACCTGTGCAATGAGCAGGGCCAAACAACCTTTATTCATGGTAAAACTAATCAACTCAAAGTAATCTTGTACAATTCACACTGTAAATGGAAATTAGAAAAGAGTGCATCCTGGTATGACTCCAAATTGACCTGGCATAACCTTAGTAGGGACTTAATGACCCATGCAAGATAAACCAGGAATTGCGTTTGATGATCTGATTTTGAACAAAACTTGATCTTTTAGCTATTTTAAAGGGTTACAAGTGTCTGCAGGTAAAATTTGTATAATAAATACAAAAAAGGTTGACACAAACACAGGTACAGCACAATAACGATGTTCAAAAATCAAGATATGCAAACCCAATCAAAACAGTATATATGAACATAAATCAAGGGCAATCAACAGTTCTCTATTTACAGAAATTTAACTATGGAGGATGGTCCACATAGATCTTTAACATCTTTCAGGGATAATGTCTAAGAAGCACGGACACGAATACGGATGTAGACGTAGACACGAACACGGATGCAAACACGGGACATGGCAATTTCAAAAAAATGGGGGCACGGACACGGCGGAAACACGACAATAAAATATGTTTTCATATATTTTTATTTGTTATCTAGATTAATATTACATCCACAAACAATCAATATTAACAAAAACTAACTCTAATTCTTTTTTTTTTTAAGACAATTTTAAATTAACACTTATAATTTATATCTTTTTTTTATGAATGATCTATTAAGTATTTAAATCTAAGAAAAAAAATAATAAACATCCAACATTCATCAAAAGCACTAACTATAAGGCCTCGTTTGGGAACAGGCTAATTTAGTAACTTTTTGGCTATTTGGCTAAAAAGGTAGGTAAAAAAAACTTGTATGTTTGGGATGACTTTTTGGCTAATTATGAAAAGATGTGCAAAAAGTAGAGAGAAAAGAGAATCTTTGACTTTTTTGTTGGGCCAAAGAAAGCTGGAAATTCAATCCCAACGCTATAGCAACCAAAACAGATGGTTATAACACTACGTAACAATGGCAGCTGATTTTTGAAACACTTGAAGTACCTCAAATTCAAATCACTTGATATATGCACGTCTACTTTATCGTACAACATTTTAAAGCACGTGTATACCCATACCACCTTCCCATTCCCACACAATTTGTGTTCCAGGTTCAAAGGATTTACGGCTATACACTTTTTTTTACCAAGACTCTGCTTCTATGAAATTTCAGACTCAGTTATAGTTCTTACTTAGGAATTACGATTGTAACCCAATTTACTTCAAATTTCAATGAATACATAAACTTTAGAATTGGGTTGGTTCAAATATGGGACTGTATCTACCAATTGATAGCGAAGGTAGTTTCTTAAAATTACCATGGCATGCCCACGGGATCACATACACCCACACGAATGTCTTCAACATTGAAGGGAAAAAAAAAAATCTCTTCAAGGTTTTGTGGCTTTAAAGATTTTTTTTTCTTCTGGTTTAGCTACCAACAAAATTGAGAGAAAAACTTTTATAGAATAGCTATAAGACCAGCGATGCTTTACCAGAACAGGATATTGGACAATTAAGAAACAAAACATTTATAAGAGGAGTGTAGTTGAGATGAGACTGTTTGGATAGATGCGCGGCAAAACTAGAAAAGACAAATAAAAATGAATATATTTCACGATGGTAAAGAGTAACACCGATTAAAATAAGTTGAGAGATGGCACGTTAAGATAGTTTGTTCATGTACAACAAAGACATATAGATGCAACAATAAGCAAGAGTGATGTGATCACCACAAATGGAAATATTAGGTGGAGGAGAAGACCTAAACTGACATAGGATACGATAGCTAAAAGGAAAAAAAGAAAAAAAAAGAAAAAGAAAAAGATGAATTTATTTAATTTAATTGAGTATATAGCCCTTTACACAGCAAAATAGATTCATGTAACAAATCACACTTAATTGGGACACAAGGTTTTGTTTGATTTGGTTTAATTTGATACCATATACTTTGGAATGTACATTGCTAGTAGAACCAAACAATGTAAAACGAATCCAATTTGTATCGTTTTCAATGTAAAATGGCTAAATTTTAGAGAGATCGTTTACATTTTAAAAGAAAATATCCCTCAACGTTGATCAACCATCATATTTGCATCCAAAGTTTAATTTCTGGATTAATAACCTAAACATAGAGTTAATACTGCTAACAAAGTCATGATTAGCACGTAGGTGGAAGATAAGACTTGGTTTCATATGAATTTGGATGTTCATAGATATTGTTATTCCTGAGAATTTTACAAAACAATCAACCAGACTTCTTGAGTTTTGTCAATCAAAAGAATACAAGTTCCAGCTTGAACCTGCGCAATGAGCAGGGCCAAACAACCTTTATTCATGGTAAAACTAATCAACTCAAAGTAATCTTGTACAATTCACACTGTAAATGAAAATTAGAAAAGAGTGCATCCTGGTATGACTCCAAATTGACCTGGCATAACCTTAGTAGGGACTCAATGACCCATGCAAGATAAACCAGGAATTGCGTTTGATGATAAATAATCTGATTGTGAACAAAACTTGATCTTTTATCTATTTTAAAGGGTTACAAGTGTCTGCAGGTAAAATTTGTATAATAAATACAAAAAAGGTTGACACAAACACAGGTACAGCACAATAACCATATATGCAAACCCAATCAAAACAGTATATATGAACATAAATCAAGGGCAATCAACAGTTCTCTATTTACAGAAATTTAACTATGGAGGATGGTCCACATAGATCTTTAACATCTTTAAGGGGTAATGTCTAAGAAGCACGGACACGAATACGGATGTAGACGCAGACACGGACACGGATGCAAACACGGGACATGGCAATTTCAAAAAAATGAGGACACGGACACGGCGGAAACACGACAATAAAATATGTTTTCATATATTTTTATTTGTTATCTAGATTAATATTACATCCACAAACAATCAATATTAACAAAAACTAACTCTAATTTTATTTTATTTTTTAGACAATTTTAAATTAACACTTATAATTTATATCTTTTTTTTATGAATGATCTATTAAGTATTTAAATCTAAGAAAAAAAATAATAAACATCCAACATTCATCAAAAGCACTAACTATAAGGCCTCGTTTGGGAACAGGCTAATTTAGTAACTTTTTGGCTATTTGGCTAAAAAGGTAGGTAAAAAAAACTTGTATGTTTGGGATGACTTTTTGGCTAATTATGAAAAGATGTGCAAAAAGTAGAGAGAAAAGAGAATCTTTGACTTTTTAGTATGGATTGTTGGCTTTTTAACTAATTTAGTAACTTTTTGACTAATTGACTAAAATAGCCTCTTGCCAAACGAGGCCTAAAATAGGGGAAAAGACAACTTGGCATATCCTTAGCGTGTCCTCTTAAGTGTCCCCAGCATGTCCCTGAAAATAAATTAATTAAATAAGGGGAAACACCATGTGATGTGTCCCATACATGTCCCCGAAGTGTCTGTGTGTCCCCGAAATGTCCGTGTGTCCGACATGGATACGGCACTTGTTTTGAAGTATCAGTGCTTCATAGGATAATGCAATTGGCTTTTGAGAAATAAAAATAGCAACCGGAAAGGTCCTTGTCCTTGCCTTAGTTTCTGAGGATACAATTCAATTACAATTTTCTGGAGACAGGACAAAGACAACAAGCACAGCTACTTGACGTTACTACAATATCATCTTTCACAGAAAGTTAGTAACATACTTTTGTCATCTTCTCTTCTTCTTTCTACATCCTAGAACCCCCTTCGTCAATGTCAAGCATCAGAAGAGGAAGGTTTCTTCTACATTTTTCATCAACTCACAAGAGCAGCAAGGCCATGTGTTTCAATCCCATTTCAACACACGTAACAATAAATCCATCCCTTGTTGCACCATTCTCTACAACTCGCAACTTATAGTTAGTTACCTAAGTGAAAGTCTTTCAAAGTCATGATCCACAACTCGTAATTTGTATAAAGGGGTAGTATCTTAATATTATTTTTCCTTTTTCCCCCCTAAATACAAAGGTTGCAAGTCTCCCTTTCTCGAAATTATGTTGTTTCTCATTTCATACTTTTAGCATGTACCCATAGTTTGTAACATTTCCCTTTCACAGATTTGGAAGAAAACTAGGCATCTAAAAGTTTCACAGCTCATCATATGTTGACAGAACTGATAAAAAAAAAGGAATTGAAACCTGTGAATCCAGAGTATAATTGAAAAACCATGCAATGTAAAATAAAAAAGAAAAGAAACAAGGTTACCAGGTACATTTGAAGTATCAGCAGTCTGCGCTGTAGGTGGCGGAGCTGCAGGAGTTACGGCCGGTTGTACTTGTGCAGGCTGAGTAGGACTGGATGGTTGGGTTGGACCCATCCCAGGATTTTGAACTCCTGAATTCATAATTGGCATAAATCCCCTGGATACTGCGGTTGGAGCCAAAACCTGGGGCATGTTATGCCCAGGAACTGGACCAGCTTGAGAAGGAATAGGGCCAAGAGAACCACCTCCAGGAGGACCAGCTTGATAATTAGGGTTGCCAATCCCCTGAAACAAATATGAACAGTAAATTTTAGTATATTATCCCATTGAAACATTTCATGAGATAAATTTATAAGGGAGCCCAAAAAAAGAGACACATACCGGATACAACTGAGAACCCAATGTGGGCTGCTGGTATTGCCCCGCATTTCTCAATGCAGGAGGGGTTGCAGGAACAAAGGGTTTCACTGTAGGTTGAGTGGTAACAGGAGGTGCAGCAAAGTTCATCTGAAATTTAAACAATAAAGAAAAGAACAAGAAAGAAAGAACAAGAAATCTCAATTTGAATGGGAGTTTGCAGCACAGTATTCTTGGTAATAAATGACAGAAGATACCGTAAATTAAATAAACATACAAACAAAAAAAATAAACAAATAACAAGAATTGATTATCCAAGTGAAACTGATGAACGTGAGGTTCATGCCATAACCATCCTAAAAGCCAGAAATTCAAACAAATCATTTAGAGAAGTTAAACAGGCAATAAGATTGAAAAGTCTATTTCTGTCTGGAAGATCTAGCCAAACCAAGCACTTTTAGGCAACCAATATACATAATGAAAGAACAAACGTCTACCAGCCTAGCAAGCAAATAATATTCTCAATTATTACAAGTGTGATTCATTTAGTATGAAACAATTATTACTTCCTAGTGGGAATGAACCCAATGATGTAAATACCTGGGGAACTTGAGGTGCTTGGGATGGAAAAAACATTTGAGGCTGGGGCGCTGGCTGATATGGGGCAGGAGCACCATATCCTCCTCTCCCATATGAAGAATCAAATGACTGTTGGTAATTTTCGCCATAAGGAATGCCTGGAGTGCTCTGCTGCAGTGGTGATGGTGCTTCCTATGTAATAAAGGAAAAACCAGTACAAAGTATCACTATAAGCAAAACAGCAGATTCTATAGATAGACGGCTGCTGCAACAGAAATACATCTCATGTTGAAAAGCTACACGATTAAGTACCTGATAATAATTTGGAGAAGCCTCAACTGCACGAAAACTGGATTGATCAGCACCATATAAGGATCCAGTTTGTGATTGAGGGTTTTCAAAAGCCATAGACTTGGGTACTTCTTTCACTGCCACAACAGTGACACATATTCATCAGCTGACACTAAAGTTGTAGCAAGGTATATCATCCCATGTTTGGGACAGGTAGTAGAAAAGCTTATTTCATATTAAAAATTGAGTACCTAAACCAAGAAGCATAATTTAAAACTAGTCAACTTGGAATAGCATCAGAAATCAATAAACCATCTTCTAAATCATATATGAATGTAAATTATGTAATAAAGGAGACTAGAAGTAGAAATGGAAATATGCACCCAAAAAGATAAGATAAAATTATATGAATAGTAAAATCCACTATGATGTAGCAACTACAGCCCACAACCATTGTGTAACTGCTGCTAGGTCCAAGAGAGTGCTAGGCCCAATTTCATGAGTTTTCTCCTATCCAAACCCTCTAAAAACCAGATCTTAACTACGATCTAAGAAAAAAGTTCAAAATTAAGCTTAAATCATAACTCAAAGCTCTTTAATGCCTGAAAAAAATACAAAGATGTCAGACTCAGCACCACCAAATTTTATTGTCAGTGTTTCTAGCTGCAATGATACTAGATTTTTCATTCTCACACAGATTTACCTGTTTGACAAATAAATAAATCTTGTTAGTGAGATCTAAATTGCAAGTTGCAAATCATCCGAAAGCTTGGATCAATTTTTGTTCTCTTATGAATTGGGAAGATGAACTCCGCCGGGGTTGTTAACAACTCTGCCGATCCCAAGCCCGGGTTAAGGAGGAGGGTTGTGTGTTAGGTAGCCGACAGCCAACACGTAAAAAAAGCCGCTCGGATCCCTTATGAAAATGAATCTTACTTTGAATCGTTTAAATGCTAGGTCGTTCCCCTCAAGTGACGCGTTGTGCCTGCCTCCGGGTGTTTCGAAAAGTGAGCAAGGGGCGCCGCATCGACGCCTGGGTACGGTGAAAAATGGGCAAAGGTTTCCGCGCTTTTCTGGGCGAGCGCGGATAAAGAAGCTAGTCCAAGACTATAGGTTTAGGGTAGCCATTTGGAACATAGTAACCTTAACTGGTAAGACGATGGAATTGATAGATGTTATGATTAGGAGAAGAGTTAGTATAGCTTGCATACAAGAAATTAAGTGGACAGGAGAGAAAGCTAGGGAAATTGAGGATATCGGTTTTAAACTATATTATAGTGGCAAGGATAGACGCAGGAATGGGGTAGGAATCATAATTGCCAAGGGTCTTGTGAAAAGTGTAGTGGCGGTCACTAGGAAAGGAGATAGGATTATGCTAGTTAAACTAGTTATTGGAGGGAATATAGTGAATATTATTAGCACATACGCCCCTCAAGTAGGGTTAGATGATCAGACTAAGAGGGATTTTTGGGAGCAAATGGATGAGATCTTACAGGAGATACCCGTAGGAGAGAACCTAGTTATAGGTGGAGATTTTAATGGCCATGTGGGCATAGATAAACTAGGTTATGAAAGGGTGCATGGTGGATACGATTTTGGTGACAGAAATGAGGCTGGAGAGAGTATCTTAGATTTTGCGTTGGCTTCTGACCTGGTGGTGGCCAATACTATGTATAAGGAGAGGGAGGAGCATTTGATAACCTTTAAGAGTGGATTAGTTAAGAGTCAAATAGATTACTTCTTAGTGAGAAAAGTGGACCGCCTAAAATGCAATAATTGTAAGGTGATTCCTGGAGAGAGTCTAGTCTCTCAACATAGGATTTTGGTACTAGATTTATGTTTTAGAGGGCAATACTAAGCTAAGAAGGATGGTGGGCGTCATAGGACGAGATAGTGGGACCTAAAAGGGGATAAACTAGAAATATTTAAGAATCGAATGGATAAGGAAGGTACTTGGGACTTAGAATGTGATACTAACACTATGTGGAACTCGATGGCCAATTGTATGAGGAGAATCTCAAGGAAAGTGTTTGGAGAGTCAAAAGGAACGGGACCCAGCTCTAGGGAAACTTGATGGTGGAGGGAAGAGGTTCAAGCGGTAGTTAAGGCAAAAAAAGAGTGCTTTAAAAAGTGGCAAAATGATAGAACTGAGGAAAACCTTAAGAGCTATAGATTGGCTAATAAGGAGGTCAAGAAAGAAGTGAGAGAGACCAAGTTAAAAGTATATAATGACCTATACACTAGACTAGATAATAAGGAGGGAGAGAAGAGGGTATACAAACTTGCTAAGATACGGGAGAGGAAAACAAGAGATTTTAATCAAGTAAAGTGCATCAAGAGTGAGGATTCTAAGGTATTGATGAAGGATGATGAGATTAAGAAAAGATGGAAGAATTATTTTGAGAAACTATTAAATGAGGAACATGGAGGTACGACAATAAGGGAAGAAATAGCCAGTAATACGATAAACCAAGACTATAGGTTCTATCGCAAGATTAAGAACTTTAAAGTGGAAATTGCGCTTAAGAAGATGAAATCAAATAAGGCTTTAGGACCCGATGATATCCCTATTGAAGCTTGGAACTGTTTGGGTAAAAAAGGAGTTGGTTGGTTGACTAGGTTGTTTAGCAAAATTTTGTTGACTAGGAATATGCCAGATGAGTGGAGGAAGAGTATTTTAGTGCCAATCTATAAGAATAAAGATGATGTCCAGAATTGTAACAACTATAGAGGAATCAAACTAATGTGTCATATAATGAAAGTGTGGGAGAGGGTGATGGAACGCCGATTGCAAGATATAACAGAGGTGTCAGAGAATCAATTTGGGTTTATGCCTGGTAGGTCAACAATGGAAGCAATCTATCTTTTGAGGAGAGTAATAGAAAAGTATAAAGAAAAAAAAAAGAGACATTCATATGGTGTTTATCAACCTTGAGAAAGCATATGACAGAGTGCCCTGGGATATAATATGGTGGGTGTTAGAGAAGAAAGGGGTGACAAAAGGTTACATTGACGTAATTAGGGACATGTATGAAGGGGTGGTGACCACTATTAGATCGCCAGCTGGAGAGACAAATGAATTTCCTATCACTGTAGGGTTACACCAAGGATCTACCTTAAGTCCTTATCTTTTTGCATTAGTTATGGACGAGTTAACGATAAATATTCAGGATAACGTGCCATGGTGCATGCTTTTTGCAAACGATATTGTGCTAGTGGATGAGACTAGAGAAGGAGTTAACACAAAGTTAGAGATTTGGAGAAAAGCTCTTGAATCTAAAGGATTCCGGATAAGCAGAACTAAGACGAATACATGGAATGTAAATTTAGTAACAGTAGCAATGAAAGCAGAGGAGAAGTGAAGATTGAGAACCAAGAATTGCCTAAGAGTGAACATTTTCGTTATTTAGAGTCGATTATCACAACAGCGGGAGAGATTGATGCAGATATGGCCCATAGGATTAAGGCGGGATGGTGAAAGTGGAGAAATGAGTCTGGGATATTGTGCGATAAACGAATACCCACTAGACTAAAAGGTAAGTTTATAGAACGGCTATTAGACCAGCTATGTTGTATGGAATGGAGTGTTGGGCAACCAAGAAACAACATGTAGATAAGATGAGTGTGGCTGAGATGAGGATGCTAAGGTGGATGTGTGGTAAGACTAGACAAGACAGGATTAGGACTGAGTGTATTCGGGAATGGTAGGAGTAGCACCGATAGAAGATAAGTTGAGAGAGAATCGTTTGAGATGGTTTGGTCATATTCAACGGAGACCAATAGAGGCAGTAGAGAAGAGATGCGATGCTGTAACGGTAGATGGAAGTGTTAGGGGACGGGGTAGGCCTAGATTAACGTTGACTAGCGTTTTACATAGAGATATAAATCTACTTAATTTGACTAATGAAATGACCTTTGATAGGGCCGCGTGGAGAAGAAGGATTCATGTAGCCGACCCCATTTGATGAGACTTAAGGCTTGGTTTGGTTTGGTTTGGTTTGGTTTATGAATTGGGAAGATGAGGGGGAGAGGAGAAGACTAATTTACATCCCAAATATTGGCTTCAATTTGTGATACTTATATGTAGATTTTTCAAGGTTTATAACCGGTTTTCTTTGTTGAGTAAGAGACTAATAAAGCATTAATGTTTTAGTTTAGTATTTTTCATTTTTTTGTTTGATCTTAACCTCCAAGATGACCATATAATAAATGAAAAAAAACAAGATAAATAATGAAATTTTAAAAAAAATTGTTCATTAAAGAAGGCACCACAAGAGGGAGGGCCCAACCATGTACATCCCACCAGAAGAGATTTCTTTTTCTTAAAACAAAAAAACAAAAACAAAAAAAATGTTAAAATTGATGTATTATTGATTGATATGTATGTTATATATTACAAATGGTGAGGGGCTCCTTATATAGGAGATGTAGTGGAGTAGGTGGAGTAGGTGGTAGTAGGTGGTAGTGGTAGGTGTGTAGTAGGTGGTAGTAGGCGGTGGTAGGTGTAGTAGGTGGAGTAGGTGATGATAGGTTTTAACAGCCCCCCGCAAACTCAAGGGGGATAGGAACTAACCAACTTGAGTTTGGAGAGAGTAACAAAACAAGAAAATAGACGAATACATAAAAGAAAAGAGGATAGGAGACACTGTATGGACGTGTCAGACCGGTGGTGAAGATACTGTATGGTTGTGTCATAACGTTGTAGAGGACACTGGATGGTTGTGTCATAACGTTGTAGAGGACACTGGATGGTTGTGGCAGACCGTTGTAGCAGATAAAGTCTGGACAGTGGACGAGGTCACACCGGACCGAGGGAGATGCTAACCGGAATCAATGTCGGGACAGTGTAGGGGGTCATGTCGGACCGTTGAAAAATACACTGTATGATGGTGTATATAGGCTGCCCAAATATATATATACATGGATATATATATCGAGCCCTCAAAAGTCGCGCCCTCAAAAGGCGCGCCCACTTCATCAAAAGTCGTGCCCGACAGAAAGCGTCGAGCCATCAAAAGGTGAGCCGGAGACGCGGCGAGGCACGTGAGCGACAGAGCGGCGTGTCGGCCGCGTCGTCAGTGTCGATATAAACCAATGCGGAGGCTGTGGAAACCAAACCAGGCTGAAACCTCTGAACATTGTCATTCTAAAACACTCTGTAAATACTCTGGATTCAACCCGTCTCTGAAAAACTCTGCGTTTTCGGAGAGAGAAACTTTGTAACACTCTGTAGCCCAGAAAATGGCCTCTTCTTCCCGTGGTCTGCTCACTCTCTTTCCTTTCAAAGAACGAGGTAGCACTTATAAACCACGTTTTGAACAATAAATCCCACAAATGTAGATGAGCCGAATTCGAATGCATGAAAAGTGGATACAAGGCATGGATATGATAAATAAAACATGATGCTTATCAATAGACGTGAAAAGCATATAAATATGGGGTTGGAAGTTATTACAACAATGAATAAATAGAAGACATGGGGTTAGAAGTTATTACAACAATGAAAAAATAGAAGACATGAAGTTAGGAATTATTACAACAATGACTCGATTCATCCAAATTAAGCTGAATCTAACAAATCATAGGATAAAAGCAAACAAATTATAAACAACAGCCTCAGACCCTAGGAGATCATCCTTCCGAAGCAGCTCTTTTCTGCTTTGTTCTACCTGAGAAATGTAAGCCAGTTATATGAAAGTTTTGTTGGTTGGACGGTTCATCAGCTGGCCGGATAAAGAATCCGAGGGAAAATCTGTTTTGCGCAGCAGATCCAAAACAAAACAATAACATCTTCCAAAAGGATGCTCATCCTTTTTACCTATTTTTCTTAAAAACACGTCAAGAAAGCGGTATAGGGGCCTCATCCCACAATTAGCAACACAAAAAGGCACTAATAACATGATATTTATAACAATTTATCAAATGAAATAGAAATTGAAGCTGTAAGAAATTCAAACCCAAGAAATAAATAGAAACCTACATTCATCTCTTTGTGAATAAGGGTAAATTAATATCCAAATCCATGCTATTAATTTGAGAGAGTAGATTGTCACAATTTATAAGGTGAAACCTCATAAAGCAAATGAAAGCTCCAAGGGAAAAGTTGGGCGGTGGAAAGAAGAAAAAGAAAATATATATATATATATATATATAAGAGAAAGAATGTTTGGGGCGGTGGAAAATGTGATGATGGTTTTGGGTGGAGAATATTTGAGAATGGAAAAGGGTATATAATAATAATTAGAAAAGTGAATGGGGTGGCCCGAGGAGGGTGCAAGTCAGTGCTCTAAGAAGAATAAGAAAATGAATGGGGTTGCCTTTTGATTATTATTATTATTATTATTATTATTATTATTTTATTTTTATTTTTTTTACTTCCTCATAGGAAAGTACATCTCCTTCTTCTTCTCCCTTTCAGTCTTCAGTGATGCCTGATGCTTGGTGAGGTGTCTACGGATGGCTCTGGTGTCCGCAGCCGATAGCTATGTTGTTAACCGTGTGTTTGTGTATCAACCGTGTGTCATCAGTGCTAGTCGGGAAGAACGAAGCAGGCGGCGAAGAGCTTGCCAGAGGAGGGATTTTGGGCAAAGTCCGATGTAGTAAAAAAATGGAAAGTCCGATGTGTTACGAGTCAGACCATCTGAATCTGAAGGCAACCGAGCTAAGATTAGGGTTACCTGGAACAGATGAGCCACAGAAACAATCGTCTCAGATTGTTCGGAGCAACAAACGAGGCTCGTCGGAGATCGATGATACTGAAAATGGAGACCGAGATCGTGGCGAAGAAAATTGAGGCGGATGGTTGTGGAATGTATGTGAAAGTGAGCATGGATGGAGCTCCTTATCTTAGAAAGATTGATCTCAAGGTTTACCAGACCTACCCTGAGCTACTGAAGGCCTTGGAATTCATGTTCAAGTGCACTATTGGGTACAATGGATCTGAATATGCACCAACATATGAAGACAAAGATGGTGATTGGATGCTGGTTGGAGATGTCCCATGGGAGATGTTCATCACCTCTTGCAAAAGGATGAGAATCATGAGAGCATCAGAAGCTAAAGGCTTGGGATGTCTATAGAAAGAAAAGGAAACCCACAAAAAAGCGCAACTACACACAATGATGGGAAGGTATGTGTAGAAAATAAGCAGATTAGGTTGAGGTCCGGCGGGCGGCTAAGGTGAGGTTGCCGCCCGCCGGGGAAGCGAAAATATTAGGTTCTAAACCTGCTCTGATACCATGTATGTTAAGAGATGTATTATTGATTGATATGTATGTTATATATTACAAATGGTGAGGGGCTCCTTATATAGGAGATGTAGTGGAGTAGGTGGAGTAGGTGATAGTAGGTGGTAGTGGTAGGTGTGTAGTAGGTGGTAGTAGGTGGTGGTAGGTGTAGTAGGTGGAGTAGGTGATGGTAGGTTTTAACAAAAAATTTCCAAAAGACCTGTACTCTCACATGTCAACCGTCAAGACCACAAAATCCAAAATTTGCTCCCAGAATTCCACACCCATTCAAAGAGTAAAAATCTACTCTTCAATCTATCAAATGGATCCTCAACTCATTGAAAAGATATTCTAATGTGCTCTCCCCAAATAATCCACATCAAATCTTAGCCCAAATGTCCCACCTTCCTTGCCATCCAAAATCTTTTCCCCTCCAGCTATGAATAAGGTTAGTCATATTACTCAGGAACTGCTAATAAACCCCAAACATAGCTAGCTAAAACATCACCAAAGCTCTCTTACCATCTCACAATGGTTAAGTAGAAGGCAGACATACTTTTTCACTTTCTGGCATGCTTGCACTGCACATATAACACCAATTGACAACAATATGTATTCTCTGGATTACGTAGTCTAAGGTGAGAACCTCTCCATGAGCTGCTGCCCATAGAAAGAAAGCCACCTAAGAAACTGCTTGGGACACTCAAATCACTTCCAAGGGAAAGACAACTCACAAATTCCCTCTAGAGCACCATCGAAAGAATATGGGTGTATTTGGTTTCGTTTTGGGAGATAAATTTCAAAAAAAATCTTGGGGAAAGAATAGAAATTTTTTTGGTTTGTTTGGTTGTATATTTTGGAAATAGTTTTGGAGTGTGGGAGTTTGGGATAATTTGATATTTTGTTTTAGTTGAGTAGATGTGTGTGAGAAAAAAAGTGATTGAGAAGGAGAGAGGAGAGAGAAAAAGTAATTAATTGATGTATAGGAGATAGAAAGTGATTTTGGAATTTTTTTTCCAAAATCACTAAACCAAACATAATTTTAGAAAATTTTCTCCAAAATGTGTTTCTCAAAAACAAACCAAACAAGGCCTATATTTCTTGATCATATTTTTTATTAATTCCGTAGCATATTAATTGATCTTATGCAGAAAAAATAATACATAAAAGGGCAGAGATAACCTTTCCGACTGACATAAACTTGAAAACCAAAATGAAGCTATTTAACTGTATGTGTGCCCTACAAAAACATGCCCTAATATCCACCCTCTGTTATGCAGCATCCTTAAACGCATTCCCATTTATACAGTGGAAGGTAGAATGAATATGGAAAGTCGGATTTTTTATTTTTATAATCCAGGGTATCTCACGCCTAGCCCAGACCAACTTGGCCCAATTTACCTCGTATATGGACAAACGAGAACTAATCCCTAGTCCCTAATGTTAACATTCGGGCAAACCTCCAATGATCCCCTGGGAGACTTGAACTCAAGACCTTGGATCTTCTCCTTAGGTCTTTACCGCTCAGCCAACCCCTTAGGCACACACAAACTTCACCTTGGAGGGTCAAGAGACCTATCTAAACAAAGTAAAGCCAAGTATCGGCACATCACAAAAAACAAGTTTTAGGCCAAGTTTGGCTACAAAGAAAAAAGTGCACTTATTTCATCTTTTTATCTTTTTTGGGTCACATCAATCAACATCTCCTCTCTACTTTTTCTACACATAATACAAAAAAAGTCAAAAAGTGCACTTATTTAGTCTTCCCAAACTATGCCTTAATAGAAGCATATGCATCATAAAACTCACATAAAATATAAATAAGACGTAAAATGACTCAAAATCAGATTATGTAAGTTCCTGTGGGCTTTAGTCTTGAATGTGAGCCAAATTCATAACTCTTTGCATCTTTGAATTTGCTTTTCCTTGAGCCTCTTAGGGATTGCATCAATATGTCTTGTATTACTAGCTTGAATATTCTGTAGTACAGACTTTAGGGATCACAAATCAAAATCTTCATGGTATATGCAAAAAGGCAAGTTTCTTTCAATTTTTCTCTATAGATATTACGCTTTACACAGTAATCAGAAAATTTGACAAACTTCCAGTTTATAGAATTCTTTCTAGACAAAGCATGTGGAGAAGAAATGACCTAAAATAAACAAGTGTACCCAGTGCCAAGAAAAAAGGCTCACATTACAACATCAGCAACAGACAAGACAGGAAAAAAAGCCTCACAACACAGTACTGCTACATACAAAGCCAAAAGCACATACCAACTTCTGTGGACCGTGAAACACAATCTCGTAAGATCATAAGCTCAGGAGACAATTCATCAGTTCCCATTAGTTTTAAGTACTCCATAGCTGTAGTTAAAAGCCCTTGACTTGCTAATATTTCAGCATATTTCTCAACAAGCTTGCACAAAGACGCACTAAATTGCTTCTGCCCAGTTGCCAAAGCAAGGACTATAGTCTTTTCCATTAAATCCTAACAAATAAAAAGATAATATTGTCAACTCTCGAACTAGAACATATTTCTTGAATAAACATTCAAAAGTAGCATACTTACCTGAAGAAGGTCGACATAAGATTTCCCCTCATGATCTGCTGTCAGACTGCGTGACCAAATTTCCACTGCCTTGTCAATATTTCCAGCACATATATAACAAAGAGTCGCAGCTAGTGTATTACCAACAGCCATGAGCCTAGAAGCAAGTGTATCACAGAGCAAAGTCCACTCCTCCCTCTGTGCAAACTGTTCATGGATGACAATACATTTTAGTAAATGCAGTGCAATCAAAACGAGTGCTGCAATTCACTTCTTATTTCTCCCATTAATAAATCTTGGGATCATCATTGCCATCAAAACCATATGGAGGGGAGGGACTCTTGACTCACTTAAAAAAAAGTTAGGATTGCAATTAAAAAAAATACACCCAACAAAAAAAAATGGACACTTAAAAATTTCATTCCTTGTTTTTAATACAAGAATAAGTGACTTTGGAACTAATCTACAGATGAATTTGAAATGACAGTGCAGTATCAAATAAGCTATATTTTCAACCTTCTAAATTGAGGCACTTACAGTACAAAGTAGGGCAAGTGTCTCCTTCCAGGATTTCAGGGGCCTGCTGTTCACAAGGCTCATGAGATCATTGTTGACCATTGCAGAAACAACCTGATGGTGAAATGAAATGATCAGTAGAATCCTAAAATACAATGTAGTATCCAATAATTCCCTGGTGATTGGGAATCATTACATGCGAGTACAATCATACCATGACATTTGAGAAAAGATAGATAAATTATTTGACAACATCCGAGGAAAGAACACAAAGTTTTGGCTACCTTCAAGTAAGGAGAATGGCTCGTCTTGAGGTATTGATCCCGTGCGCTGTCCCACAAGGAAGCACCACCAACATGAGCAATAACTAGAGCATCAGCCATTTTATTTGCAGATATACAAAGCGCAACTGCCCCTTTGTAGTCCCCAACAACCAATGCACGTTGAACATCATCATCAAATGATGCATCAAATGAGGGGTCAACACTCTCCTCTGGTACATGCATTTCTTGTGTCATTTCTTCCACGCTGGGAACGGAGCCTCCAACAGTAAAGTTATCCCCAGAATTAGACACAGGTGTTTCAGCTTTAGGACTTGGAAGATTGTTAAAGAAATCTTCCCCATTATCAGAGAGGAAGGTGGTGGTTTCTTTATCCGCCACATATCCTCCTTTATCTGCTACTTTTTCTTCAAGACCAATAGCACTTACATCCTGAGAGAGATCATCTTGCCCCTTGTCTTTTGATTCAATAGGTAGACTGAAACCAAGATGGGTAAGCAACTTCGTCCTTGCTGTCCCATCATCTTCAAACATAACCTTCAAGAAGCCCCATGTTTCTCTGTCATCTTCAGATCTGCCCAGACAATTCAGTGAAAGCCAAAGATTGAAGTAACAAATTAGTTAAGAATATTAATGAAAAAAGAAAAAAAAAATCTTTCCTTCATACTGAAAACATACTCGGACTCTTCAGATTTTTTATCACATAAAAGCCTTAGTGAATATCTCTCCCCATTATGTATTGCAGCTTCAAATTCAGAAGAGCGGCTCACCAAACTGTGTTCTGTAACTAAGTCATGCACATAAACCTGGAACACAGTGAAGGTAATGACCATATAAGATCGTGGAAAAAGAACCATGTAACACAGAACCACCAATTAAAAATACCTCTGAAGCTCCAGCTGAAGCATCATTAGAGAAAAACGAAACAAGCTTGCCTCCAAAACCAAAAGATGCTCCTGCTTTCCGTTTATACCATTTTGGGGCTCTCAATGGTGCTGCACAGAATGGATAAACTATGAGAAAATAACCAAAGATAAATCAAGAGGGGGGAGAAAATACCATAGAACACAATTAACATGGTATTACAGAGAAACAGTGGGAAGTTTCAACTGAAAACTAACGAAAAAGAAGAGGAACTAAAAGACGTGGGTGATTGACAATGATTGACAAGATGACTACTTCATCAGACAACTTTAAGGGCTTCTTATATTTTCAAATTTTCTATTTGTACTGTCATCATGTCCCTTCGACAATATTCAAAGATCTCAGGTAAAGATTTTTTTTTTTTTTTTGAAAAGTGGCGAAGAATATTATTAAGCATAAGCAAGAAAATGGAAAGAGAACAAGGAGTCCTCGAACAATGAAAAGTGAGTAAACAAAAACCGAAAATAAACCAGAAAACCATTCACTAAGGATGGAAAACAGCAGCCCGATTGTTCAATAGGCGGCATTTTTTATCAAACACTATTAAAAAGTCACTAATTATTAACTTTCAGCGATAGTTTGAAAATTGTCACAGAAAATGTCACTAAGTATACTTTTTAGAGGCAGTTTAAAAAATTCATCACAAAAAAAGGTCACTAATTTTCAACTTTCAACAACAGTTTGAAAAATTCGTCACAGAAAAATGTCACTAATCGTAAGTTTTAGTAACAATTTATAAAAATCATGACAAAAAAAGGTCACTAATTATCAATTTTTAGCGACATACAAAAAAATCGTCACAAGAAATTATTTTTAGCGACGATTTTATTAGGATTTATTTTCAATAGGACTTCATGAAAATTAAGTTCAACTATTAGGATCTATTGGTAGTTTACCCTTTTTATTTTGTCACCCAAGGAAGACCAAATTGTTTGTGCCATGTCTAGTTTTCCTTATTGGTTTCCGTACTTACCAACCTGTTTAAGAACAACTTATTTCTTGAAATGGCAACAATGAATCCAGAATAAGGAAAAATGTGTCATGGAAAATTGTACTTTAAAGTTGAGTAGTAAAACTCTAAGAAATCGTGATCCAAAGAATTCAACTAAGCCTCCATGTTTGAACATGAAACTGTGTACTAAAACTAGAGCTTGTCACCTACAAGCACATACAGCTAATAATTTTAGCTAACATTAACAACTTACAACTCTTCTTACAAATATTAACTGCTCACTTCAATAAAAGGCAACTGATAAAAAAGAAATGTGGGCAACAAAATACAACTATATGCAGCATATGTCAACAAATAAACCCTGCCTTTCTAATATACATAATACAGGAGTACAAAACCAAACAGTAAATAGATTGCGCCAATATAGCCAAGAAATATGACCGAAGGCAAACCATCTAATCTTAACAACTGCGATTAAACACCAAAACTTTCAAATATAACTGCAAGTTACAACAGTCGCAAGATCTACAAATACATTACCTGCACCAAAATCACCCTCCTCAATGCCAAATCGGCTACAACCCTGGAGGGGAGAAAACAGGGAATGTTAATTCTAAACAGGATTACATAGACATTATTTCCTTGACCATTAGACCAACACAGACAGGAATGTGAGGTCCAAAGTTGAAGTAGGGAAAACGAGAGAGAGAGAGAGAGACACACACACACACACACACAAACAAACACAAAAAACAAGATAATTACATTAAAGACGAATGAGAATGCTATCATAATGCATGCACTTGGACAGCATCCAAGGAGATCTGTGCAAAAATGATAGAATACATATTTCTCCAGTCTTAATTTGGCTAAAGAACCCAGAAGATATTACGTCATTGCAACAAAAAATATTAACCCCAGTTCAGCATTATCATGGAGTTTAATTTGTAAAAATATAACAAAATCATTTCCTTGACCATCAGGCAAACCAGACAGAAATATGTTCTCCAAAGTTGAAATAGAAGAAAGGGCAAAAAAACTGTGTTACGTTAAAGACATGATTGCCATGCAAATTGAACAGCATCAAAGGAGACCTATGCCGAAATAGTGTAATATATATTTCTCTGACTTAATTTGGCTATGAGATATATATAAGGACCCAGATGATAACACAGCTAGTTAACAGCATCATAAAAAAAGCTGTGTACCCCTATTCAGCATTATCATGCATCACTCAATTCTATTTCAGTACTATTTAACTAGTAATTCCATTTCTTTTAGGCCAAAAGTAATTATTCAGATACAAACCACTAACTAAAATGAGTGAAGAGTTCCTCTGACTCTAAAAGTGCCCAGCTTGCTGAATCACTGTCTCAACTCAAATCAAAAGTTGAATTAAAAGTAGAATTAAGAGGGTAAAAGAAAGTGTGATGATGAAAAAGAGGTTAACCAATATCCCCTCAAATTCATTTTTTTGTTTATTTATCACAACGTTTGTCATGAAAAGAATATAAAGCCATTTCTTGTACAAATACAAATTAACAAACCAGTACAAGAACTTACCTCAATATTATAAATGCCAATTTTTCCATCAAAAGAAGATGCCGATATAACCCCAGGTATCTTTGGATACCAGTGTACATCAAAATTCCAGTTGGTTCCAGCAGGCAATTCAGAGACAATCTGCAGAAAATTCAACATCAATAGCAGTGTCACCATGTCCTAAAAAAAAGAAGGGTAGACAGTAAAATGCCCACCCACTCAAAAGTTCAAAACACAAATAGAATATATACAAAATAAAAGTGGCCGTACAAGGAGAGACGCTGAAGCCGATTTGCATATTTTCCATAGGGGGAGAGGAGAAAGAAAGGAAAAAAACAACCTATTAACATCTTACTCTACCTCTCCAGATACAATGTCCCAGCAAATTGTCCGATTATCTTTGGCACAGGTAAGCAAATAGGAGCTGTCACTGGGACACCACGACATCGCAATTACACCTATTGAAAGATATGCAGGAACAACAGATAAAACAGCCAAATCAAAAGCGTATAAATTGAACCTTGAACAAATAAGAAAATCAAATGTATTCCATTCAAGGAAAGACTAAAAAGAAAACAGTACTGGTGAAAATGCAGCACGCTAGGTAAAGCTCTAGCTCAATTTAGATGCATTCAGCCTAAATTATCCAAAATACTTTTTATTTCCTATGGGGTGTGGACTACAGTAGAACACGAATTTATGTGCCAACTAAATTACATAGCAACCAATCAATAAACACGAACATCTTCTTTAAGCCTTTGATGACTCCAAAAGTCTGATTTGTAGAACATTAATGAAGTTCTGATATTTGCTTCTTCTTCTTTTTTTCTTTTTTTTTTTCTTTTTTTGTTGTTGTTTGGTTTAGTGAGTGCTTTCTTTGTTAAGTTTATATATATATATTCTTTTTGGAAAGTAAAATGCTCATGCACTGGTATATCCTCAATGCAAAAAATGAAATACCCACCAAAACAGAATCCATAACCATGATACTGGCTCCAAGAATTATTTCCACCCCACTATCCTGTGACCAATCAGCAGGACAGGACTTAACTTGTCGGGCAATCTACCAGTCTAGTTCTGTTTTGTAAGTCTAAAAAGCTTCATCTACCACTGAGATTTGTGCAGTAAAGGTCCTAAATAACAAGAGAGAACTAAATATTAACAATGTTTTGTAAGAAGTTTATGTTACAAAATGCAGATTTCAAAGTAGAATTCAGTTAAGGTGTAATTGTAATAATTAAGCAAGGAAATCTCTTCAACTCTTTCTGTATTTCTGACTAACACAGATTTCAAAGAAGCATTCATTGTCTGCATGTCTTCCAGATAGACAGACAGAGAAAATGAGAGAACACCAAGGCCTTGTTTGGGGTACTCTAAAAAAGCCAAAAAGTCACAATCCTATTTAAGTCACATCATCTTATTTAAGTCACATCATCTCTCTACCATATCACTTCAAACCCAACCTATATTTCATAAGAAGTCAAAAAGTGCACTTATTTAGATCATCTCAAACCATCCCTAACACTAATCACAAAAGGAGTAATTATCAGTAAGACTTCAATTTCTACACACAGAATAGGATAGTCCAAATTGAAAAAAACAAATCATCAAGATACAGCAAGAATTTGGTGGATACTTCGATGAGGTACCTTTAGTGTGCCCCACAAACTCCCTCACTGGTGTCATTATATTCCGCATATCCCAAAGCTGCAAGGAAATACCACTGTTAATTACAAGAACATATTTTACACAACATATATTACTCCTAGAAAGTAATATATATATATATAAACTGAAAAAATCAACATGCAGAATCATTACCCTCAAAGAAGGTGAACTATCATCATCTGAAGCGACAATAAGTTGAGTGGCCACATCAGGATGCCATTGCAAAACAGAGCATCGCCTTCTATTGGAATCAGAAAAACTGCCAATTGGAAAGTCATGTCAGTCACTAGAAAGAGAAATTTTAGGCTATTACATTATGATTATGTCGTGCAACAGTGCCCAACGAACTTCACATTATTGAAGCAATTTACCTAATCACTGGCTTTTGCTTCTTTAGGTCCCAAATCACTGAAACCATAGAAAATATGTTTCATTCCCAGCTGAAAATAAAAAATTAGGTAACTAAATATGATAATTAGATAGTTTCTTTCCTCACCAGTTGTCCCATTATATGAAGTGGATGCTAAGATATGTTGAACCTTGCTGTTCCAAGATAAAAATGAAATTTCACCTTGAGTAGCAGATCCACTACCCTGCATAAAGGTCTCATAAACTGAGTCAACTGCTTCGAGTAGATCCTGTACGATGAGCCAGGAACAGGGCAATTGTACATGCATGCAAATAATCATGTACATGATTTATATAGGCACTCAGAGAGAGGTTCTCCTAGATCATATTTTAGATGTTCACAGGATTTCAAAATATAGGTGCCTTCTACAGTAGTGTACAAGGGCTGTATTAGAAGCTAAGCTGTGATGAAAACAAATAAAAAAAGAAAAGAAAGAAATATGGAACACCAGATGTATCACTACACTTCTATATAGGTCAAAATTGGAGCAGATAAGGTATAGACACTGCAATATTAAGCCTAGTTTGGGGCAGGCTTTTTTAGCCCTCTGAAAAAGCTAAGTGAAAAGCTTGGGCTAAAAAGGCCTACTTGTTTGGCATAACCTAGAAAGGCCAAAACATGCAAGAATTTTTAACCCACTTTTTTTACTAGGATTTGACTTTTACAGCTTTTCATTGCAAAATGACGAGGGTGTCCTTCAATGGTTTATGATTTCCTCTTTTCCATTTTTTATATGCATGGTGATATTTTCACACTTGAGTGCAAAATGGTAAATCCAGATTACATCACGATAATGTCAGCAAAATGACCTAAAAAACCCAAGCTTCTTCACCTAAACAAATCCCATGCTAAATGCAAAGCAAAAATGTTTAGCTTTTTTAGCCAAAACAAAAAAAAACTAAAAAGCCACCTAAACAAGCCAGCCCCAAACAAGGCTTCAAATGCTAAGAAGCATGTCCACTTTGGACACTTCTAAGATGATGTGTCCATGTCAATCACCAACACTCCCCAGAGTGTCTAACACCCCAATGTTGGACACACATCCAAACATGTTGTATTAACATCTTAAAACTTCTCAAAACCAATCACTTATTGGGGGCTCAGTGTCTATTGTTAAAACACATGAAACACATGGGTCTCAGCAAAAGTTTGGAATTGGGACCTGTGACTAACTTTCAATTCAATAGGGAATGTAACTTTTTCAATTATATAATAAGACTTATCTATTCACTCCATTTCCCAACATATGAAATCTGAAAAATGATTTCTTAGTATTTTTTAAGTTTTATAATTCCAGAAAATTCCTCTCAAGAGAGTTCATAAGAGTGTATATAGGTAGCAAGCTATGATGTACGAACACAGACACGGGACACGCCATAGACACACAATTTTTCAAAAAATGAGATACGGACATGCTGGGAACACGTTTAATATATATAATTTTATTTATTTATTATATGTCTAAAATAAAAGAAAATCACTAATTCTTATACAATTACAATAATAATAAATTAATAAACACATTTCTTAAATTTTTTTAATAAAAAATGAGTTTTTTTAAATAAAAATAATTTATTCTATGAATTTTAGGTTTAACAAAAATAAGGATAAAAAAAAGAAAAAAAAAGAGGGGAGAAATCAGGAAAATAAAGGAGGAGAGAGAGAGAGAGAGAGACGAGTGAATCAGGAAAAAGAGATAACAAAAATAAAATAAAAAAAGAGAAACAAAAGGGGGAGAGAGTGAAATCAGAAAAAGGATAGAGAGAATCAGAGAAGACGAAGACGAAAAAGGAGAGTGAAACAAAAAAGGGAGAAGAAGAAGAAGAAGAGGGAAGACAAAGAAGAATACCTAGGCTTCTTTGATTGATCTAAATAGGTCAGGGCTTCTTTCTATCCCTCGATCTCTTTCTCCATCTCCTCTCCAACAATTAGGCTTCTTCGATTCACCTCACGCGCGTCCGAAAAGTGTCACGGCGTGTCACTTCAATTCAATAGGGAATATAACTTTTTCAATTATATAATAAGACTACCTATTCGCTCCATTTCCCAACATATGAAATATGGAAAATGATTTCCTAGTATTTTTTGAGTTTTATAATTCCAGAAAATTCCACTCAAGAGAGGATTCATAACAGTGTATATAGGGAGCAAGCTATGATGCACAGACACGAACACGGACACGGGACACAATACGGACACGACACGGCCACGCGGACACACAATTTTTCAAAAAATGGGGGACACGACACGTTGGGGACACGTTTAATATAATTTTATTTATTTATTATATGTCTAAAATAAAAAGGAAATCATTGATTCTTATACAATTACAATAATGATAAAATTAATAAACACATTTCTTAAATTTTTTTAATAAAAAATGAGTTTTTTAAATAAAAATAATTTATTCTATGAATTTTGGGTTTAACAAAAATAAGGATAAAGAAAAAAGAAAAAAAGGTAGGGGAGAAATTAGGAAAGTAAAGGAGGAGAGAGACATAGGGGAGAGAGAGAGAGAGAGACGGGTGAATTAGGAAAAAGAGAGAACAAAAAAAAAAAAAAAAAAAACAAACAAAAAAAAAAAAAAAAAGACAAACAAAAGAGGGGAGAGAGTGAAATCAGAAAAGGGAGAGAGAAAATCAGCAAAGACGGAGACGAAAAGGAAGAGTGAAATAGAAAAAGGAGGAGAAGAAGAACAACAAAGAAGATGAAGGTGACAGAGAAGATGAAGAGAAGACAAAGAAGAATACCTCAGGCTTCTTGATTGTTCTGAACAGGTTAGGGCTTCTTTCTCCCCCTCGATCTCTTTCTCTCTTTCTTTCTCCGTCTCTCTTTCTCTGTCTCATCTCCAATAGTTAGGGCTTCTTCGATCCACCTCATGCATGTCCAGAAAGTGTTACGACGTGTCCATGGCGTGTTTGACTGGAAAAATTCAAAAAAAAAGGGGACACATTAAAGACAGTGTCGAACACATGTCCACAGCGTGTCCGACACTCGTATGCAGGCCCTGGGGATGTGTTGATGCTTCATAAGTAGCAAGGTTACTTCATGGTAATGCGCTTAAGAGTTATGGATAGGTGAGGTGGCAAGATGGGATCTTCCAAGAACACAGCTAGCACTAAGATGGTGGGAGAGCACTGGAGATGAGAGCCCAGGTAACCTTAGGAAGACAGAGGATAGTAATGAAGGAGGACTCGACTTTTGAAGGAGAAAGATAAGATGATTGAAGATACCTTAACAAATGCTTGGAAACATCCTTATAAAAGGTGATCAAATCAAACTATGGAGACCAACTTATATCTAGGAATGGCAACGGGCCGGGCCGGGGATCACTCCCCGTCCCCAATCCCCGAAGCTACAAAATTCCCCGTCCCCGACCCCGATCCCCGGCGGGAAACCCCTCACCCCCCCGGCCCCACCCCCAATGGGGATCGGGTTTTCCCGACTCCGAAAAATCTCTTCGGGTTTCCCTGACCCCGAAAAATCCTCGTAACTCTCTCTCTCTCTGTTTAGCTTATCATCATCAACAACATCATCGATCATCAACAACAACATCATCATTTTCATCAACAAAGACATCATCAACGGCAATAGCATCAAAAAAAAAAATAGAGACAGATCGGGAAGGAGGAAACCGACGGTGGCAGTGGCAGTGGCAGTGGCAGGATCTTCTCAGATCTGCCATGGCAGAGGGAGGAGGAGGCGATCAGTTCTGCCCATTCTAATCGGGATCTTCTTAGATCTTCTCAGATCTGACGGTGGCCTGGCAGAGAAGGAGCCGATGGAGGAGGAGGCCGCGAGAGGTGACGGAGGAGGAGGCGACAGTGGCCTGGAGGAGGAGGAGGAGGAGGAGGCGGTGGTGGCCTGGAGGAGGAGGAGGCGACGAGAGGAGGAGCCGTCTGCGTCTGTGGAGAGAAGAGAGAGAGTGAGCGAAGAGAAGAGAGAGAGAGAGAGAGACAGATTAGAGGTATAATAGAGGGAGGGGGGTTATATATATAATATAAATAGATAGAGGGGTATTATGATAATTTTGTTTCGGGGAGAAACGGGGCCGGAGACGGGGCTGTGAAAGTGATCCCTGTCCCTGGCCCTGGCCCGTCGGGGGTATTTTTCGGAAAAAAATCACTCTAATCGAGGATGGGGGGTCGGGTCCCCGTCGGGCCGGGTTCAAATTGCCATCCCTACTTATATCTAGTAAGTGGTGCATCCTCCTTGGTTTGACGGTATAGATGTATCTCAACTACATCTACCACCCATGATCAAGCATTGGGGGTCATATTATGGAAGCAACAATGGTAGGTAACCTACGAGCTGCATCATGGAGGGTTTCTCTCTCAAAGACTAAGGTGGGCCGATTGACCTTGATGTTCCTCAACTTTACCCTCTAAGTCACATACCTCTAGTGCTAAAGAACAAAAATCTTCCTAGTCCCCACACCCAACTTGAGTAACTATAGAAGTTGCTAAATACTCACTAAATTTCTCTCCACACCTACAATTACAATTATTTTTCAATAAGATACAAGACTTCAATTCGTATGATGGGTATGAAGAGAAATTAAGTAGATGTATAAGCCCCTGGTAACTATAGTGGTGATGGAAATGCCTCAAGTTAGGGTGGCCAAGCAGAGATGCCTTAGCCTAGCCGAGAGATGTGTTAGGCCATGCCTCGAGGTGCCCTACACATTCACTTGTTTCCATAGTGCCATGGCTCAAAGCTAAAGTGTCGAACACATTATTTGGTCAAATTACCATACTTGATGGTTTATCTACTTCCATTTTGACTAGGCTCATAACCCCAATGGTTCATTTTAAAGATATAGTAGCACTAAGATGGCTTGCCACTTAGACATCCATTATCTAAGTTGGAGATTGTGTAGGTAATATGTGGCAGTGCAACTACACAATAACAAGAAAGTGATACGTAGCAGTGCAACTATACAATAACAACAAAGTGGTAAGTGGCTTATATGGAACAGCTTGATGGCAAGTAACAAGTGACTTACACGCAACCACCTTAATCAAATGATGGTGAAAAGTTGCTTACAAGCACCCATCTCAATCACAAGTGGCAGCTACGTCCCTAATAAATTAGCTTAAATAAATTTTTTTTAGAAACTAATAAAAATTATTAAAACCTAAATCTGATGGCAATACTTAATCATATAGCTAAATTAAAGAAATCAGCTCATTTAACCCTATTTTCCTTACATTCTTGCATAGCACAAACCCACCTTTCCCACCAGAAACAGTCTCAAATATTGATCACATCAAAAATATTCAACAAACCTAGAATTTGGAAGCTCAAAGTGAACCATGTATTAAATATCAACCCAATCCATACAATGTAGAGCATGGGAAGAAAAAAAATAGAAAAACCAATAATTTTGCACTGGCACATGTTAATGGCATTTTTAATGAAAATTAGGGCTGATCTGAGTCATAATTTATGTTTATTTTAAGTTAGAAAGCCGTTGAAATGATTTGTTTATATTTTATTCAATTTTAGGAGTCGATACTTTGGTGAACTAGACTGCAGAATGGGTCCATGGGTTGTCTCATAGATTAGTAAATGACACTAGATCTCATATAACCTTTATTAGATATAAAATATTCTAGTTAATCAAAAATCAATCAGTTTCCTATTTTGACATCACATTCCTTGTAAAATTAGAAGAATCCAGGACCCAATGAATCTAATGCAATCTTTCCATTCATCAGAGTCAAAATTTTGAGAATGTGTGAACTTTTTAACTTACAGCGATAGGTGAGAATTATTCCCGAGTTGTAAGTAGAATTCCCCAAATGTTCTTCATTTCTTCTCACAAAAAACTATTTCTGAGTTACATGTGTGTGTGTGTGAGAGAGAGAGAAGGATAGACACACAGATTTCTCTCTGAGTTTAAAGAATTATTTAATATTACAACCCTTAGTTCTTCGAGGAAATTCAGAGATTTAAAAATATATATATATGAATTTGGTAACAAGAACTCAAGGCCAATAATTTCTTTCTCAGTATAATATATAATTTGCATCATGATAAATATTAGTGACAAAACAAGCTTTACTTTTGTACATGTTTATTCAGTTCAGAGCCAAAGAATGTAAGTTCATGTGCAATACATGCCAAAGAAATGGGTACATGCCTTGAGAGGAGGAAAATGAGTAGGTTCTGCCGGATTTGCTATATCCCATATACAGATATCACCTTCATCAGCCCCAGAAGCAAGATGGTTAGGGGAAAGAGCATTAAATTCCAGACCACGAACCTGAAAAAGACATACGATGGAGAAGCAACCAAGTCATTCTATCATCAAAAGCCTAAGAAAAGAAGAAACAATCACAAAATGGAAAATGTAGAAACTTACGGGTCCTCTATGCCTCGAAAGTTGTGAAACAAGAGCATTCTCACTTGCCTCAGAGCTGAAGGGGAAGAAATTATAATAGATAAATCAAGGATTCAAAAAAATAAGGGAACTACCGATAAATTTCTAATAGAGAAGATGATAAAACACCAGTTGGAAAATAGAGCAGCAGAGGGTATTCAGAATATTTTTTTTTTTACTAAAATCCAGTTCTACTTTACAAAACCCAATATATATTTTTTTTAATTGCAATATCACACTCCTTAGGTTTAACTCAAATTTTTAGTCAACCTTAAAATGCAATTGAACTTGGACATAGGGAGAATATCATTAATATGCTGACGCATATTATGATGTAAGCAATACATTGTCAAAGATCATAACCAATAGCAACATCAACAGTACCAGTTGCACTTCCAGTAGATATCGTTGCTAACCCAACATAGCAACTCTTATTTAGGCCAAGTTTGGCAAGTTGAAAAAAAGTCAAAAAGTTACTCAAAAAGTTAAAAAGTTATCACTATTCACTAAAAGTCAAAAATTACGGCTGCACAACTCTCAATCCTAATTTTTCCCTATACATTAATTTATACAATTTTTAATACACATTTCATTTTTCCATAAAAAGTCAAAAAGTTAACCCAGACATCCATATTTTTTTCCTCAATTTTTTAGTCCAAAAAGACAAAAAGTACACTTATTTAGGACACCCCAAACAACCCCTTAGTTTCTTCCTTGAAAGATTTGAATAAGTTTTCAGAGCATGATAACGCACACTTTCTGAGTCTCCTTATATAGATATTAAGGTGGAGTGTCATTTCATCTTCCCTTGGATCATCAACACGTGGAGGGGTGATCCAAGGGTCTATATTTTGTAACAGGGGACAGACCCTCATAATACTAGTGTGTGAGGGTCTGTCCCATAATGAAAACGCCTCAGCTAGGGCAAAGTGCAAATTATAAAATTTTGTATATTATTTTATTCTTATTTTTTGGGCTGGGTTAACATAACCCCAAGCGCAAGGATGACACATTGCCTGACGGCCTTAAGGCCCAACGTAGCCTATTAGGGCCTTGAATAAAGTAGGCCCAAGAGAACATATTTGGGCTAAGCTCACATTAATTAACACGATGAATAAAATTAAATAAAATGACAAGTCATTAAATTACAATGATTATTTTATTCATAGAGCTTCTAAAAAAGCTAGAGTACAAATTGAACTAAGTAACCTAGTTGCGTACATTGAACTTGGACATAAGGAGAATATCATTAATATGTTAACGCATATTATGATGTAAGCATTACATATGAGATTAACGTTTAACATTTTTTATTACTATTTCATAATCAAAACAATAGACTCCATTAGTTTCAGAAAGAATGTCACAGCATCTTCATCAAGGATCTTGATAGCATCCGAAACACACCACCATTCTTCACCATTGTAAACGTAGTAATGTCCTTCTGCAAGATCACCAACAGAACGAGCAGCTTTGTAATCTTCATAAGATATTCTATGAGCCATAACCAGGTGCCATGAATGAATATAAACATATTCATGGGCAGACTGAATCATTCCCTCTCGATCAATAATAATCTGGATCTTAATATTTTGTTTTTCAAACAAAACCTGACATTTAGCAACTTCAGACATAACGCAGTAGCTAACAGTGATATCATCTTTTTCCTTCCATATATTGTTGATAACTTTCATCTTTTCTTCAAAGGCATCCTTCACATAAGAATGATAATATTTTCTCTTAATATCAATTTGAAAATCATAAGGAAGATCTTCCCAGTGATCCATTTCCGGTGACCGGAAATTATATTTCAGAGAAATGAGAGAGATGTCAACAAGAGGGGAGAGAGAGCACAACAGATGAAATGAGAGGGATAGAGCAATATCTCCTTATATAGATATTAAGGTGGAGTGTCATTTCATCTATCCTTGGATCATCAACACGTGGAGGGGTGATCCAAGGGTCTATATTTTGTAACAGGGGACAGACCCTCGGAAGATTAGTAAATATGTGAAGAAAGGTCGATTAAACAATCGTGGACGATTGTTTATTGTTATGAAGAGTATCAAGAAGGTGTCCCTGTTAAGAGCTGATATGTATGTTACATGTTCGACATGTTAATGCCCTTTATGTAATGCTTACATCATAATATGCGTCAGCATATTAATGATATTCTCTCTATATGTCTAAGTTCAATGTACGCAACTGGGTTTGCTCTGTCCACACTATACTCTAGCTTCTTTAGAAGCTTTATGAATAAAATAATCATTACAATTTAATGACTTGTCATTTTATTTAATTTTATTCATCGTGTTAATTAATGTGGGCTTAGCCCAAATATATTCTATTGGGCCTACTTTATTCAAGGCCCTAATAGGCTACGTTGGGCCTTAAGGCCGTCAGGCAATGTGTCAACCCGCCTCGAAGCACCCTCCTTGAATCACTCACCGGAATTATGCTTCCGGTGTATCAAAATTGAAAGAAATTGAAAGATTGCTCCGATTTGGTTGCCGGAAAATTATTAAATTTTTCATCTTAAAAATTAGTACACTTGTAAATTGTGTAACAATATATTTTTTACATTGTCCATATTATTTTTCATTTTATCATAAAATGAAAAAGTTATTCACATTTCCCTTCTTTGTTGATATACCTTCAGTTGATATTAACACAAATTATTATGAATTTAATGTCCATCCTTCAACGATTTTGGTACCAGACGATATGTGTTAATGACACACGTATCTTTAAGTTTTATTGGAAATTATTTGGAAAGTCCAATTGAAAGAAGAGGATTTATTAACAAGGAGCCAGACAGCATAACAGCAACTACCAATTTCAAATAGATATCTTAATAAAAGGCATCATTTTTGTTTTGATAAGTAAACTAATAAAAGGCATCATCCAAATACAAAGACAAAATTCCTGAGCACAGAAGTTTATTTCATAAATTTATCATGGTAACCAGTTTGCAAGTCAAAAGAACATAGCCAGGATCTCTCCCATACAAAACAGATGAATCAGAAAATGCTAAAAATTGTTCCTTTCTTCAATCAACTTTTAAAAAATAATAATAATAAATTAATTAAAAACTTCAACAAGTGTAGATGTCTGGCCCTATACTCGTCAATATTTGAAACCCAAATTATCCACATTTAAATGACCCATTTTGTTAATGTATTGTAGCATACAAAAAGATACAAAATTTGACACTTGAACCCAAAAAAAAAAATACATAATTCAATTACCCTACCAAAGAGTATTCAATCGATGCGATTCATTTTAATGGCAAGTTTGAACTTTGTTTACGTCCCAGTGACATAATGCAAGTATAGTCCTCAAACTACGATACAATTCAATTCAATTGCATTACATAATAGAATTCAAATTTGAGAATGAAATAGAGAAATTGAATCGAAACACAATTAGGACAAGGGCAGTACCGGATCAGAGAAAGAGGATTCCAAATCGCAATGTTACCGTCGACGAGACCACCCGCGATGAGACCGAGAGAGAACTCCTCCGAGGGGGACGGATTCTGCCCCCAAGAGACCCGGTTGAATCGCTCGGAGCTCGTGGACTCGCCGACAACGGGGAGCTCACGATCGTCGGACTGGAAATCGAGCTTGAAGATCTCGAGATTCGCCGACGAACTGAAGGATAAATCCACCGCACCGGCCATAGTCCCCGCCGCCATGTATGGGGCGTCCGGCGCGAACGCCACCGACGCCGATCTGTTAACCCCCTTCACACACGCCATAACCACCACCACCAAAACCTATAGATACAAACACAGATATATATAGAGAGAAATTGGGGATCTGGGAAATGGAGAAATGAGGAATTAGGGTTAGGGTTGAGAGATGTTGTTGAAAATTGAGGAAGAATTGGATGAGAGAGATGGACAGATCGTGAATGTGAATGTGAACGTGAGAGAAGAGTCTTCTCTTTCTCTCTTTCTCTCTTTTTCTGTTACTTCAGTTCCCTTTCATTTTTACGTTTTCTTCATTAGAGTTACGTTTTCTTTATTAGAGTAGGGGACTTTGTTATAGCAGGTGTTGCTGATCTTCGTCAATGCTACCAATTAGATTATGCCACGCAACAGCTTGCTGGAGAAACTATTCACTGCTTTTCAACTAATTTAAAAAGTCGCTATTCCCATTTTTCAAAAAGCAAAATTTTAAAAGTAATAAATAACCCAATAATGAAATGGATTTTGTGTAAAGTAGGGTCAGAATTGTGACTTCTAATTTAAATTGACAATTATTAATGTGAAACATCACTTAAATTTAAGTCAAGTTTGGCATATCTTAAATAATTCATCTTTTTATCTTTTTATCTTTTTTCTATCACATCACCTCTCTACTTTTCTGAACATCTTTTCATAAAAAGACAAAAAATATACTTATTTAAGTCATCCCAAGCAACCCCTAAAAGCATTTAATAATTACTTGATATGACTATTTTTTTATTTACAAAAAAATGTGTTATATCAATTGATATTATAATTATCATTTTCTTCCTCAAAAAAAATTACATCAATATTGGCTGTGATATTTAGTTGGTGCAAACCTTAGCGATCGTCACCACTCTATTAAAGCCATATACTCATCATATTCATCTCTTTTAACCCTTCTTGTTGTTTTTCTAACCTTCTTCACTTGTTACCCTTCTTTTTTTCCAAACTCTTTCCTATTATATTTTTGTTCTTGTTCTTCCCTTGCCATATAAAACCATAGATCTGATATGATATGAGGGTAAGAAAGGTTGAAAAGAGGATCATTTGTGGTAAGAGTTGGGGTGATGGATTGAGGTAGGTAGGTCGTGAGTACTAGTAATGGATATATGGCATTAGGGTTTGACGAAAGAAGTGATGTATAAGGAAAGGGAGTTGGAGAGAAGGTGGTAGTAGGCGTGGTAGGGTTCAGAAGGGGGACATCAAGGAACAAGGGGATAGGAAAGGGGTGGCAGTAGGGCGACGGGTAAAGGAAGAGGGCAACAAGGAATAAAGGGGAGTTAGGGAGGGAAGGCAATGGGACAATAAGTTTTCAAAAGTGGCAACGATGAGAGGATGTAAGAAGGCTCCGTTGCCAAAAGTAGACGATAATTTTATATTATATTTTACCATGACGTTTTAATTTATTCCATCATTAACCTTCCAAACCATAACTTTTTTTTCATTTTCCTAACTTATCCACCTCTTACTGCCAACTTTAACTACCACCGCTAATCCATTCTACCACTCCCCTCTAGTCAATTCTCATAGCCTTTACAATGATTTTATCTTTTTACTTGCAATGATTAGTGATGATTAAAAATGATGAAGAAAGGATAAGGAGCGATGTTAAAGAGCGAAAAAGGGTTGGAGGTGGTTGACGAAACTATGGTGGTTGGAAAATAGTTGGAGTGGCAATCAAAGAATTGGATTCAATATAAATATTAAGCAAAATGTCACTTAGTTAATAATCTATTTCATATTAATATTTACATTGACTGCACATCTTTGTTTGAACAATTGAAAGGAAGTAGGGAGATTAAAATGGGGTTGGTCCATTGGATCATTAATGCTTATTTTATTGCCTAGTATTAGAAGTGGCAAACAGACTGATTTGGATCGGAAAATTATTAAATTTTTCATCTTAAAAATTTGTACACTTGTAAATTGTGTAACAATATATTTGTTACATTGTCCATATTATTTTTCATTTTATCATAAAATGAAAAAGTTATTCACATTTCCCTTCTTTGTTGATATACCTTCAGTTGATATTAACACAAATTATTATGAATTTAATGTCCATCCTTCAACGATTTTGGTACCAGACGATATGTGTTAATGACACACGTATCTTTAAGTTTTATTGGAAATTATTTGGAAAGTCCAATTGAAAGAAGAGGATTTATTAACAAGGAGCCAGACAGCATAACAGCAACTACCAATTTCAAATAGATATCTTAATAAAAGGCATCATTTTTGTTTTGATAAGTAAACTAATAAAAGGCATCATCCAAATACAAAGACAAAATTCCTGAGCACAGAAGTTTATTTCATAAATTTATCATGGTAACCAGTTTGCATGTCAAAAGAACATAGCCAGGATCTCTCCCATACAAAACAGATGAATCAGAAAATGCTAAAAATTGTTCCTTTCTTCAATCAACTTTTAAAAAATAATAATAATAAATTAATTAAAAACTTCAACAAGTGTAGATGTCTCTGGCCCTATACTCGTCAATATTTGAAACCCAAATTATCCACATTTAAATGACCCATTTTGTTAATGTATTGTAGCATACAAAAAGATACAAAATTTGACACTTGAACCCAAAAAAAAAAATACATAATTCAATTACCCTACCAAAGAGTATTCAATCGATGCGATTCATTTTAATGGCAAGTTTGAACTTTGTTTACGTCCCAGTGACATAATGCAAGTATAGTCCTCAAACTACGATACAATTCAATTCAATTGCATTACATAATAGAATTCAAATTTGAGAATGAAATAGAGAAATTGAATCGAAACACAATTAGGACAAGGGCAGTACCGGATCAGAGAAAGAGGATTCCAAATCGCAATGTTACCGTCGACGAGACCACCCGCGATGAGACCGAGAGAGAACTCCTCCGAGGGGGACGGATTCTGCCCCCAAGAGACCCGGTTGAATCGCTCGGAGCTCGTGGACTCGCCGACAACGGGGAGCTCACGATCGTCGGACTGGAAATCGAGCTTGAAGATCTCGAGATTCGCCGACGAACTGAAGGATAAATCCACCGCACCGGCCATAGTCCCCGCCGCCATGTATGGGGCGTCCGGCGCGAACGCCACCGACGCCGATCTGTTAACCCCCTTCACACACGCCATAACCACCACCACCAAAACCTATAGATACAAACACAGATATATATAGAGAGAAATTGGGGATCTGGGAAATGGAGAAATGAGGAATTAGGGTTAGGGTTGAGAGATGTTGTTGAAAATTGAGGAAGAATTGGATGAGAGAGATGGACAGATCGTGAATGTGAATGTGAACGTGAGAGAAGAGTCTTCTCTTTCTCTCTTTCTCTCTTTTTCTGTTACTTCAGTTCCCTTTCATTTTTACGTTTTCTTTATTAGAGTTGCGTTTTCTTTATTAGAGTAGGGGACTTTGTTATAGCAGGTGTTGCTGATCTTCGTCAATGCTACCAATTAGATTATGCCACGCAACAGCTTGCTGGAGAAACTATTCACTGCTTTTCAACTAATTTAAAAAGTCGCTATTCCCAATTTTCAAAAAGGCAAAATTTTAAAAGTAATAAATAACCCAATAATGAAATGGATTTTGAGTAAAGTAGGGACAGAATTGTGACTTCTAATTTAAATTGACAATTATTAATGTGAAACATCACTTAAATTTACTCTAAAGCCATTAAATAATTACTTGATATGTCTATTTTTTTATTTACAAAAAAATGTGTTATATCAATTGATATTATAATTATCATTTTCTTCCTCAAAAAAAATTACATCAATATTGGCTATCATATTTAGTTGATGCAAACTTTAGCAATCGTCACTACTCTATTAAACCCATCTAGTCATCGTGTTCATCTCTTTTAGCCCTTCTTGTTGTTTTTCTAACCTTCTTCACTTGTTACCCTTCATTTTTTCCAAACTCTTTCCTACTATATTTTTGTTCTTGTTCTTCCCTTGTCATATAAAACCATAGATCTGATATGAGGGTAAGAAAGGCTGAAAAGAGGATCATTGTGGTGAGAGTTGGGGTGATGGATTGAGGTAGCTAGGTCATGAGTACTAGTAATGGATATGTGGCATTTGGGTTTAACGAAAGAAGTGATGTATAAGGAAAGGGAGTTGGAGAGAAGGTGGTAGTAGGCATGGTGGGGTTCAGAAGGGGGACATCAAGGAACAATGGGAGTTAGGAAAGGGGTGGTAGTAAGGCGATGGGTAAAGGAAGAGGGCAACAAGGAATAAAGGGGAGTTAGAGAGGGAAGGCAATGGGACAATAAGTTTTGAGAAGTGGCAACGATGAGAGGATGTAAGAAGGCTCCGTTGCCAAAAGTAGACGATGATTTTATATTATATTTTACCATGACGTTTTAATTTATTCTATCATTAACCTTCCAAACCATAACTTTTTTTTCATTTTCCTAACTTATCCACCTCTTACTACCAACTTTAACTACCACCGCTAATCCATTCTACCACTCCCCTCTAGTCAATTCTCATAGCCTTTACAATGATTTTATCTTTTTACTTGCAATGATTAGTGATGACGAAAAATGATGAAGAAAGGATAAGGAGCGATGTTAGAGAGCGAAAAAGGATTGGAGGTGGTTGACGAAACCATGGCGGTTGGAAAATAGTTGGAGTGCCAATCAAAGAATTGGATTCAATATTAATATTAAGCAAAATGTCACTTAGTTAATAATCTATTTCATATTAATGTTTACATTGACTGCACATCTTTGTTTGAACAATTGAAAGGAAGCAGGGAGATTAAAATGGGGTTGGTCCATTGGATCATTAATGCTTATTTTATTGCCTAGTATTAGAAGTGGCAAACAGACTGATTTGGATGGATTAAAAAGGATTATGAATTTAAAATAATCTAATCTAGACCCACTCAATTAATAAGTATTTGGATTTAATTGGATACAGATTGATCAAATGAACCTAATCAAATTGGTTATTTCATCAATTTTTTTTTCCCAATATGATAGTGGTGGCAATGGAGTGATGGTGGAGTGGCGACAACAATTGTAGTTGTGGAGGAGTGGCGGCAACAACGATTGTGTTAGTGGTGAATGGAGGGAGAAATGGTGATAACGGTAGTGGAACTGTACGAAGGAGGGTCTTGGGGGTGTGGAGGTGTAGTGATAGAAGTGGTATCATTTAGAAAGGTCAAAGGTTTCATCTTTTGGAGAAACTCACTTTTTGTTTGACAATGGATTACTTAGGTCAAGTTTGGCAAATTGAAAAAAAGTTAAAAAGTCAAAAAATTATTTAAAAAGTTAAAAAATTATCACTATTCACTAAAAGTCAAAAAATACGGCTGCACAACTCTCTATCCTAATTTTTCCCACACACTAATTTATACAATTTTTTAATACACATTTTTTCATAAAAAGTCAAAAAATTAACTCAAACATCCATATTTTTTTCCTCAACTTTTTAGTCCAATAAGACAAAAAATACACTTATTTAAGACACACCAAACAATCCCATCCTAGCGTAATAAATTTTGTTCTGTTCGGCTACACATCCAGCTCACCCTTCGCAACAGCAAGACCAGTCACATTCCCTTTTGTTTTTTTCTTTTCCTTTTTTCATTGAAAATTGCCTTTGATACACAAAAAAAAAGTTTTTACTTTTCAGATTACGTAGAAGAATCTAAAAAGAAAAAAAAAAAAATTTAAAACTCCAATATGTGTACAAAAAATAAAATAAAAAGAATCATTAAAGTTGAGAAAAGCAAAAAAAATCACATTTTATTTTTTAATTTTATCATCTTTCGTGAGTTCTTTTTCTCTCTCTCCCTCTCTTTCCTTTCTAATAAGACCTAAAAATAAATAAATAAGCACAATTTTAAAAAAAGTCAACAAAAACGCTAATTAAATAACCATTTGCCAAACCCACTAGTTTAAGATGTATCAACTGTTCTCTGTTTCTTAATATTTATTGAATTTATCTTTTTGCCAATTTTTTTTTTTACTAAAAGTGAATAATGACTATTAACTCAAGATAATTGTACGGTGGTGTTTGGAAAGTTTAGAACTTGGTTTTTTTTTTTTCACAAAAAGACAAGTTTTTTACAAAATAAGAAAAAAACACATCCAAACAAAATATCAAATCCAACCCAATAATCATTTCACTTTTTCTCTCACAAACATCACATTCAACTATAAAAAACCCCAACTATCTTCCCAAACACAAAAAAATTTATCCAATAATATCCTACAACTAAAAAAACCTACATAAAAATCCACTTTTCAAACACCCAATATATAAAAATATGATCATACAACATATTTTTCCCCCTGCATTAACTGACAAAAAATAACAAGTACTAATATATCTCCATCTACTAAAATTAGGAAACGCTGTGCTCAACACATTCTTATGAGTTACAACTACAAAAAAACAAAAAAAAACACAATTTTATGACCTAAAAACATTGATGATGAACTGGACATCCTAATAAGGGAATTTATTTTATATTTTTTTAAAAGCAAGATTTAGCAGTCTGGCAATCATCTCCAACTAAACAGCGAAACTCAGCACAGCAAGGCTAAAGTTGCTATTGAATCACCCAAATAAAAAAACATTCCATGGTACACACAGAGTCCAAGGTTACTCTACTGGTTTGTTTTACTCCTACATAGACGTTTCTTGAGACAATATTGAGGTTAAAAAGTATTTTAAAACAGAGCATAAATATCAAAGAGCAAAAGGGATAAATTAACAAGCATGAACGCTTTACAAAACACAGCTCTCTTTTGATAGATTATCCAAGAATGTCACCGCACCCTTCAACAATAGCAATCATGGTGAGATAGATATAGACACAGATAGATATCTTTTAGCAACGACTTGCACCCAATAACCCCATAACAGAACCCCAGTTGTCTCCGCTACTCCACACTGCATTTGGCACAGCAGAAGAGCAATCAAAAAAATAAACAATTAAATAAAATAAGAATAAGAATAAGAATAAAAGGATTAGTTTGGTCTTGGAATATAGTATTCAACCTTTTGAAGGCTGCTCAATCCAAGGGCCATTCATTATGGTCAAAATGCTGCATGCCTCCCTATATTCCAAGTCTGGCAACAGCTTTGGCGTAAGTAAGAAACACCTGAGAGATTGTGCCAAAAATATCAGTTTTGAGTCGTTTCTAACATTTTGGGAACAAAAAGAGGCACTACCGCCTTTTTTTATCTGAAGCAAGAGAAGTCAAACACAATTCTTTTAAAAAGAAGGATAGAATGGCTAAAACAAATATCCCTTCCACAGGGTACACAAATGTATGCAATATTTTGCATTCAGTTAATATGTCAAGTCTCTATTGAATTAAAATTCATACAACTTCGGAGGTTTATGCACTTGAAAGCTTAACAAACAACCCTTTTAACACCAAAACAATATGGAGATCACCCATCAAACCTAGTAGCATGCAGAACATTTTAGAAAAATGAGAAAGTAGGAAAAGAACAAGCAAAGACAGCATGACTCTAGTGTCAACCAAGCAACAAAATTGCGTTTCTTTTCCATCAAAACAGCCAAAATGTTTCAATTTAATGGGACCCCAACACGAAACAAGATGGGAAGACAGAAAATCAAAATTCTCAGATATCTACTAAATTGTACTAAAAGACAATGAAACACACCAATAAAATGAGTTGTGTCAACCCCATCAGGCATCTTTTACATATGTTAGTTTCTATTTTTTGTTTCTGTAGATACTTTCCAACCTACTGTATGTCATAGACACAAGTGATTACATGTGCCTTACAAATCAGCATATAGACCAACACGACTTCAAGGACCATGTGTACAGTCTACTTGTTCATCCATGCTAAATGGGCTTAAAGGACCAACATCACTTTGTGTGTGCTAGGGCGTGTACTTCTTCATTATAGAGCTTGCCAACTTGACATCCCACGGGAGTTGGGATCCTAGGCCACCCCATGTCTGCGGTTGGCAATAGGGGTGAATTGTTAGATAGCTTGATATACATTGTTGGGCCCACTTCCTAATAGCTTAGACTTTTGAGAAAATTGGTAACTTAATAAAGTATCAGAGCTCTGGTTGAAAGAGGTCTTGGATTCAAGTCTCTCTATTGAAATTTGGTATTCGGTCCTTGTTTGATTTCTCCTTCTCCGTTTAGTTGTCTGCTTCTCCTTCTGTTTGGTTCTCTGTTTGTTTCTCTACGTGCCAAACGGGGTTGCACATGAGGGAGAGTGATTGATAGCTTGATATACGTTGTTGGGCCCATTTTCTAACAGCTTAGGCTTTTGGGAAAATTAGTAACTTAACATGAACATGGTTCGATTCGGTTAGGATTTTGGCAGATTTTCACACCAAACCAAACTTCTCAGTTTGTTGTTTCTATGGACCAAACTGACCGCACAATGTAAACAACCAAACAGAACACTGGTTTTTGGGGCTGAATACCCATTGTATTGCCTTGTATAATTGAGAGCTATAATCCCTGGTAGTTACACCTTATACTAACTTAAATCACTGGTGATATTTGAACAAAAATAAAGCAATGCAAAATATAACAAGCAAGCCCTTCAGGCACAGCACCTTCCGCCTAACTTTGCCTTAAGTAGTCGCGAACCTTAAGCACACCAAGCTCGGCCTTCTTTATGTTGCCTCGCCTAGCCACGCGGAAGGTGCTGGGCTAGTGCTTGGCTGCATTTTGCAACTAGGAGCACGCCCAAGCATGACTTTTATTACAATGAAACAGGTTAAGAGTTATACCACTTAAACTCAGATTTGTTTTCTTAACAAGAGAAGAATGTCAAAGCCCTAGGCTTTTTGACGCTCACAAATCAGAATAGCGAGGGAGGGCCAATTGGAGAAGATGATGGACGGAGGAGGCTGCAATGGTTGACGACAAGGCTATAAAGGTGACGGAGAATCAACCTGAATTGGTAGATGACAATAGACAAAAGCAACCACAATCAACAATGGTGCCAATGAGGGGATGACTACGCAGCAACTGAAGGAGGACTGAAGATGGATGATTTCGGCGAGATGGGTAGGCTCGAATCGTTGATGGTGAGAGATGATACAAAATAAGTTGTTGACAATGGATCACTGTGTGCTCTGATGCAAAATCGATGTAGAACGTGATGGGAAAAGAGCTATGAAGCACGGGTGCCTGTACGGATACAAGAACGATACGGATACGCCGATATGCTAAAATCTAAAAAAAGTAAGATACAGGGTACGGCTAGGGTACGTCAAATATTAATTAATTAATTTATTTTTAAAATTTATAGCTAAACATCTCACCTACAAATCAAAGTTCAAAACAATAACTATAAAGGGAAATCATAAAAGCCAAAATAAATCAATATTTAACAATACAAATGCAATATTATACAACAATAAGTGGAAGAGGGCAAAGTTACTCAATAACCGTGTAAAGAGTTGGCGGTTCCAAATTACATAAATTTTTTGAAGATGATTAAGGAGAAATAAAGCCATAGACTTGCATGAAATTCCAACTTCTGGAGAAAAAAAAACAAACAAACCATTGTGGAGTACCCATGGAGTACCCACCCCGCACCCATTGAGTACCCACCGCGTACCCAACCGTATATGGCATAGCTGGTACGTATACCGCATACCCAATACGCGTACAGCCGTACCGATATACGTACCCGCACTCGGTAAGTACCTAGTAGTTGTACGCCAACATTTTTGAAGTACCCGTGCTTTATAGGAAAAGAAAGAACACACAAAGTAGCCACAACATAAATCTCATAGTATTAATTAAATCAAAGTACAAATAATACAAAGTAAAACCCAAAATCTATAAACAAAAAACCCTAACTAAAATAGGCAACTAAACTAACCTTAATATTATTTGGAAACATAACAAAAAATATCCTACTAATAACTATTTAAATCGTAATCAAATAATAATAATAATAATCTACCAATTACAATTATTGGACCAACACGTCTTCAATCCATACAATGGACCAAACTTCACCCTAGGCTTCCAAAGCGGATAATGAGCCTCTAGCCAATTAAGGGTTGCACCATCAATAGCTCTTAGCTTTTCCGTGCTTTATAGGAAAAGAAAGAACACACAAAGTAGCCACAACATAAATCTCATAGTATTAATTAAATCAAAGTATGAATAATACAAAGTAAAACCCAAAATCTATAAACAAAAAACCCTAACTAAAATAGGAAACTAACCTTAATATTATTTGGAAACATAACAAAAAATATCCTACTAATAACTATTTAAATCGTAATCAAATAATAATAATAATAATCTACCAATTACAATTATTGGACCAACACGTCTTCAATCCATACAATGGACCAAACTTCACCCTAGGCTTCCAAAGCGGATAATGAGCCTCTAGCCAATTAAGGGTTGCACCATCAATAGCTCTTAGCTTTTGTTGTGAAGTTTTACACATTGAACCAAATTACCGTACTGATGGTCAACTTACTGACAATCATTCACTGAAAAATTGTAGCCGTAGATAACAATCCTATTTGTTCCATAATCTATGGATCTATCCACTGGAGCTACCCACATCAATCAATTAGCCAAGATTTTAACCGGATACAAAATCAGTGGTGATCGAACTAGTGGTATATTTATGGGGATTCTATTTATCGTTGTAGGATCCCTGTTTATATTTCATCATATTACATTTGCCACATCTCAAATGGGGTGTCTCCATCTCCCCATAAGCAACCCTTATGCACCCCTCATCAATACATCTATAGTTCTAAAATATCCAGTTCAAATTAGCATTTGGAAAAGGTGCAAAAAAAATGTGGCCCTATAGTTTTTTTAACTCACATTAGACAGGGGCAGCATCTTAAATAAAATGCTTGGAGATTCCCAACATTTATTTTTCTCAGGTAAAATGATTTGAATGCCCTTCTTTATTCAGTATCATTCAGAAGTTGACTGTACAAACTATAAAAGTGTATGGCAAAGATGAATAAGGAAAAATCATCATCATCATCATGATGGAGGACAATACTATGGTTTCCACTGCTGGTATTATTGTTGTCGTTGCTGTTGTTCTAATTGATGATGGTGATTGTGATTTTAACTGTCAAATGCAATTTTCTATCTTCTGAGTTTGTTGAGTCAGCCACTGAATGATGCACAAAGTTTGAAACCTAAATAAAACACAAAAATTGTTGAATTTTTGTTCTTACTGTGGTGTATTGGGCTGGCTGGCAGCTCTGACTAATTGTTGAAACATCTTTCTTTCATTTATGGGGTCCATTCCTGACAAAAATAAAAATAAACAAGGTCTTACACACTGTATATTATTACAAGGAGTTGTGACAATTGCAAATGCTAACTGACCTTGATTTATCTCATCAACCACCCTAAAGGGGCAGTTTGTTAGATCACGACTTTCATGGAAACAAGGTAAAGAATGGTTGAAACTGAACGCTCCTAGAAAAAGGTAATTCCGAAGTACAGTAAGAATAGCAGTCACAATGCAAGATGGCAAACCAAATAATTCTGTTTAGTATAGTACCCCTCCAGACTGATGGTGGGCGCTGAGTACTTTAAGTTGTCCTGCTTGCCTGATGATCAGTGTGAAACCAAACAAAATCATAAACCAAGCTGACAGAATAATCTTGAGCATAATTTGACTGTACAGCTGAAGAGATTGCAGTACATTTTAGTAAAGAACAACATTTTATTCCCCCCCCCCCCATTGAACCATTAAACTCTCTAGACATCTGGCGGGTAAAAAATGTAAATACCCAATTTGTGTATGAATAACACAACAATCAGGCGAAGCCCAAAAAAAATATAGAAGTAAAGATGCTCAATTAGAAGATACTTTTTCTATGAAACTCAATTTAACTTTCATGAGCATAGGAACAACTGAACAACACCAAGTGTTTAAATTACTAAGTTGCTTAAACTTCAAATACCCAATTTGTGTATGAAAGAAATAGAAGTGAGTAAAAAAAAAAAGGAAAAAAAAGAAGGAAAAAAAAAAGGTGAAAAGAAAAGGTCAAGGTATATATAGAGAGAGAGAGAGAGAGATTTGTTTCTTATCTAATCATTAACAACGAGAGATTTATGGATTTTCTTTTCTTATCATTAACACCTTTAACTAATCTATTTGAATTGATATAATGGGAGATTTATTTCCATACCAATTCAAGTTACATTTCTTTCCAAATAATTAATGATGGGCGCAGACTACAACTTGAGGAAAGAAAATCCATAAAACTTATTTCACTGTAGTTTATCATGCTTAAAACTATGGGTTTCAAAAAAATTTAATCAAGGCAACTGCTGCTTCCATTTGTTACCACCTCCACCTCCAGTTGATTTGCCTCAATTAGCTTATCATGCTTTTAAAGGGATTGATGAGCAGTATTGGGTCATCAAAGTGTATCAGAGAAAGAGGTCACAGATTCGTAACTCTTACAGTGTGTGTGTGTGTGTGTGTGTGATGTAGGAACATCCTAGGTGTAGAGCATCACCCTGGGTTGAAGCGGGTGTTGCCCCAATTGACTGGAACCCTGGGCTAGAGGATAAAGGAATAGATTTGTCTCCTCCCACTAGTTGCGGCTTTTGGGAGCAGTGGTGGGTCTCCCTGCATCAATAAGGGTAGCCCATTGTGGGAGACTTCCGCCACTGTGGAGTCTAGGAAAAGTCAGATGTAAGTGGCCTTACCCTCACATGCAAAGAGGCTATTTTCGTGTTTCAAACCTATGGCGTCCAGGTTGCAATGGAGAGCTTTGCACCCTCATGTTCAGTTGAAAGGCATACTTCTCAAAAAGATCAAATATTCCTCAAACAATGAAACAAATTCACTAACAAAAACTGAAAAAAGGTTCAAAGATTGCAGTTACCTGAACTTTACTTTTATAAGTATCCCATATTTATCGAAGTCCATATCATGCTCATCTGAAAGAAGCAACAAATTAAAATAGAAAGTGATGAAACCAAAAAATAAGAATATTTTTTAAGATACTAGCACAAGTACCCAATGAAACTTCTCCTGCAACGGCCATCTCTTGGAAATTACGACTAAACGTCTCATTTATCTGAAAAACGAGGCTTCTCAATGTTGGAAGCCAACTTTCCTGCAGAAATGCTAAAATCAGATATTCTTGGGGTGGTCTGACTGGATGGGCACATATACTAGAAAGAAAATATATCATAGTATTTATTAATTTTTTCCCTTTTTCTTGCAGGGAGGTGGTTCCATATACATGCAAACAGACCCTTAAATATAAGTTTAAAAAGCAATGGAAGTATCAGCAGTAGCTCCAAATCAAACTAGCCAGCCAGGTAAGAAAGCCAGCAAATTTCCCTCACCTTTAAAGCGTTTATTTTATCAAATTGCCTTTTCCATTCCTTCTCATCTAATTCCTGTTTCTTTGAAAGTTCCTCTATCTGGTAATCGAACAAATTATGAGTCAAACATCATGTGAATAAGCAGATGAAAATAACAAAAGAAGGTAGGATTTACTTTTTTCTGACGACTTTCATATTCTTCTAGAATGTTGTGGTTTAGAAGAAAAATAGAATTAGCTTGAGAAATAGTATCTTGAATAGCAGCCTCCAACTCCTCAATGGTGGTAGGCATCTACAGGTCGACAAGGAAGACACATGATAAAGTTCCAAAATAAAGAGCTAGGCAACTTGACCACTGAAGAATGATTTTTGAACCTTCATCTAGACAAAATCAATTGTTGATAAATAAAACTAGATAGAAATAAATATAGTAAAATAAAAATAGATACTTCAAATAAAGAATAAAGGCTGGGATTTCCAAGTTAGAATGACTTGCATAAGAGCATAAACTCTCTGCCATTTCCCAAGCAACTCACTAGTCATTCCTGGTATGAACCAATGTACTCAAAGCAGACACAGAAGTCCCTTGCCACAACAAAATGCCATAAAAGATGGTTTGTCGCTCAAATGCCTTACACATGCAACACCACTCAGGAGCAATTTTTCTAGTTGTTCCAAGCTATCAACGGTCAGCATTGACTCCAATGCCACCGACCAAACAAAAAGGAAACTTTAGAAGGCATTTTCATTTTCCAAATTCTTTTCCCACAAAGTTCTGGATTCCCTGAACACAAACTAACACAACATTCCTATCCTCTTTCAACCTAGAAGGATCCTCTTGCACTTCCTAACATCGACTGCGTACACCAAAAAGGTGTGCTTCCCAAACTTAATCCGCCACTATTGCTCTAAATTCCTAGCAAGCTTGCAAAGGGCCAGAAATCTATTGCTCAAGGCTGCCTCTCCTCACTAAAAATAATTCCAATGCTCACAAGCTAATCATTTCCATCAATGAATTATGAAGGCCACTCCGATGGTCCCACCCCTTCCAGATACCTTTCCACAACATTAACCCACAAAAGGTTTTTTTTTTTGGGATGGATAACCCCACAAAAGGTTGACACAATACAGCTTAGAGTTCGTGTATTCTAGGGCTGTAAAGCAGGGGAAAGATGGTGGATTTCAATTTTTAAACAAGTTAATCGGGTTAGATTTGTAAGTATGAAGTCCAAGCATTAGATTCAGGTTTGATTATCAGAGTATTACAAACAAATTTAGATTATCATAAATTCACCAAATAATAATATAAAGAAAGAGAGGCTTAACCTACACCATGAGGGCTTAATTGACATCCACATTCAAGTCTGAGTTCCACACTCATAAATTGAAGGAATGCTGCCACTCCTACCAGAAACCGTAAAGACAAAGAAACTTTCAAAAAATTGCCTCATTCAATATAGAAATCACAAGAGACTAATTATGGAAAAATAAGAAGTTTTTAAACAAGACTAAACAATGAGTGATACATAAGCTGTTGCAAGTCTACATAACCATTGAAGACAAAGCAGGAAAAACAGGAAGACAGATCCTAAAGACACTGGAAGAGTCATTTTCGCAAAACTTGGCTAACAGCCTTCTTTTCCTAAATATTGGCTAGCTTAGATAAGCAATCCATACCCAGCTATTCAAGAAGGCTGTCCTCAGATGATCTTCGGATTCCATAGCAACACATCTGACAACTATTCAAATAGATCTAGTGCTTACCTGCCTACAATACGCCTACACCAATAGGGTTTTATTCCTATGGGTTGCTTTGAGGGGTCTGACATCCACGGCGGAAACGAACCTCCCTTGTAAACATTCAATGCTCCAATTGACTTTTTTGAAAATCAGCTCCATAGGCTGGATTGCAACCTAAGAAAGGACTCTTATCTCATTTTATAGTGAATTTCCTAAATAGGGGGATCTGGTAGCAAAATAAAAACTCCTAAAATTAAAACTTTCCATCAACATCACTTTCCAAAACTCCTAGAATGGCTTCCAACTAATCCTAACCAAGAATATGAAAAGAAAAAAACCTATAACCAAACAAATAACCCCAATATGAATACTAGAATATGTTATACTGAACAACTGATGAATATCAAATTGTTGGGCGACATGTATGTCTCCTGAATTTCATTGAAGACAGCCACCTACCTCACTAACAACTTCATCTGCACATTTCTACCACTTTCCTCCATGAACAATCGTTTTTGCTTGCATATCTCCACAACTTTCTCAATAAAGCTTGATTGAACAGCCTTAATTCCCTTCTAACCAAACACCCCACCTTCAAAGAAAGCACATGCCATCCCATCCAACTAAGTGATATTTGAAACACCACTTCTGTACATCACTACATGAAGTCTCTTTGGAGCTTCTCTAATAATTTCCACAACTGAAGTAGAAATGGTTATGATAGACATGAAACAAGTGGAGAGGCATGGCAAGGTATTTTTCTTATTGTGAGAATACTATTAGTATAGTATATATTATGTGAATATTGTTTCTTATTTAGGATTGGTTTAGATTTATTCTTATTTCCTATTTAGGATTAGTTATAGAATTACTATATATATCAAATGTACACATTGTATTCTATGACAATTGAATATGAGTTTATTTAGAAATCTTACATGGTATCAAAGTCGTGTCCGAAACCGTAGTTCTTACCTTTGATTGGTTCGACGTTCTTCCTTCAACTTGAAGGTTCCCTCTGGTTCGAAATCATCTCTGATTTTGCTCTTTAGATTCAATCAAGTTCGAGTCATCAGATCACCCTCTGCCCCGTCAGGTTCTTTACAACTCTTCTGATCTTGAAACGTGTCTGATTCAAGGCCTGTGGGTGACCATCGGAATCATGTTTTCTCGCCGGAATCGTAATGTTGTCTGTCGCAAATTGGTCTCTTGAGTGTCGCGACCCGTCTTTCCTTGCATCGTGACCTATCAACTGCATCATCGTGACCAATCGTCGCATCGTCTCACCTTTGATTCACAACCCTCTCTAGTTCGCCTGCTTAGTGTGGTCATCTGGTTCAAACTTCTCTGGTCCACTTCGTCTGTTGAAGTTGCGACATTTGTTCTTCGACTTCGTCTTCATTTGTTGCTGGACTTGCAACATCAGTTGCATCTGTCAAAGTTGCGGCCCATTGCATCGCGACATCTCTCTCCCTCTTGTTCTAAGTGTCGTGCCCTGGTTCTTCTTTGGTTGATCATAGTTCTCCCTTATTCTTTTTTGGACCACACAAGGTTCTGGATATTACATTTAGACCCATCAGTTTTTTGTTTTGCCCAATTGGTTCTCTAGCTTTGGTTCATTATGGCGTTGAATATTCATCAGCTTCAGCCTTTTGCAAAGCTCAAGAAAGGGCTACTAACTTCAGATAAATGTGTCTTCTACCATCAGAGGGGTCATTGGTAGAACAACTGTCCCAAGAAGGGACGTCTGCTTGCCTCATCTTCTCAGCAGTCTCAAACTCAATTCTGTGCTCCTCCTCAGAGTACTCTTCAGCCTCCCACCACTTATACTGCTCCTGTTTCAGCTCTTAATCCTGACTTGGCTTCTTTGAGTGCTTCAATTGGTCAACTTCAGCATATACTATCTACCTCCCAACCATTCTTGTCTACCTCTCAATCATTCTTGCCTGCCTCCGTTGTCTCCTCTCTTCACTAAGGTTTGCTTGGGTCTTCTTCAGATATCTCTTCATCTGTCTAGCTTTTTAACTCTAGTACCTCTCATCATATAACTCTTCATCTCTCCTTACTTCAGAATTGTACTCCCCCTCCCTTTTCTATTACTGTTAATGCTGCTAATAGATTTGGTATGCCTGTTATATCCGTTGGGTCTGTCATACCGTCTGCTATGTCTGTTGTCTCTATTCCATCCATCTCATATGTTCCTCAGCTATTTGCCAATTTGTTATCTATTAGTCAACTTGATGTCTCTGGTCTTGATGTTATCTTTTTTTTCTTCTATCTGTTTTGTGCAAGATTAGATGTCCAAGTAACAGATTGGGACTGGCCGTAGAGTTGAAGACCTCTATGTGGTAAAGAGCTTGCATCTGCCTATGACTACCTCTTCGACTGTCTTTCTTTTTTTTCAGTTAGATTCTCTGTCAAGCCTTTTCTATTTGTGACATTCCAGATTATGGCATTTGTCTGCTGACCGCCTACGATCATTAGCTCAGTCAAGTATATAGGGTGAAGTTTGTCCTAGTCAACTTACCAAGTGTAGGGGGTGTAAACTTGTCAAAATGACAGCCTTACCTTTCCGTAAAAGTGCTTCTATATCTAATACACCATTTTTTTTAGTTCATACTAATGTCTGTGATCCTTCTCCTGTTCTCATTAAATGGGGTTCTACATACTATGTTTCATTTGTTGATGATTGCACCCGTTACACTTGGATTTATCTTACGACTCATAAGTCTGATTTCTACCAGATATACCGTATTTTTCAGTCTATGGTCACTACACAATTTAGGTCTACTATTAAAGTATTACGATCTGACTTCGGTGGGGAATATTTTAAAACTGAGTTTTGTGAGTATTTGGCGAATTTGGGTACCATCCACAAAACTTTCTGTACTGGCACACTTGCCTAAAATGATCGAGCTGAGCGTAAACACCGTCATCTTTTTGAAATAGCTAGGTCTCTCCTTCTCTCTACCTCTGTTCTCGCTCCATTTTGGGGTGAGGCAATTCTTACTGCTGCTGTCCTTCTCAATCGTATGCCTACTCCCCTTCTTTTTGGTCGATCTCCTTATGAGCCTCTGTTTTCTCAACTTCCCAATTACTCATTTCTTCGTGTGTTTGGGTCTGCTTGTTTTGTCCTTTTACCTCGTAAAGATAGAACCAAACTTAGTGCCCAGTCTGTCTTGTGTGTCTTTTTGGGTTATAGTCTCGCTCAAAAAGGTTATCACTGTTATGACCCTTTTTCACATCGCCTTTATGTTTACCGCCATGTTGCGTTTCTCGAACGTCTACCACACTTTCAGCTTCCTCCTCTCACTACCCCAATTTCCAAAAAGAATTTGGTTCATATTGATCCATTTCCTTCTGAGATCCCATCTGATGAGTACATCTCCGCAGTTCCTCCTGAGCTTGTTCCATCTTCTCCTTATGTTTCACTTCTGGCTACTTCTCCTCCTCCATTTTTGGTTTATTCTCGTCGCAAGGCTCCTTCTCCACCGGTTGTCTCTGCCCTTGTTGCTGATCCTCTTGCTTTTGACGACTCTGATCCTGCTGCACACCGATATCCTACTTGAGCATGTCATTCTCCAAACAGGTTGGGTTGATCTAATACATGTTTTTCTGCTTCCTATCGTACTTTTGTGTCTGCTATTCACTCTTTTTTAGAACCTCGGTCTTACAAGGAGGCCTGTCAGGATCTTTATTTGGTTCAAGCTATGTAGGATGAGTTGTTTGCTTTGCAGAAAACTTGTACTTGGGAGTTGGTCTTTTTGCCTGCTGGTAAGAATCTGGTTGGTTGCAAATGGATTTACAAAGTCAAGAATCATCCTGATGGTTCTTTTGAGTGCTATAAAGCTCATCTAGTTGCCACAGGTTTCTCACAGGAGAATGGTATTGATTATGAAGAGACCTTTGCTCCTATTGCCAAGATGACTACTATCTGTACCAGTGTTTTAAAAAGCTCTAGGCGCATCGAGACGCCAAGGTCACCTGGAGCCTATCGCGCCTCACCAAGACAAGGCACAAGTAATAGAAGTTGAGCAAAATATTAATATTGCACAATTTTCAACATAAGTAAATGTTTAATATGTATGTTATTAATTTTTTTAATAAAAAGAGAAGAGAAGAAGAAAAAAAATAATTAATTTTTTTAATATATATATATTATTTTATTTATTTATTATATTTATAAAATAATGTGTTTCAATTAATTTAATTTATTTAATTTTATTTTATTTTATATACATGTGTATTTTTTTTTATTGCTATGTATAAGTATATATTATATTTTATATATTATCTATAAGTATATTATATATTATATATTATATAATAGGTATTATATAATATATTATATATATGAATCAAGAAGATAAAAGAGGGAGACAAAAGCGAGAGAGAGATAGAGATAGAGAGAGAGAGAGAGAGATCACGATCGCGATCAGAGAGAGAGAGATCACAATCACGAGAGAAAGCGAGAGAGAAGACGATGAAAGAAGAGAAGAGAAGAGAAGAGAAGAGAAGAGAAGACGAAGCAAAAGAGAAGAAGTAGAGAGGAGATGAGGTAGACACGAACCTGAAGGAGACGAGTCCAGTCGATGTCGAAGCTCAGATCAGTTGATGGCTAGTATACAAACACAAAACAGATCAGTCGATGGCGAAGCGCACAAAGAGTGCGCCTTGAGCCTAATCGAAAGGCGAGTGCCTCAGCGCCTTCTTGCACTTCTCGTAACTCACCTCGCTCGCCTACTTTGAGCGCGGCCCTTGCACCTCGCCTCGCTTAGCGCTAGGCATGCGTTTTAAAACACGAGTCCGTACTTTGATCTTTGTCGCTGCTATTCGTTCTTAACCTATTTATTAGATGGATATTAAGAATGCTTTTCTTAATGGCCATCTCACTAAGGAGGTTTACATGCGTCCTCCCCCTGGCCTTCACTATTCCTCTAGACAGGTTTGTCGCTTTCAGTGTGCTCTATATGTTTTGAAGCAATCTCCTCGTGCTTGGTATCGCTTTCAAACTGCTGTTACTGAGCTTGGGTTTCATTATTGTGCCCAAGACTTTTCTTTATTTCTTCTCCACACCTTTGCTGGATTTGTTGCGTTATTACTGTATGTGGATGATATGATCATCACTGATTCTGACTCTTCTGCTATATCTGAGGTCAAGCAGCATCTTTTCCGCACCTTTGAAATGAAGGATCTAAGCCCATTGTGGTATTTTCTTAGTATTGAGGTAGCTTATTCTCTCAAGAGCTACTTTCTCTCTCAGGTCAAGTATACCAATGAGGTTATTCATTGTGTTGGTCTTACTGACACTAAACTTTCTGATACCTCCATTGAGCTTAATGTAAAGCTCACCACTACTAGTGTTCTTCTGGATGATTCTACTTTATATCGAGAGCTCGCAGGTTGCTTAGTCTATCTGACGATTACTTGTCCTGATCTTGCCTATGCTGTTCATTTGGTTAGCCAGTTTGTCTCTGCTCCTTGCTCCACATTAGGCTGCATTGGTTAGGATTTTTCGCTATCTCCGAGGTACTATATTTCAGAGTTTACTATTGTCCTCTACTTCCTCTCTGGATTTGGTAGCCTATGCTAATTCTGATTGAGCTGGTGATGTTACTGATTGTAAGTCCACGTCTAGTTTCTGTATGTTTCTTGGCGATTCCTTGATCTCTTGGAAAAGCAAGAAACAAACTGTTATTGCTCGCTCTACTGCCGAAGCTGAGTATCGTGTGAAGTTGTCTGGCTTCGTTGTCTTCTCACTAACTTAGGCGTTCCTCAGTCTTCTCCGACCTCCCTCTATTTTGACAACCGTAGTGCTATTCAGATTGCACATAACACTGTCTTCCATGAGCAAACCAAGCACATTGAGATTGATTATCACTTTGTTCATCAGCATCTGCAGTCTGACTCTATCTCACTTCCTTTTATCTCTTTGGCTTTGCAGTTTGCTGACTTCTTTACCAAGACTCGCACCACTGCTCGGTTTCAGTTTCTTCTTGACAAACTCTCAGTGTTTTCTGCCCAAACACCTTGAGTTTGAGCGGGAGTGTGAAAATACTATTAGTATAGTATATATTATGTTAACATTGTTTCCTATTTATGATTGATTTAGGTTTATTCTTGTTTCCTATTTAGAATTAGATATAGAATTGCTATATATATCAGATGTAAACATTGTATTGTATGATAATTGAATATATGAGTTTATTTAGAAATCTTAGACTTATCTCCTTATGCTAGAGATGTCCCTATGATACTTGTCTAAATTTTGTTGTGTCAACATGTCTGACTGGGCATGTCATACTTGTGTCCTGTTTATTTGTCTATGCTCGATAGATCCTCAATACGGGGAGATGAAAATTCTCAATGCCTCTAAATATATATTAAAGGGAAATTAGAGTATAAACACAAGTATAGTAGAAAATTTATAAAATGCAAAGCAATCTCTTTTGTTGGGGGAACTAATCACCTAATATAGATAAATGTAGCGAAAATATATATAACCCAAGACACCCAATCTAAGTAGTGTAGACACATACATAGAACACAAACACAACAAGACACAAATATATTGACATAGTAAGTTCTAGAAAAAGATAGCATGGGCACAAGAAGACCCGACAACATAAAAATGCCTAATGCATATGCACATTAATATTTTTCAAGTACATATGTGCTTATATATACACATACACATGACATGCTTAGCATTGAAAAAAGGAAAAAAGAAAAAGCACAATTAGTACCCATTAATGGGTCTTTGGGAGGGATTAGATTGGATACGTACGTAACCTTTGGTGTAACTGCACAAAGTGGTTGTCCTCAAACTTGAACCCACAACCACAAGGTTAATAAGCAAAGATTTTAACCACTAAACCAGGGGTTACCCCTATGTGACACACTTAGGATTGATTTTTAAAAAATTTATTAATAATTGAATAATGAACAAGTTGAAACTAGACATACACAATGACATTATTCTTCTATTTTCTTCTTATATCATTTTTCTCTTCTTTCCAATTGTGATCATATCATATATTGGGAAGTATATATATTGAATGCTTGAATTGTAGGGGCAAATATAAAATGTCATAATTTTCTTTTTACTTATTATTTTACTATTTATGTAAAGATTGGATACTATAGGATGTTTTTATCCTATTTACAACAATGTAGGAGAATGTTCCTCAAGTGTTGGCAGAGGATTTGGAAGGTGTCAACCAAGTGTCCAAAATTATGAAAATTTGTTTTTAATTGTGGAGACATCCAACTAGTCCCTAACAATTGTCAGTGTTCGAATTATGGCTGACACAGACACGACTTGTCCACAGAAGTTTCATATGCTACTTAACAATTATTCATTCATTCCATTCATTATCGGCGCACACACAAAAAAATAAAAAAATAAATAATAATAATAGTAATAATAAAAAGAGGAAAAACAAATAGATATTGTTTGACTTAAGAGAAACTAAATGATATAAACATTTTAAAAAGGTCTTCATAGATGATAATTTCTTGATATATTTACGATCTTTGAAATTCTAAGGATTTAGTTTTTCATAGGCCTAATCAGTTATGCATAGATTCAGGCTCATTAATTGCACTCCTACAATAACCAGCCCATTAAAACCCAAAATATTTTGGAAGCATTTAGTTTTTTTAAACGTTTTACACTGCTGTTTGCTGTAGGTTATTTGCACTTCAGAATGATGTACATATACATCTATCTATCTCAATAGGATTTAAACATGTAACCATATTTACAAATCATAGCTTCCGTCAATTGTTATATCCAACAATGAGAATTATGCTGACCACTTTTTTTTTGGGTACATCGGAAATAAATTATGCTGACTACTTGACTCTTGACAACTGTACTTGTGCCAATGCACCAGACCCGGAAACACACTCAAAATAAATATATACACATGCATGCATATATATATTGCTCTTCATGATGTTTTCAAGCGCAAAGACAGAATTCAAACGCAAAGTCAAGACTCATATAACCAAACCTCAAGAAATGCCTGTTCAAGTTCTGGAGTGATTATGGCAACTGATTCTGCATGCCTCTTCACTGCTGATAACTGTTGTCGACAATCCTCCACCTCCTTCTTACCTAATCAAGCAAATTAAAATCAACTCATAATACCTTATATTAGCATATTGCATCTCCTGTAAAGATTTAGGCCATGAAAAAACTGCAATAGGATACTACAAGAGAGCCTTGGTCCCCTCAATATTAGAGGTATCTTCATAGATCATTGTGGCAATAATATTTTATAAGGTTCATCTACAAAAAATAAGGTTCAACTCCTTTGGAAAGCAATGAAAAAACTTCTTCGGGAGTGTCGTTGTTGGTTATGATTTTGAGGTACTGGTTGATAGTTGTTAGCACCTTCTACTTGAAAGCTGCGTGGTTGGCATTGGCGGCACCTTGCGCCTATGTCCAACCAAGGCCATAACATGATGGTGGCATGCCAAGACAGCAAGGTGGGAATATGATAAGTGCTGTGTGGCAGCAGCACTCAACCCTTGACCAAAGTATGCGTAGCATGGCACAGATGCAAGGCATTAATATGACCTCAATGTGGGTTGTAGCATACTTGGGGGTTGAACACAATCAGTGAACAAGACTTGGTCTAGTGGCCAATACAACCAATTTCGTGGCTGGCTTGATGGGGCAGATTGCAAGGCAGTTATTGGCAAACATGCATGTCTATTAGAGGCAGTTACCTTGTTGGGGCAAAGACAAAGCAAGGCTGAAAATCAGGAGACAAGGCTGGAAGTTAGGAGCAATTACTGGCAGTTATCTCCAGATTATTTCCTAAGTCTCTAAACAGCTGGGGGTGTCAACTGCCATGCCATTTGGCATACTTTCCTTGTATTGCTGGTTGTATTTTGTAACTGACTGTAAGCCTATATAAGGCGTGGCCATGGAACTCGAAAATTCAGTCAAGTGTTTTTGAGAGTCTCCATTGGCATTCCTTTGTATTGTTGGTGCAATAATAAAAGTTGGGAAATTCCTATAAATTTTGTGTTGCCTTCTCTCTTGTTCTAACTCATTGTGTGGTGTGTGTTGGAAATTGGCTGAGACTAAGTGTTGGAACTCAATGTCATCACAAGACTAAAAAATTTATCCTCTAAAAATAGTGTTGTGACAAAAGCCAAGGTATGTTATTCTGCATCTCAACATTTAGTTAAGTTCATATGTGAAATTAGATTTGACATGATCTCAGGTTGAGATTAAGAAAACATACAGATTGGCAAAGTGAGGGCCTACTATTTCATGTCAGATTATTTCCATTACAAAGATTCCTCATCTTTCCATGTATTCCGTTATCAATAATTTCCTTGTTTTTAATAATACATAATTGTTTCTTATAAAAGAGAGAACACAGAAAACAAGACAAAATATGAGCCACTACATAGCAAAATAGGAAACGTTTTGAAATGACAGAAACTGAATCACATTTGAAATGTACTTACAATATTCAAAATGCGAAGATGCTTGCAGGGCAAATTTTTCTTGCTGTTTGACATTGACTTCCATTTCTCGAATCTGAGCCACAAAATCATGATTAGATACTAACATTTAAATAAATGGCATACCAAGCAAACAAAAGAATTAAAAGGAATACACATGACACCTGTTAGAATTGCATAAAAGAAATAAAGAATGAGAAGAAGAAGAGAGAGAGAGAACTGCTGCTGAGTTTATTTTCACACTTCAAAACATATATTAGGGTTACACATACTTATAATAAAAGAATAAATGAACAAATGACATAACTACCCTTACTAATACTTAACACTCCCCCCTCAAGTTAGTGCAAAGATATCTCTCATGCCCAACTTGCAGCATATGGGATGGAAAACTTACTACTAAGACCTTTAGTAAACACATCAGCCAAATTGATCTTCAGACTTCACAAAAAGCATACATATTAAACCCTTATTCAATTTCTCCTTGATGAAATGTCTGTCGATCTCAATATGCTTTATTCTGTCATGCTGAACAGGATTGTAAGCAATACTAATGGCAGCTTTGTTGTCACAGTACAGTGTCAATGGTTCACTGCATATTTAGGGTGAAAAATTAAGAAGAAAATTAAAATAAAAATCTAGGGTGAAAACCCATCAAATTTTGATCATGAAGGATCTTATTTTATTTTTTTTGATGTGTACAGGGAAGAACGAATGAAACAAGGACCAAGAGAAGAATCTTCAAGGATGAAGATGAAGCTCTGATACCATGTTAGATTTGCATAAAAGAAAGAAACGAATGAGAAGAAAAAAAGAGAGAGAGAACTGCTGCTGCGTTTATTTTTACACTTTAAAACATATTAGGCTTACACATACTTAAAATAAAAGACTAAAGGAACAAATGACATAACTACCCTTACACACTAATACTTAACAACACCCCAATATAGAAATTAGAAAAAGTTTTCACATAGTCAATATGAGCCTTGAGAGGAGCATTGAATTAAAATTTGAAAAGACAGTGCAGTAACTTATGTCAAAAATGAAATTTTACCACCATATGAATTCAATGTTTTCTCAGTGTAAAATTTTATGCATCAGCAAAAAGCAAAATGTTGGAGATCTTTGAACTGTATTTGAATTGCTGGGTCAAAGAATTCATATTCTTAAAAAAAAAAAAACATAAATCCAATGTAGTAACAAGTCATATGTCACATAGGCAGTTATGAATCAGAATTGCCATCTGTACAATCATCCGTTTTACTTTCATATTGGCTTTGTAAGTTGTTACAGTCCAAGATTTCAGCTTTTGTAATTCAAAGCTAAACAAAATCTTGTTGATGTCCATGAATAGCACTTAGCGCATGCAATAATATCATGTCATTTTTTTCTGGATTTACTGATCACAACTCTTTGAAAAGTCCGGTTCAAATTTATCTTGAAATTCTTGAAACGTATCCCATATGTATGGACATCTACCCACAAAAGAATCCCATTCTGATGACCTTTTTTTATTAGCAAAAAAAAAAAAAAATTGTACTAACCCTTAACCAAATGAAAAGAAAGAAAGAAAACGAAAACGAAAACAAAAACAAAAACAAAAACAAAAACAAAAACAAAAAAGTACAAAAGATAGACCCAACACCTCAAATACAACCCATAAAATCGATATGTGAGGAGAAACAATAAAATTGCAAAACAGAAATTCAAGGCCCAATTATTAATGGTTAAAAGATCTTTAACAACAAACAAATAAGACTTCCACTCTAGTCAACAAACCTATAATAGAAAATGATCAAAACTTCAGCATTTGGAAAAATAGAGAAACCAGCATATGATGAGACTCTCAAATGAGATGAACTCAAAAGGAACCTTCCCCTCCAAAAATTTGAGGCCCACTTTTATATAAGGGTTAGTCCGAAATCCCTATGTAATGGGAGACCCAAACTCAATTTTGATCCCTCAAAATTTTGGATTGCCCACTTTGTGCAAGCGTTGGCCTTCAAAATTTAATGCCCCATGTACTGGCCCTCCAAAAACTCAATCTAGTCTCACGTTAAAAAACAATTGGTAAACCACATGTTAAAAAACCTTGCAATAAACAAGAAATATTTACTTGATTTGATACGCATGATATTATATTAAACAAAAAAAAAGTATAAAAAGTAGTGAAATTTTGCTAGAGAAAATAGATTGGTCTCTCTTATGTGGGTTCCGAAGATTTTTTAACTGGACCACTTGTGAAGCTTTATGGGCCTAAGGCAAGTTAATTAATATTCAAATAATTATATGGGGTTATAAGAAGTAGGTAGCATGTCTAAACTTAGACAATTAATGGTCATTTATAAGTTTTTATTGGTCTGATTAGCCAATATTAAGTAATATTTTAATAATTATTTAAACAGTTTAAACCCTACCCAACCCACTGGCCACCTAGCGGAAACCACCTGTACTGTACCTCCTATTCAACCTAAGAGTACCAATAAGTGTTTGTAGTTTAATCAACACAACTATGTTGGGGTTTCTGTGTAGCATCACATGTTTAACATATAATCATTTGTTCGAAGTTTAAAAAGAAAAAGGAAACAAGCCAATCACCAGCAGTTACATACGAACACATTTATGATCAGTTAGCTTCAACTTATCACAAAGAAGCAACCTGAATAGCATCCAGAAAAGGTTTCTATGCAGGTAATGGGAGCACTAGCCCTACCAGTGTTTGTTTTCTCGGAAAAAATGTGATAAAGATCTTCCTCACCGTGCCGAATATGATAAATGATAACATTCATATCCGGTACAATATGCTAAATTTAATATTTATATTTATTCTGGGGCAGGTGTCAAGATAAGGAAAAGTGTCATGAAGCTTGAAGAAAATATAACCAGGCAGCATTGACCAAATAAATTAATTGACTACCTTTGCTTCAAGTTCTATGGAAGCCATAGTTTTTTCAGCAAAGCTTCTTCTGAAAGAAACAGCTTCAACGATTAAATTCTGTAAAAAAGGGGGAAAGGAAAAAAAGAAGTAAATAAGTAATTTTTTAAGACACCAACTAGCAAATTATAAGTTAATCATAGTCAAAACTATACCAGACATTATCAATACCATAACACAATGGCATAGAAACAAAAATGCTAAAACTCAAAGCTAAACAAACTTTTACCTTAATTTCAATTGCACATTGGAACCGTTGAATATTTAGTTTTGCAGCATGGTCAACTAGCTTTGCAATGATGGTGTCCAGGTCATCCTCCCGCTCCATCGATTTCAATTTTATCTTTCTTTGATCTAGCAAAATCAGCAACAGGCGGGTTAATATGAAAATCTTAAACCATGTGTAAGGTTTTTATTTTTTTTATTAGAAAAAAAGAGTATCTCGGAGATACTTACTAATACGGTTTTCCATTTCACGCCGTTTCCTCTTCTCAAGTTGTACAATGCTTATAATCTCCTCCTACGAAATATGGATTGAAATTACATCATGTTCATATACACTGGTCATACAAAGTTCCCACTTCTCAAGAAAATCCATTATAAGGCCCACAAACTTGACTTTCCAGAAAATGCTTGCATAAGTAATGTCATGAATGAAAGATCAGGATTTAATTATCTTTAGCAGGAATAGGATGGCTCATAATATGGTTCCTAGTATTATCTAATCAAATATTTGGATGAAACAGGAGTTTTGTCCTAGAAAAAATTACTTATTTCAATTATAATTAATTACATTAATAATCATGATTAAGATATATTTTCATTATAATATGAAAATATGCTATTAGTTGTATGTTTTTATATAATAAAGGTTTTTTACATTCAATCAATTCTACTAGTTACACATTGTATATGTTTAAAAATATAACAACTAGATGTTTCAAGTACTCCCACATAGAGTAGGAATTTGACTACCACCCCTTATAAAGGAATGAATAACCACTCTCAATGAGGATCTTATTGTTAGAAAAGAAAAGAAAAATAAAAAAAGACTCCCATTAACAATAGTGTGCCCAAACATGGGAATTGGGTAGTATACAAATAACATTCCCATTCTAGCTCTCAATTTCCTAGCCACCACACATAGCCTCGGTCTATACTGTGATCATGATGACATTGTGCCCCATGATCCATGTTACCTGGAACGTGAATCGTTTCGATACGAGGAACAGGAATGGGAATAGGGACGTGGTATGTCACATGCTCTAAAATGTGGGACGATAGGGGTAGACTTGTATATATTATACTTGCGAATTTAAGGTACTTTCAAAGTAATTTTCTTTTAACCATTAGGCATCTAATAAAATTTAGTTTTTCTTCTTCATGTAGAAAAACATTTCTATGAGTACTATGACCCACTTTTTATGTTTTGTCTTGTCAAAACTTGGGTAAACTACCAATAAATCCTAATAGTTGGATTTAATTCCCATCAAATCCTATTAAAAATAAGTTCTAGTAAAATTGACGCTAAAAATAATTTTTTGTGACGATTTTTTGCATATCACTAAAAATGACAATTATTGACTTTTTTGTGTCACGACTATTATAAATTATCGCTAAAACTTACAATTAGTGACTTTTTTGTGACAAATTTTTCAAACTGTCATTGAAAGTTAAAATTAGTGACCTTTTTGTTTTGCGACAATTTTTTTATATTGTCGCTAAAACTTATAATTAGTGACATTTTTTTGTGACAAAATTTTCAAACTATCACAGAAAATTAACAAGTGAAGTTTTTTAACAGTATTTGATGAAAAACGTCATTAATTATCATAGGACCTATTGGACCATAAGTCTACCTATTAGGACTTATACATAAGTCCCCCAAAACGTAACTTACCTTAGATTTTAATTCATTATATTTAATTTTTTCCTCCTAAGGAAAATTTAAGGAAATTTATTGGAAAAAAACTTTTGAAATCGTTTCAGATCGCTAAATTTACCGTTTTAAAACGTAAGTGTACCATATTTTGAAACGTGCGTACCAATACGTAATTCATTAGGGTATTAGTGTTTTCTGGTAGCATAGCCCATGATGTTGTTGTGGATGAACTTCCACCAGCTATACGCTCAAAAGAAAAAAATAGATGACATTGTTCATCATCAATTGGTTCTCCTATAGGTAACTGCTATATAAATAATCCTATCAAATGGAATGAGCACCCACTTTTAAATTGTAAAAGGCAATAATAAGTTCAAAAATTGGACAATATGACGAAGAGTGGGTGGGAGTGCCCTTGCATAGTTCAAAAAGAGCAATGAGATGCTTCAAAGTCCAAGCCTTGATTTGCCATATATTAAATGATGTGAAGCTCACTTGGGAGCTAACATATTTGTGTTTTATGTCAAATTAGCATTTTGTATAATAGCTTCTTTCAGTTGATTAACTGCTACTTTGATTTTAAATATGCATTACCATTGTTTCAAAAATCAAGGGCATTTACTTAATTTCAGTTTTTGTAATTGGATGTAGCAGTCTCCCATGAGTCATACATCAAGTCATGAAATTAGGTCTCTTGTGGTGGATTTTAATTGGGTTTGTATTTAAAATCTTTTAGCTTTCAAATTTTGAGCACAAATCATTGGTAGGGTGGGATATGGTCCTCAAGTCTATATAAGGATATGCAATTCTACTAATGAACCATACCAAACCAAACCAAGCCAAGCCTTAAGTCCCATCAAATGAGGTCGGCTACATGAATCCTTGTCCTCCATGCTGCTCTATCAAAAGCCATTTCGTTAGTCAAATTAAATAGATTCATATCTCTATTTACTACGTTAGCCAACGTCAATCTAGGTCTACCCCGTCCCCTAACACTTCTATCTACCGTCACTTCATCGCATCTTTTCACTACTGCCTCTGTTAGTCCTCGTTGAATATGACCAAATCATCTCAATCTATTCTCTCTCAACTTATCTTCTATTGGTGTTCCTTATATCCATTCTCAAATATACTCATTCCTAATTCTGTCTTTTCTAGTCTTGCCACACATCCACCTTAACATCCTCATCTCAGCAACACTCATCTTATCGATATGTTATTTCTTGCCCAGCACTCTATCCCATACAACATCGATGGTCTAATAGCCGTTCTATAGAACTTTCCTTTTAGTCTAGTGGATACTTGTTTATCGCACAGTACCCCAGACGCAGTTCTCCACTTAAGCCACCCCGCCTTAATTCTATGGATCACATCCGTATCAATCTCCCTCGCCGTTGTGATAATCGACCCTAAATAACGAAGACGTTCACTCTTAGATAGTTCTTGGTTTTCAATCTTCACTTCTCCTCTGCTTTCATTGTTACTGTTACTAAATTTACACTCCATGTAGTCTGTCTTAGTTCTGCTTATCCGAAATCCTTTAGATTCAAGCGTTCTCTCCAAATCTCCAATTTTGTGTTAACTCCTCTAGTTTCATCCACTAACACGATATCATCTGTAAAAAGAATACACCATGGTACATCATCTTGAATATTTCTCGTCAACTCATCTATAACTAAAGTAAAAAGATAAAGACTTAAGGTAGATCCTTAGTGTAACCCTACAGTAATTGAAAATTCATTTGTCTCTCCAGCAAGCGATCTAATAGTGGTCACCACCCCTTCATATATGTCCCTAATCACATCAATATAATCTTTTGAAGGTCCTCTCCGCAATTGTATGATGCAACCTTGATATTAGGTGTGACAATATGGGAATCTAGGTGTGATGACTAGAGTTTTCTTCTACCCCTACTCTGTTTTGTGCCAAGATACTAGGACAAGCCTAATAAATCCCTCCAATTATAAGACTAGCGAATACAAAATAAGTAAAATCAGCGAAGAGAATTGTTCATAGGTACTTTCACAGCACAGGAAAAGCACCCCAAGTTTTGTCATTCATCACTTTATTGAAGACCCAAAAACTGAATCCTTAACTACACCATTAGAATCCCTAAATCACTATATTCTTACAAACATTTTGGCCACACAAAATATAAATATACACAATCAGCCCTAAATAAAGCCACCAACCAGTTTCATACATTAATATTGGCATTATAGCTGGTGGAAGTCTTCTCCACACTTGTCTTCCATCACACACACAAGAACATAAAGTGTATCAACTATCACCAACTAAGGTACAAGTATCTTACACGCTGCCTGTGAAGTTTAGCTGCTTCATCCTCTGCACGTCTTAGCTCAGTCTGAAGGGATTTCATATTGTCATCTAAATTTTTTCCTCCTAAGGAAAATTTAAGGAAATTTATTGGAAAAAAACTTTTGAAATCGTTTCAGATCGCTAAATTTACCGTTTTAAAACGTAAGTGTACCATATTTTGAAACGTGCGTACCAATACGTAATTCATTAGGGTATTAGTGTTTTCTGGTAGCATAGCCCATGATGTTGTTGTGGATGAACTTCCACCAGCTATACGCTCAAAAGAAAAAAATAGATGACATTGTTCATCATCAATTGGTTCTCCTATAGCTAACTGCTATATAAATAATCCTATCAAATGGAATGAGCACCCACTTTTAAATTGTAAAAGGCAATAATAAGTTCAAAAATTGGACAATATGATGAAGAGTGGGTGGGAGTGCCCTTGCATAGTTCAAAAAGAGCAATGAGATGCTTCAAAGTCCAAGCCTTGATTTGCCATATATTAAATGATGTGAAGCTCACTTGGGAGCTAACATATTTGTGTTTTATGTCAAATTAGCATTTTGTATAATAGCTTCTTTCAGTTGATTAACTGCTACTTTGATTTTAAATATGCATTACCATTGTTTCAAAAATCAAGGGCATTTACTTAATTTCAGTTTTTGTAATTGGATGTAGCAGTCTCCCATGAGTCATACATCAAGTCATGAAATTAGGTCTCTTGTGGTGGATTTTAATTGGGTTTGTATTTAAAATCTTTTAGCTTTCAAATTTTGAGCACAAATCATTGGTAGGGTGGGATATGGTCCTCAAGTCTATATAAGGTGTAAGAAATAATGTATAGAGAAAGAGAGAGAATAAATTGTATGTATTATTATTGATTGATATTTTGATTTATATTACAATGATTCATGATTCCTATATATAGAAGATGGTGAGTGTGTAGTAGGTAAGGAGTAGGTGAAGTGGAGGTGGTAGTGGTGGGTTAGGTTTAGTGGAGTAGGTGAGGTGGTAGTGGTGTAGTGGGTTAGGTTTAGTGGAGTAGGTTTAAGTGGGTGAAGTAGGTGGAGAGTAGGTGGATTTTAACATAAGGATATGCAATTCTACTAATGAACCAAACCAAACCAAGGCTTAAGTCCCATCAAATGGGGTCGGCTACATGAATCCTTGTCCTCCATGCGACTCTATCAAAAGCCATTTCGTTAGTCAAATTAAATAGATTCATATATCTATTTACTACGCTAGCCAACGTCAATCTAGGTCTACCCCGTCCCCTAACACTTTTATCTACCGTCACTTCATCGCATCTTTTCACTACTGCCTCTGTTAGTCCTCGTTGAATATGACCAAATCATCTCAATCTATTCTCTCTCAACTTATCTTCTATTGGTGTTCCTTATATCCATTCTCAAATATACTCATTCCTAATTCTGTCTTTTCTAGTCTTGCCACACATCCATCTTAACATCTTCATCTCAGCAACACTCATCTTATCGATATGTTATTTCTTGCCCAGCACTCTGTCCCATACAACATCGATGGTCTAATAGCCGTTCTATAGAACTTTCCTTTTAGTCTAGTGGATACTTGTTTATCGCACAATACCCCAGACGCAGTTCTCCACTTAAGCCACCCCGCCTTAATTCTATGGATCACATCCGTATCAATCTCCCTCGCCGTTGTGATAATCGACCCTAAATAACGAAAACGTTCACTCTTAGATAGTTCTTGATTTTCAATCTTCACTTCTCCTCTACTTTCATTGTTACTGTTACTAAATTTACACTCCATGTATTCTGTCTTAGTTCTACTTATCCGAAATCCTTTAGATTCAAGCGTTTCTCTCCAAATCTCCAATTTTGTGTTAACTCCTCTAGTTTCATCCACTAACACGATATCATCTGTAAAAAGAATACACCATGGCACATCATCTTGAATATTTCTCGTCAACTCATCTATAACTAAAGTAAAAAGATAAAAGACTTAAGGTAGATCTTTAGTGTAACCCTACAGTAATTGAAAATTCATTTGTCTCTCCAGCAAGCGATCTAATAGTGGTCACCACCCCTTCATATATGTCCCTAATCACATCAATATAATCTTTTGAAGGTCCTCTCCGCAATTGTATGATGCAACCTTGATATTAGGTGTGACAATATGGGAATCTAGGTGTGATGACTAGAGTTTTCTTCTACCCCTACTCTGTTTTGTGCCAAGATACTAGGACAAGCCTAATAAATCCCTCCAATTATAAGACTAGCGAATACAAAATAAGTAAAATCAGCGAAGAGAATTGTTCATAGGTACTTTCACAGCACAGGAAAAGCACCCCAAGTTTTGTCATTCATCACTTTATTGAAGACCCAAAAACTGAATCCTTAACTACACCATTAGAATCCCTAAATCACTATATTCTTACAAACATTTTGGCCACACAAAATATAAATATACACAATCAGCCCTAAATAAAGCCACCAACCAGTTTCATACATTAATATTGGCATTATAGCTGGTGAAGTTTTCTCCACACTCACACACACAAGAACATAAAGTGTATCAACTATCACCAACTAAGGTACAAGTATCTTACACGCTGCCTGTGAAGTTTAGCTGCTTCATCCTCTGCACGTCTTAGCTCAGTCTGAAGGGATTTCATATTGTCATCTAAAAGTGTAATAGTTTCATCCAGTTCCTTTTTCCTGGACCTAAGCCTCTCAATTTCCCCCATATCCTGATCTGAAAAACACTGGAAGTTCTACAACAGAAACTTCATATGAAATATTGATGTAATAGAAGCGAAGGTTTACAGAAACATACTGCACAAAAGAAGATGAGAACGATCTGTGGGTTCTACCATAGCTGAAACATGCCCGCCATAACGGGACTTAGACCATCGATAGTGATTTTCTGGAGTCCAAAAATCCAAAATTCCCAGTCTAAGGACCTCATCAGCCCTCTGATCAGTTTCCTTGGAACCAATATACTGAGTAAAATACAAAGATATTAGAAAACTAAAATAATCATACAAGCAAGTTTATCTTCATAAAGTACACCCAAGAACTAAAATAAATTAAAGACAATAATAAACTGATAGATGAAGAGCGATAAAGTGTAAAAAGTGTACAGAATTTTCCAGCCCAAATTGGCCAATCAAAACTTCTTTGACAGCATTTGGCGCATCAAACACTTGGTCCAGCCTAGAATAGATGCCAAGAGCACGCATCTGCTTTAAACAATAGATTCAAAACCATGATTAATAGTCAGACAAGCCTAAATGGTAAACATCAGTGGGGCAATAACAAAACATACCTCCTCAGACACATGAAAGGGCTCTTCAAAATGACTTTCATCTCCTACATGATTTATAACCGGAACATCTAATGACCCAAGGTTTTTGACCAAGAAGTCACGATCACCAGCATCTTGGGTTATGAAAGACTGCAATTTAAGTAAAACAAACCCAAAAAAAAAAAAAAAAAAAAAAAAAAAAAACAAACCCAAAAAAAAAAAAAAACATATGACAAGAATTTAACATATAATAACAAACCATCTTGATTGCTATCACCAACTTCTAATATCAATATTTTTCAATGCACAAGTCATGCAAGGTTGTAGTGGAAAAAGGAAACAAACTTAATAAAAATTTTAAAACCCACATACCTCCCAATAAATTTACAAAAATTTGGCCAAAAAGCTAAAGATTTTAATGTCAACCAAAAGTACAAGGAACTCAATAAGTACCCCCACAATGAACACTGTCAACCACATTAAACCCTTGTAGACCTCACTACTACTCTCCTTAATAAATATTCCTCTCTTCCAACGACCTCAACCCACCCTATTTACTAAGGATCTTGGCAAAATAACATATGATTCCTGGTACGCAATTCCTTTTCTTTAATCAGGAAACAAAATATATCCCAAATTGATAATTAAACATCAGTGGGGGGGTACTTATAACAAAAGTAATTCTACCACTTTTCAACAAGTACTACCAAATGTTAAAATTCACCTACTACACACCTACCACTACCACCTACTCCACACTCACCTACTCCACCTACTCTCCACCTACTCCTCACCTACTCCTCACCTACTACACACTCACCCTCTTCTATATATAGGAATCATGAATCATTGTAATAAATATCAACATATCAATCAATAATACATCAATTATTACATGGTATCAGAGCAAGGTTAAGAACCTACTAATTTCGTTTCACCGGCGGGCGGCAATCTCGCCTTGGCCGCCCGCCGGACAAACCCAAATTTCCTTGATTTCTTCTTTCATGGCAGATTCTTCAACAACACTTCATAGCTCGAATACAACTTGAGATTCAACAACATTTCCTTGGTTTCCAGCTTGTGCAGCAACTTCAGGTTCCTCAACAACTTCCTTAATCTTGGCTTCAACTGCCGGTGCAGCTGCTGGCTCCTCTGTTGTTGCTGCCACCTCAGTTGGTTTTTCAGTCACTAGCTCTGGGGCAGGTGGTGCTGCCACTGCCTCTTCTGGCTGGGTCTTACTCAACTCAGTTGTTTCAATTTCTGGCCGTTGTTTTCTCTGTTGCTGCCAGTGTAACCTCAAGTGTCCTCTACAACGTTATGACACCACCATCCAGTGTCTTCACCAATGGTCTGACACGACCATACAGTGTCACCTATCCTCTTTTATTTTTATGTATTTTCTTGTTTTGTAACTCTCTCCAAACTCAAGTTGGTTAGTTTCTATCCCCCTTGAGTTTGTGGGGGGCTGTTAAAATTCACCTACTACACACCTACCACTACCACCTACTACACACTCACCTACTCCACCTACTCCTCACCTACTCCTCACCTACTACACACTCACCCTCTTCTATATATAGGAATCATGAATCATTGTAATAAATATCAACATATCAATCAATAATACATCAATTATTACACCAAACCTTATCTCACACTTTCCCAACAACAAAATCCCATACAGCTTTAGCTTTAAAGATGAACCCAGCAAAAGTTAGAAGAGTGACAGAAAAAGAGACTCAACCCCTACACTCCTAGTTGTCAGTGGGGGAGGGGGAGTGGAGACAATGATTAAACATCACCAAGGCAGGGCATTCTAAACAAAAGAAATCCTACCATATCCGATAAATCAACATTACATCTAGTGCCATGCTGTTACACAAATGTTAATTGCCAGAGTTGAAATATTTGTTGGCCCTTGCCTCTATGACCATGATTTTTATAGTAATTTTTTTAGTGCAAATTCAATGCCAATAATCAATGTCATTTTTCAGTAAAAAGGGTACGAACCACGCATGACAAAGGAAGCAAGTGCTGAGTCCAAATGAAGCAACAAAAACATTCATAATCCTTCACTTATTAATATGTCAAAAAAGTACACCGCCCAATTCTCGTTGCGCCTATGCAGGTTGCTACTTGGTAGGAAAAGTGAAGTAGGCACAAAAACTTAACTTTTGGTACTATTTTTACAAAGTATATGTCCTCGCACTAAATCCCCAATTTTGAAAGCCTGAACTTTCAACATCATACCCCAAAATCTGACACTTTGGTGGACATGTACGTACATAGAAGCTAAAGAATGCAATAGGTTGTGAGAATACCTTCCAGATATAATAAGGGATATGACCTTCTATGTAGTCTGCATGAACTCGATTTGAGACTTTAACCTGAAATTGAGGTCCCAAGAGAATTTAGAAAGGAAAACGATAAAACCCATATGTTAATTTCATGAACAAAATATAACCATCTGAATAACATATGTACCTCAAGCAACACAGGGCCATACACCTCCTTATTAAACTCATGGCGATGTTCTTGCACCCAGCGGTAAGCCTCAAATATCTTTTCAGCACCAGAATTCCGCAACGCCTGTAAAAGTTTATTATTTGCATTCTCCATATCCCTCAATCTGTGAAGGTTTAATGATGGACATTCTGTGAGATGCATTTATTACTTCCAGGAAGGTACATGAAAAAAATGAAATTTCACCTATCAATGCACTGCCTTAAGGTTCCTTTGCTTTGAGCTAGGAGCCTTTCCTTCTCTGCTTTCAGGTGCCTCTTCTCCCCTGCAGTCTCTTCCAGCTCCAGAATTTGACCACCTAACCTTTCCTGTTGAATATTATTAGTTCAATGACAGGTAAAGATATCAACCATCAAGTGAACAACATTTGAAGTCCTCACTTCCAAAACACCAGATTACTATAATAATAAGATACTCAAATTTAATAAATATAAATTATCAGGTCATGAAGAGGTAACAAAGATAAGTCATAGGGTCATAGTTCCTGATTTTTCTCATTGGTATTGTGTGTATGTGTGTAGTGGGTCAGCCTAAACCAACCTGTGCATGTACCCTAGACTGGCCTAGGGCCAAGTAAGCCCAAACCAATACCCCTCAAGCAAGGCCTGGGCCGAGGCATTTGAAGAGAGACCCAGCCTGAGGCCTAGCTTAATTGGGCTGACCAAAGTCCCGATATTGGGTCGGCCAAATTTTTTTGAGAAAAAAATGAAAAAATTATATAAAAGCATGAGGGACTAGCCTATTCTAGGACTACAGATTGGGGCCTAGATCAGGGATTTGAAAATGTGGCCTAGTTTAAGTTAACCTTGCCCAGGATTTGGTGAGAGGTTGAAAGCCCAACTAGGCTCAGTCCAAGTCGCTCCTTCAAAGGCACTTCCTAGCCCGTTTACCCAAATATGCTCAACCCTCCACTCTAGAACATTGCATTCCCCACTCGTAATGACACAATCAGCACCTTTGGCTAGGTCGAGCGACTCACTACCCGAGCATGTCTCTCCTATGCCTCAAGCCCCTCACCTCAAAGCTGTCTCCAGTGATCTTCAAAAGACACCCAATACTCTCATGCTAACTTTGGTCAGAAGTGGGTCGGGCCCTAGTAATCGCCTTAAGATAGGTGTCGCAATCATAGATGCATAAGCAACTAGGAAGCACAAATACAGATACAAGATACGGATATGATACAATACGGATACGACAATACGACAAACCTTATAAAAGTAGGATATGAGTACGGCTAGGATATGTTTGTAAAAAAATAATTTTAAAATTATTAGTAGTGAGTTACATACAAACACAAGAATATTGAGAAACTACACTGTAATTTTATAATGTAAAATACTAATCTTTAAAAATTGGGTATAAATATAAGCCATTAGCTAGTTTATTTCAAAAAATTTAATAGGTTTTACAAATATTATCCACACGAACTTGTCTATGTGCTTTTCCCTTTTACACTAGTCCAAGATATTGCATGCAAGTTTACTTGATTATTTATTTATTGTTATTAATTTTACTTTCTTGCTTCTTTTTTTTCCTTTTTTCTCTTTTTTTTTATTGGCACTGGGGTATACGGATCAAAACCCAACTAATCCCCAAGGGTGCACAAGCTCTCAGTAAAGAGTTTCCCATAAGTGCAGAGCTATAAGCTAAACCAAACACATCAAAATAGCTTAAATTAAGTTGAAAGCTGAAATAAGCTGTAAATAATTTCTGCCAAACAGGCACATTGCATGCAAGTTTACTTGATTATTTATTTATTGTTATTAATTTTACTTTCTTACTTCTTTTTTTTCCTTTTTTCTCTTTTTTTTTATTGGCACTGGGGTATACGGATCAAAACCCAACTAATCCCCAAGGGTGCACAAGCTCTCAGTAAAGAGTTTCCCATAAGTGCAGCACGGTTAATTCAAGGATTTTCCCCCAATCCAATGGCCCCAAGAAATTGTTAGCACCTAAGAGGTTTCAATCTCGGAACCTTGGAGTGAGCACACCCCCAAGACTTTGCCACCAGGCCAATCCTATGGGATTTTTACTTCTTTCTTTTTTTTTTTAGTATCAAGACGGGGTTGCAAGTAAGGGAGGGTGCATGGAGAGACAAACAAAAGAAGAAGCAAACAACCAAATAGAGAGGAAGAAACCAAACGGGAACATATTACCAAATGCTAACGGAGAGACTTGAACCCAAGATCTCTCTTAACCCGAGCTCTGATACCATGTTAAGTTATCAATTTTCCCAAAAGCCTAAACTATTAGGAAATAGGCCCAACAATGTATATCAAGCCATCTAACAGCAAAAAAATAGGCAAAACTTATTTTAATACATCATATTACTATGTTAGCACTAAAAGTAACAAAAACTGGTTAAGGAAGCCACATTCTCTTTGACAATGGCTCCACAAGGAATTAATTATTCTCCAAGCCTTCCACTTAAGTATATTTGTGATACTGCACCCACAACTTCTCAGCCATGGCCCAAAGTCAGTAGTGAATCCTTTGAAGAAAGTGTAACTTACAAGTTCATCCTTAGGAGGCTCATACGGTGGCAAGTTTGCTAGCTCCACTTCTGCAGCATTAAGCTCCCCTTTTGCCCTTGCAATTCTTTCTTGACGAGACTCTTCTTGTCTCTTCAACTCTTCTATTTCATTATATTTACCAAGAACTTGCACTCCCTGTAGGTTTGTGAATGAAAATTGGAAGCAATTGAATTTAGGTAACAAATTATTCAACAATGTACAAGAAACACAAGCATAACAAACAAAATCAATGATATGCACATACCAAATGGTTTTCTTTTTCCACAAGTTGCATACGTTTCTTGGCATTGTCATCCAATAGACTTCTTACTTTTTTGCATTTAGCATCTTGAGCTGCTTTCTCTTTCTTTTGTTTCCTACACCCAATTTATGTAATACAAATCAAACTCACAACCTAAAGCAACAGCAACAAGAGACATGGGGGAAAAAAAGAAAAGAAGATATATAGAAAGGATGCTCAATTGGAAAAATTACCAATAGTAACAGGTTCCCAAACAAATCAAGAAACTTGTGCAACTATAGAACTGATTACCTTAAAATCATTGTTTTAGACTAATTGATATGATGATATCCCTTATAAATCAATTCCTTTGAGTTTCATTTTGAGAACATACTCTTCAAGAAGGATACATGTTAGCTACAGCACCGCGTGACTCGATACACACAGTGCCTAACATACCAATATCATAATCTTCCTGTCTTCTACTAATTGGAACCAACTAACATTGATTTATTATATTTGATCACTTAAAGAAGTCAACATACTCAATAGGTTCCCTAGCTTCGTTCAAAGTTTTGGCAGCTTCATCCAACTTCTTCTTAGCATCATTTTCCTGCTCTTTAGCTTCCATATATTGAGCCTTCTTCATATCATACTTCAGCCATGGCAATTTCTTTTTCATAGACTCAACCTACAAATTGGATGAAAAGTAAACAAAATTGTTGCTTCAAATTAATTAAATGACAAAAAAAACTGAAGGAAAACCTTTCCCAGGTATTCTTCTCTTTGACGAACACGCTCAACATCTCTTTCTTGCTCAGTATTAAGTGCCTTTAGCTGATCCAAATATTCCCTGTTTCGCTGGATGGTCTAAGCACAATGAACAAGGTATTAAGTATTCACAAGTTAGTAAACAGTTTTATTGACATAATATATACTCCCTCCGTCCCACGAGGTTAATCCCTTTTGGGAGTTCAATTTTTAAAGGGACATGCAATTAATGCATCCAAGTTCAAATCAAAAGCCATTGGTTTCCCATACTGCCCTTTTATACCCACTTTCTAAATAAATGCATACACTAAGAAGGGATAGTCTTACAAAAATGTAAAATGTTATTCTTTGGCATTTCAAAGAGGACTAACATTTTGGGAAATCCCAAATTGGATAAAAGGACCAACAATATGGGACAGAAGGAGTATAAAACTATGTTAAAAAAATGATTTTAGAAACACACTCGTTCAAGCTTCTTCCATTCACCACTTTCATCAACAAGAGCACGATGCAGGACTGGAAGTTGAGGATCACCGACAGCCTTTTCTGTCTCTTCTAGAAGTTGAATTGGTGTTAACTTAGCAAATTCACAAACCCTGTCTTGTGGTAAAAACTGAACATAAAGAAAAGAGAAAAGAAAGAGTTCAAAGATGAAGTCCCCAATTGAATTCATAAATCAAATACATATATCCAGCAATGAGTTCATATAGAATTTTATGACCACAAATAACAACATAATACCCACATCCATAACATCTAATGACCTTTGTTTTCTTCCAACTGCAACCTATGATTATCGACTAGAACTTTATTATACTAACTACAAAACACATACACTTGATTTAGTCTCGCGTATCAATGTCTGACACATTTGTTTCAATCTTTTTTTGGGTTGTGAGTAGATTTTTAGTTTAGTTTTAGAAAATTCTTGAATGGACAATCTTTTTACTATAATTTATGTGTCAAATGGTGCAATTATGGAATTTTGAATAATTATTACATTAAAAATTCCATGGATGCTTAGTTCTTGAATTTTTATTTAGTCATTTTATCGTTTTGATATCTTGATAATATTATTCTCATATGTGTGTTCTTTATCTATAATTTGATTTAAATAATGTTGGTTTTAGATGGATTTATAGTTATTGAATTGTTGACAACCAACTCATCTAAAAGCTTAAACTACAAGAGTGACAAATTTATTATTTATATTATATCCTCAACATGCCTCCTCACTCACACCCAAACATGCTCGAGTGTTTTAAACACTTGATCTATTGTCTGCTATTATACCATATTGAATAGCTAACTAACTCATCTAAAAGCTTCAGCTATTAGAGAGAGTAAAAACTTTATTATTTATATTATATCCTCAACAATAATATATATGCATGTATATATATTTTGTTCAACATGTTTATGTCCTAATTTTTAGATAAATGTCATGCATGTGTCTGTGTCCATATCCCAAGTCCATATCCCAAATCCATATTTGTGTTTCTTGGCCTGATAGAAGTAAGAGAAAAATCAAGTACCCTATACAATTATATTATATTTCAATCCATTATACCTCTTATCAGAAAATTGAAAATAGTGTTTTGGATGTCCAAGTTAACGTACAAGTTGTGAATACTCAACAAGTCTTGGAAAGGCTCCTAAATTCTTCTCCTTTGCCACAACAAATTTTAAATAAAATCAGAAGCATCCCTTATTTCTTCTTTTTCTTTTTTCCTCTCATAAGAAAGCCAAAAATTAGTAGGGTAAACTACCAATAGGTCCTAATAGTTAGACTTAATTCCCATCAAGTCCTATTGAAAACAAGTCTTGGTAAAATTGTTGCTAAAAATAATTTTTTTTGTGACAAATTTTTATATATGTCGCTAAAAATTGACAATTAGTAACTTTTTTTCGTCATGATTTTTATAAATTGTCGCTAAAATTTATAATTAGCGACTTTTTTTATGACAAATTTTTCCCATAGAACCTATTAGACAATAAGTCCAATTATTAGGACCTACACGTAAGTACCCCAAATTAGTAAACCCTAATCCTTTCCTTATCCATTGGCCTTTAACTTTAAGGCTCCAAACCCTTCAATAGTTTCTATTTGAGAATTTGAACTACTAATTATCTAAATATTCTTCAATTAATCACACATTTTGATTAGTAGTCTAACCCACAAAGCCTACAGTCTCTCTACTGCATCATAAAGCCATAAACCTACAAGTTTTCCATAGACCACAGTATTTGCTGCCATAAATCTTTGATAAGCAATTGAAGACATGCATTGATCACGTGTGATGAGCAATTGAAGACATGCATTTATCACAGGTGATAAGCAATTGAAGATATGCATTGATCACATGTCTGTGCAATATGTAGTAAAAATTGGACTATTGAATAGAAAGTGTCCAAGAACTCACTTGAGTCAAATTGTTAACTTGGATATTGAATTGCTGAATTACTTCAATTACATCCTTTTTTGTCACCACTTTGCCTGAAACCAAAATATCACATGTCATAGCTGCAAAGATGCCCATCTTAAATTCATGCAACAGATAGATAGAAAGATATATATACATACATATATATATATATAGAGAGAGAGAGAGATGAAGCAAGCATTAACTCAAACTACTAAGGCATCATAACTAGGTTTAGCGGACATTGAACATTTCAAACCAAACCAGTAAATTAGTATTCTGCACATTGGATTCTAGAAACAATAAGTTTTTTAGACAAGCTATATAAACCAAATAAAACAAAATTTTCCAAATGAGAACGTCATTCAGAAAAACCATCCACATAATATCATTTAGAAAAACCAACCACGTAATCTCTTCGCAATGCAAACAAATTAAGAGAATAGCATCCTCCAAGTCCCAAATTCATCATTTACCAGATCAAGAAATTCTCAATGATGATTCAAAAGACCCTTTCATGAGCAACTTAGGCACGGTTCATTGTCACTCACAGTCATATAACAAATAACATACCATTAAATAGCCACTCAGATTTGTTACGTGTATCTATTTTGCGCATAATGGTAAGTTGCTCCTCCTTAGTGTTCCCTCTCAGAGAAATCTTAATATAACCACGCACTTCCCCACCACGCTTCACAAATGCTCCAATGCTTGAAGCCCTCCCAAGAAGCTGCACAAATAAAAAGTCGCCATTTCTGTTATAGTTCAAAACACACAAGTACATAGCTCGGTAACTATTCTTGTTCTCACTAACCTGAGGCTCACCACCAAGCCCAAGCGCAATGGCACATACGAGAGAGCTCTTACCAGACCCATTCGGTCCAACAACGAGGTTTAGCCGTGAGCCCGGCTTGCATGTCAACTTATTGAAGGTCATGAAATTATGTAGCTCAATCTCAACAATATTCCCTAGCATATAATCATCTTCCCCTCTAGAAAGAAAAAGAAAAAAACATTAAATTAAGATAAAAAGTTACAGCCCAGATGCTGAGAGATGCATTCAAAAATGTTAAAATCTGATACATTTTCACTATGACAATAAAACAAAGGATAAACTACCAATAGGTCTTAATAATTGAACTTAATTCCCACCAAATCCTATTGAAAATAAGTTCTAGTAAAATTGTCATTAAAAATAATTTTTTGTGATAAATTTTTTGCATATGTCGCTAAAAATTGACAATTCTTGACTTTTTTTGTCACGATTTTTATAAATTGCTGCCACAAATTTAAAGTTAGTGACTTTTTTATGACGATTTTTGTAAAACTATCGCTAAAACTTATAATTAGTGACATTTTTTTATGACAAATTTCCAAATGTCGCTGAAAATTAACAATTAGTAACATTTTTAATAATATTTGATGAAAAATACGATTAATTATCGTAGAACCGATTGGATAGTAAGTCCCCCTATGGGGTACACGTAAGTTCCCTACAACCAAACCTAAAATATTGGATTTGTTGAGGAAATACTCATATTCTCTTTAAAGTAGCCACACAAAAATCAAAAAACTTCATTATTAACTGTGTTTTCCTTTGTTTGTACTTGGTTTTCTCGGCAACCCGAAAAGGAATTGGAAAAAAAAAAAAAAAAAACTGTGTTGATGTTCTCTCCAATAAATTACAGTCAAATTAGTAAATCTTAATTTTTGAACAGTTATGACAACATGAAGAGCAAAGGACACTCAAAGCGTAAAGGCAATTGTAGGCGATTCGTATAAAAAGTCATGAAAGAAACCTACGAACCTGCTGATTTTGGGGCGTTTTGGGCGAGGCTCGACCATCGGATAAGATGTTTAGGTTTGGGAATAGATATCTGAGGCCTCTGCGATGCTCCTGTGTACTCCAATTTCTACAATGCACTGATGCAGCAAGAGCTAGGGTTTGATAAGAGAGAAGATCAGTCACCGACTGCAGCGACGAAATTTGGCGCCAAGAGCAATAGACTGAGATACTCCCGTGACGGAATCGAAATAGAAGGAGTAATTACAAAATAATAATAATAATATTTTAATAATTAAGCTCAATAAATATGCATAAAATGCCTATAATATTATTTTCATTTAAGCCCTGTTTGGTAGAGATGTGGGAAAGTGCTTATAGCTTATGCTTAAACAGCTTATAACTTATAACTTTCAGCTTAAGCTGATTTCCAGCTTATTCTTAAAGCATCTCCTGCCCCACTCAAAGAATAAGCTGATTTCTGACTTCCACAAAGCTATAAGCTATAAGCTATAAGCTAAACCAAGCACATCAAAATAGCTTAAATTAAGCTGAAAGCTGAAATAAGCTATAAATAATTTCTGCCAAACAGGCACTTAATGTTGTTTTTAATTAACGTACACAGACATATGATTTATATTAAAAAGAAATCAAAAAAATAGTATTTAAATTGATAAAGTTAAACAAATAGTATTTAAATTGATAAAGTTAAATAATATAATTTATTTTATTATAAAATTTCAAGAATAAGTATATATGATATATATATAAACAGTTGCGACAAATTATTAGATTGATGGACGCTTATATAACAATTTTATCACAACTAATTTTACTTACAGCACAAAAAAAACTCAAAACACCTATTTTCTTTTTACACCATTCCCAAATTTTTTAAATTTAAAATATATTTATAATAAATATTCAAAACTGCTTTGAATTGTATAAAAATAAAAACTTGAAATTGTAGTGGTGGTGGTGGTTTTTGTCAAAAAAAAAATAGTAGTAATAAATTCCATCCTTACCAAATAGCTCGAAGTATAATGATTAAAATATCACCTTTTAGGTTCATTTGATTAGGGGGATTATTTATTGTTCAGATTGTAATTTGGAGGAAGATTTTTATCTGATTTTTTTTTTAAATCCGCCAGACATGGAGTCCGGTTGGACTCCTTATCCCCTATATGTGGTATTATACTATTCGGGGAGGGTGTGAAACAATTTTCATGGGATTATTTACTATTGGGATTAGATGGTAAAATTACCATTTTAACCCTCTACTATTTAATTATATATTATATTTAGTAAAATTTAATAAAATTTAAGTGTCTCAATTTAAAAATAAAATTATTTTATTTAACTTTTTATTGATGTTTTATTTATTTATTTTTTAAATAATTTTTTATAGATATTTTATTGATATTTTATGTTAAAATTTTGCTTATATTTTATTTAATTTCATTATTTAAATTTTAATAGATGTTTTATTTAATTTCATTATTTTATTATTTTATTTTTAAAATAAATTTATTTAAAATTTTAATTAAAAAAATAACATATATTTTTATTGATATTTTATTTTTTAAAAAATAAATTTATTTAGTTGTGTAAAAAATAAAATAAAATAAATTTTTATTTAATCTAGCTAAAACTAATTAAAATATCAAATATATGTTTAATATTACTATTACTTAGTAAACAATTGAAAAATGATAAAATAGTCTTTTGTTCATTTATCCTATCTAGTGCTTCCAACCAAACATTATATTCACTAAAAATAGTCATTTCCATACATGTATTCCCATGAGAAAACAAATACGGGATACACATCTAGTCTAACTAAATAGTTTTGGGGATTCAAAGTCCTAGGATTTAAGTCCGATGGATTCTAATCCCTCTTTATCCAGTCCGAATAATCAAGCACACCCCCTTTTTTTGCAATTTTACATAATAAAAATAGCTAAATAATTTAAATTAAAAAGAAGTAATTAAAAAATGGGCACTCGGTCTATAAATTCAAATTTAAATTTTCTTTTACCAAAGGTTCAAGCACTGAAACACTTTGTCCAAAAAAATAAACTTAGACAAAATGACCAAAATACCCCTATATATATCATATATGTTATGACCCAAACTCGGTATCCAATGTTCGACGTCGCAACAAGGCAATAACTGAAGTTATAGCAAATTAATAGTGCAGCGGAGTAAAATAAAAGGATATTCAAATCCTTATGTAAGTATACCAACATCGTATACATTGGAGCTTCTATTCAATTGCAATATCAAAGTTGTACTATGACTACAAAATATTTTGTGCCTACCCTATGTACTGGTCTTGATACATTACCTAAAAGTGGTTAACAGCCGTAAACACATATAAACACATGGCAGAGTGAAAAATATTATACAATGAGCATGAGGGTACAAAAATTTTTATGGATAATTATTTGGCTAAACAGAAGTTAGTTTGGTAACTGAAATACATAACTTAATTTGAATAAACAAATTATTTGAGTGACAGAAACTGAAATCTAGAAATTATGTAGATAAATAATCATAACCACAGTACAGAACAGAACAGAACAGAACAGAGGTTATTAGAGTGACAATCAGAACAGAGGTCAATGGATCCATGACAAACAGAGGGCCACAAAGTGACCAATCAAAGGCCAATGATTATTTAAGTTCCCCAAGGCATGGGACTCTCATGGTGGTACTTTCCAAAAATAAATATTTTTATAATCATTGTCAAATAATTTTTAAAATTTAAACAATCATATCTATGGATTTTCAATTTAAGCAAATGGAGTTCAGAAAAATAATGAACGTACTTGAAATCTAAATATAAGTTATAGAATATAATTTGTAAAATATAAATTATGGTAATTCAAAACATATATAAAATATGTTATGATAACTTAAGGTATAACATAACTCACCTTTATATTAATCCCTTACTTTTACTTTTTCGTTCACCGAAACACCTTGCTTTACTGACTGACTACTCTTTCCTTGCTCCTCATTTCTTACCCGAGGCACTCTTTTATAGGTGCTTCCCAGCCCTTTTGATTCAAATCATTTGCTGCCCAAGCAACTACGTGGCTCGTCACTTAATTGCATGCTTATCCATATGGCTCCCTTATCCATTGATTTCCCCCTCCCCTCCCCCCCCCTTTGAGCTTACATTGACCCTAGTTAATAGAATAATTGCACAATAACTCCTAATATAAGTTAAATTACACTTTATCGCATACCATCATGTAAAAAATATATTGATATAGAGAAAGGAGAGAATAAATTGTATGTATTATTGATTGATATATATTGATGTACATTACAATGATTCATGATTCCTATATATAGAAGAGGGTGAGTGTGTAGTAGGTAAGGAGTAGGTGAAGTGGAGGTGGTAGTGGTGTAGTGGGTTAGGTTTAGTGGAGTAGGTGAGATGGTAGTGGTGTAGTGGGTTAGGTTTAGTGGAGTAGGTGAGATGGTAGTGGTGTAGTGGGTTAGGTTTAGTGGAGTAGGTGAGATGGTAGTGGTGTAGTGGGTTAGGTTTAGTGGAGTAGGTGAGATGGTAGTGGTGTAGTGGGTTAGGTTTAGTGGAGTAGGTGAGATGGTAGTGGTGTAGTGGGTTAGGTTTAGTGGAGTAGGTGAGATGGTAGTGGTGTAGTGGGTTAGGTTTAGTGGAGTAGGTGAGATGGTAGTGGTGTAGTGGGTTAGGTTTAGTGGAGTAGGTGAGATGGTAGTGGTGTAGTGGGTTAGGTTTAGTGGAGTAGGTGAGATGGTAGTGGTGTAGTGGGTTAGGTTTAGTGGAGTAGGTGAGATGGTAGTGGTGTAGTGGGTTAGGTTTAGTGGAGTAGGTGAGATGGTAGTGGTGTAGTGGGTTAGGTTTAGTGGAGTAGGTGAGATGGTAGTGGTGTAGTGGGTTAGGTTTAGTGGAGTAGGTGAGATGGTAGTGGTGTAGTGGGTTAGGTTTAGTGGAGTAGGTGAGATGGTAGTGGTGTAGTGGGTTAGGTTTAGTGGAGTAGGTGAGATGGTAGTGGTGTAGTGGGTTAGGTTTAGTGGAGTAGGTGAGATGGTAGTGGTGTAGTGGGTTAGGTTTAGTGGAGTAGGTGAGATGGTAGTGGTGTAGTGGGTTAGGTTTAGTGGAGTAGGTGAGATGGTAGTGGTGTAGTGGGTTAGGTTTAGTGGAGTAGGTGAGATGGTAGTGGTGTAGTGGGTTAGGTTTAGTGGAGTAGGTGAGATGGTAGTGGTGTAGTGGGTTAGGTTTAGTGGAGTAGGTGAGATGGTAGTGGTGTAGTGGGTTAGGTTTAGTGGAGTAGGTGAGATGGTAGTGGTGTAGTGGGTTAGGTTTAGTGGAGTAGGTGAGATGGTAGTGGTGTAGTGGGTTAGGTTTAGTGGAGTAGGTGAGATGGTAGTGGTGTAGTGGGTTAGGTTTAGTGGAGTAGGTGAGATGGTAGTGGTGTAGTGGGTTAGGTTTAGTGGAGTAGGTGAGATGGTAGTGGTGTAGTGGGTTAGGTTTAGTGGAGTAGGTGAGATGGTAGTGGTGTAGTGGGTTAGGTTTAGTGGAGTAGGTGAGATGGTAGTGGTGTAGTGGGTTAGGTTTAGTGGAGTAGGTGAGATGGTAGTGGTGTAGTGGGTTAGGTTTAGTGGAGTAGGTGAGATGGTAGTGGTGTAGTGGGTTAGGTTTAGTGGAGTAGGTGAGAACTATGTGCTGCTGTGTGTGTCCCCTCCATGTGCTGTCTCCTCCTGTCATCATACGAAATGGTGGGAAAGTTGACAAATTGGTGGGTGTCGTTTATAATAATGGAAATAAAGGTGAGGTAGTGGATGTGTTTGGGAACTGCGTGGAAAGAGAGTGCAGAAATTTAGTGGTCGCCTATTCAGATATTAGAATACGAACCACTTGTTCTCACAACATCAAAAGACCAACAGTGGCCTCTCATTCATTTGCAGCTGCATCCTCTGATGGAGTGTTCTCTCCTTCACCATCTGACGGACCACAAGGCGATTTCCGGTATCGGGTTTACTGTTGTGTTGGCTGCAGTTTAGGTTGAAGTGCCTTGAGTGGTCCTTTGGGCTTCTCTCCACCTTGCTTCCCCAGAGCCCAATCAGCAGAGTCAAAGTAAGTACGTTCATGGTCCTTACAAATAAGTGGTGGTTTCTTGGGCCCATACTTGCTCTTAACAGCTTCCTCCTCCTGTTGGGGTGATGGCATGGCCTTTTCAGAGTCCTCTGGGACATCTTCATCCA